TAGTAAGAAAAGGTCGTCACACCATCCGAAACATTAAAATGAATAAAAGATTTGAATGTACGAACACTTATCGGAGGCGTAAATATTCTAATATTAAGGATTCCACAAACTTAAGAATGAGATGTTGACAACTCCGGCACAATACTTTAAAAGCTGCCGTAGGATCAATCAAATATCTGTTTTTCTGTCAAGAAGCATGGTCCCCCACCTCCTGCTGTCTACTATGCAGTACTCCTTGCGGTTTAATGGTCATTCGACAAAAGTTATATTTATGTTATATGTAGGTCTGTAAAACTAGTAATTAAATCAAATAAATTATCAGTGATTTGGTTTTATTTACTTTTTAGGTCCATCATTAAATCATCTTAAAAAGAACATGTTAAATACAATTGAAAATGGGAAATGTGATATTGTGATTGCACTTCAAAAACAAATATTAAATGTCAGCTTCAGTGACAATGATGATTACAATGCGGGCGATGATACCACTACAACCGATGGTTTAGGATCATTAATTTATTTACGTTATCACTTGGCACGTCATCATCAGCATTACGGACATGAAAATCAACATCTAGTTCATGAAAGCTGTGATGGTCATTTACCACTGGGTATGAATCACCAGTTATTGACAAAATCAAAGAAAAGCACTTGTCAACAAACTGGTTACACGTGTAGAAATGAAAATGATCCTGCCATACTTACTCCTTCTCGTGCATCATCGTTGGTTCATCAACGTACACACAGTACAGATGATGTATCACAATTAATTACAGGTTTTGAATTGTCCAGTCATTGGGGTACTGAAACAGCAAAGTGAGTTATTTTATATAACTGTCTTACTAAACGTCTGTTAATTATTGAATGTTACATGATGAGAACTATAGGTAGATAAAGTCGGTAGCGACAGTTGGTATCAATTAATTTTATCGGCTGTGTAGCTCACACTAATCTAGTATCAAGACTGTGTGTATTATGTAGTAGTTAATAGTACTTGATGAACTGAATCAAGGTATGCAAAATAACATTAAAATCAGTTCTAACTTGGTTTAAAACTTGAGTAAGTCATAACCAATGTAGTACTTGGTTTAAATGTATTTCAGTTCAAGTTGCAATACCACATTACTACGAAAAGATGAAAGCAAATAAGATGAAAGGAAAAGGAGTTGAAATAGTTATAGTAGATATGATAATGAGGAGAAAATACATTTAAAATACGGTTTGAGAAGACGAAATGAAAATGTGTATATGAAAAACTCCTAGAACACAAAATCTAATAGGAGATAAAGAATGAGTTTTTCCACGTTATTGTGATCGATTCTGAGCGGTATCGCTCATTTTCAAACCACTGATCGTAACTATCACGCGTAACCCAACTAGGCACTTTTTGCACTTACTAGCACGTCTTAGTTAACGAATCGATGGACTGATACTAAGTCTTGGTTAAGCCATTAAGCTTTCCATAAACACTCTGCATCGAAACTATAACTAATATATGTTTTAAACAATTATAACAATGAATTGAAAGGAACCAAAGGTTATTGACTTATTTAGTTAGTCTAATTCTTAAATAATAAACGTCACTCAAAAATATCTGTGAAATGATTGTAAGTATATTCAGGTTACTTTGCACAAGGGGATGACTAAATTGTTTGGCATCAACAGTCTCAATGAAAAGTACTTTTTACTAATTTGATATTGATTTAACTGACTAAAGAAGAACTATATAGCTGAGGAAAAGAGTCATACTACATAATATAATGACTGGAGATAGAAAAATGGATCATTGAATCTTGAATAAGTTCTCTAAACGTGTCATACTCACTAAAAGACCTTAAAGTCCTGTGTTCAAAACTTGGCGAGGTCATGGGTTCACACTACAGAGAAAACCTGAAGTAAGACGAAATAATTATCTATCAGTTCTTGAATTGTATGATACAGAAAATCCATTCGTTAAACATACAAAAATAAATAATAACTTATTAATGTTGAGTGAAATTTTCAGTTTCTGGTGTTTTTGTTTATGTTTTTCTAGCTCATCTAATGAAAGTATATCATATTCAGTATGTGAAAGTATTACATCACCTTTGCCTCAATCATATCAACTTGTACAACATACATCTTCTGTTAATCATATAAAGTTACAAAATACTGTGTCAGTTAGTAAAGAAGTGGTCAATAATAATAATAATAGTTCTGACAAACCATTTGATATAAATTCAAATCATGGACTTATCGAATTAATTTATGATCCAATATTGAAATGTTACTATGATCCTAAATCTGGACGTTTTTATGAATTAATCTGATAAGCTCTAGAATAGAGATAATATGAAGAGAGAAATAGAGAATGCTATTGCATATAGATAATATTTATCATAATAATTATACTACTGATGTAATATTTTTATTTTGTTCACCATGTAGCTTTGTGGATATTTTTTTTTAGTTGCACATTGTTACTTCTTCTATTACACGAGTATTTTTGTTAAATAAATGAGAAATACTACTTTTAATACAATTACTACTGTTAAAGTCATTATCAGTGTGATATTTTCTTTATAGTTTCCAGAACATTCCTTTTATACTTATTCCTTCTAAGCATAAACCTTTTTTAACTGTGATTATGAATCAAAAGATGTTGAAGATTTAGTCTTCAGTTAAAAGTTAATGTCTGTCTTAATTTATGTATCATAGAAATTATTTGTAAATATGTCCGATTTCATTAATTATTGTAAATATATTGAAATACTGATATTCTCAAATATCATCATTGTAATTATAAAATCTGTAAAGAAGAAATATAATTTACGATTTGTAACTGATTAAAAGGTTGTTTTTCTACGTGACAGATGAAACGATTATTGTAAACTTATAATTATTGGAAAGCTATTTCATCTTATTCACTCTCCATGGCGTATACAGATGTAGAAGCGAGTGTAGAAAGCTTGGGGTTCTATTATAGTCAAAGTAGTCCGAGACATACTTACTGCTTATTTCGGTGAATTACTCAAATGTTACTACTGGTTAGTTTTTTTGTGTTGTATGAGCTTCATTCTGAGAATTATGTAATTACTTGATATCTAGTAATTTAAATGTAGTCATAATACTGTGTACACTGATCATAATAACAATTCCAATTTCCTTCAATATCTTCTTAAAATTAGTCAGCTGATTAATTGTCCTGTCTACTAAAAACTATTGGATTTGGTGTTCGATGTCACGAGATAGTTACTGGTCTGGTCACTTCTATACGTTGTTCCGAATTGAAAAGAAACTATTTTCGCGTGAACGGTCGAAAAAACTATACATGTATTAGGATAGGAAAAAAGTATTAAATGTTATATAAAGCCTTATTAAATATTATCGAGGATGAAGATGTTTAAAATGTGTATTACGGTGTTCTAACTGTCTCAAGGATCTTTAGTTGTTGACACACATATCAAAAACTTATTCTAAATTTCACGAATAACATACTTTATTCAATTAGATAATACTGTTGTGTAATATCGTACAGCTTAAATTGGTCTTGTCATAGCCAGTATATAGAGTGAAGAATCTCCACACGATATTCTGAACATAAACCAATCCCTAAAGACTTGCTACATCTTTACAGATACAATCACCGAACACCTAATGAATAACAAATATGAAAGCCACTTTTATTTTGCTTTGCAAAAGGCATTAAAATCAAACATTTTCAATTAGATAAATAAGGAACATTGTTAACCATTTTTGCTTATCCAGTAATATTCAGTCATTAAGTTTATTTTAATTCCATCATCTTACAGAGTAGTCACTTGTGTTTGTGTAAATGTGGTTTTCCTTTGCCTACTTTATATTTCTAGTTTACCATACATAGTATGAATAAACAAAAATGCTACCGTGCCTACTATCAGATTTTTTGGCTTCTCACTCATTTTTTAATTGCTTCTTGCCTCTTTTTTGAAGGATGGGAAAAAATGTCATCAGTCGCTACCTAGTGATTAACCAGTTGCCTCTTTTTTTTTGAATATCCATCTAAACTTTAAAAACTAAATTATGTCGGAGGTTTGTTTTCAACCATATAATTACTTTTTATTGTAGACATTACGAAGTTGTATAATTTGATCAATAATTAAAATGCATGCGATGGCTAGTCATTTAGATTAATTGTCACATTCTGAGTTGGTCGATTTAGTGCAATCATGACTAAAGGACTAAAAACAAATGACACCGGCCACTATCCACTGATCAATCAGTTGTATCTACTTATATTGTTTGAAACATTTGGGCATTACACAGATGAACTTAGTTGTAATGTTGAACCACAATCATAGCAAAAGCGTTTAATAAATCTTGATTGAAGATAGTATTGTTATGAGTTATTACATAGTCTAAGTTTCATTTGCTGATCGCAAATTTATTTTGTTTTAAACACATAGATATTGGTACAAGGAGGCACCAAATACATATGCGCCACACAAATCTCATTTGATATGTATGAGGGCTGTGATACTGCTCGGGTGCCTTAACCGAAGTAGGTGGTTTTCTTAGCGGGCCACACCCTGAGCCTTCGACCTGAAGGTCTGATCCACAAGACAGTGGAGCATCGTAAGGAGATGCAGTCCCATGGAAGCCGGTGACCAACAATTGGTTCATTCGCCATTTGTTCCCGCAGGATACTGGAGCCCATGTGCACCATTGGTTTGGAATCCGGTTAAAGCGCCGGACTTTCGCTTTTCGTCCTTTCAATTTCGTAAACAACACCCCCTCCACGAGAAGGCAGTGAGTAGGACTTCCTTGGCAGAGGCTATATACGCGTGGCCATGTGAGAGCATTTCGAGTGGGAGAGCGGACTCTCCCCACTCTCGACTGTACAAGGGCATTTGGGGGCAAATACAATATACATTTAACTACACAGTACTGTACTACCATTTTTTTAACCTTTTAAATTTACGTGAAGCATATACTGTCCATCAAATCATGTTTGATATGTATTAGCTAATTAGTAGAAAAAGGAAAAAAGGAAACACTAGTATTATTGAGTATAGATTGATTTGATTACATTTTACTAATTCATAACTTACAGTAAATAGATACAAACGATTTACAAAAATTAGCGCAAACATTTTCAATGCAAAATAAAACAACACTTTGTATTTCTTAATAAGTTTGCAAACACATATTCTTTAAAAAAAAAAGAAAGAAAGACGGAAGAAAAATATCAACGAACTATCAACGAATTAAAAAAATAATCCCATTTAGAAACCACAGAAGTTATTACAAAATGTTTTTATGAATTTGTATAAAAAGTGAGGTAAAAACAAAAGGGAGGAGAAAGAAAGAGATGAAAGAAATGGAAGTCAAGGCAATAAAACAATGATAAAATGATTACGGATTAGTAAACATAACTGTAGTTGTGTTTTCTATGCATTATTATCATCATTATTGTTATGTTTAGTTAATATTATTACATCCATTGGTTATTTATGTTCAATTGTAAATAGTTAATACTGAGAGAATCAATCCAATAAAATTGACTGGTTAATTATCATGAATTCATTTCTTATCTGATAGTGTGAAATTTAGAAAAAAACAACAATAATACCAAGGTGTATTTGTACAATATACTTGGATTTTCATTCTCTGTAAATATATATGGGAAGCTGATTTACGGTGAATAAATCGGTATATAGTAATACTAGAGAATGAACATACATGTAAACACAAGCAGGCAGAATCATAGACTATGATTATTCACAACAACAGTATAAGTAGGTTTATCGGAAAAAATGTAAACTGAATCAATCAAAAATCTGTTGTATAAATAGATGTATGATGTATAACAAGTACTCTCAAGTAATTTAAACATTCGTGTGAAAGTTTATAGTAGTATTTTTGAAAATATGATTTGTAAAAACCGGAAAATTATCAACAATACTAAATAACAATAACTATAATGAATTATAGAGGTATTAAATGTGTTTATTTGTGTGCACATATGGCATTCAGTATTTTACCATTCTAGTTATATGAAATCATTTCATACATCCATATATGTGTATCTCGATCATAATTATTTGTAATTAAAAAAATGATTACAGGTTCACTGTAAAGAGTGAGCAAAAGCATCCCTCTTCTAACGAACTGACATAATACAAAGTAATTTATCAGGGATTCAATTAGTCGAAGTGAATCACTACTACTAATTATCAAAGATATACACATATGAATCAAGTAGATTTGAGGATAGATTCGAAAAAAAAACAGAACAGAAAGATCATAAGACATAAGTTATATGAAAAATGTAAGTTGTCTTTTTAGTTAATAAAAGAACACCCACCTTTCAGACAAACACACTCAAGCATCATTGTAAAGTGAGTAAGTAAGTAGTGCGTAACTCGACATAGTATTTCGGAAATAGTCTGTTAATCTTTTCAACAAAGTTATAAAAATGTATAGATGATGGATGAGTTAATATAAACACAAACTTTTGTAATTGACAACAAACATTGGAGAAAACAAAACAACAGTAATCAGTTGTTTATCTCTTATGTCATTGTTTTTTTCCTCTTCTCCGTTTTTTTACTGTACGTGTGATCTATATTGATCTTGATGAATGTGTTTCAGTTGAGCGTGTAATCTATCCAATTCCCTTTGTTTAGCAGCAATACTGGATTTAGTTTCAATTACCTAGAAAAATTGACAGAAGAAAATTAAATTCCGAAAGAAAAATTATTCATCACAGTTAACTGTTAATTTCGTTGTATTAGGTACATGAAAATGAGAGCGATTTTATTATCATTTGGTTGCCATTGTTATTGTTGTATTTATTCGTTTGTTTGAAATTACAGACCGATTCAATTTCATAACATTCATTGATCATCATTTCACAGGTCTATTTATATGGCCTTGAGTCGAATGTATGAGTAAGAGAAAGAGAAGTGTTATTGATCTTGTCGGCTTAGACAAATTGAAATAAATGAAGTGGGAGTGAGTCTTAAGATAGGATGACTGAAATTCATATGCCCTTAGTAGTGAATAAGAAGCATTATTATCCTCCTCACCGAATGATAGGAACAAATCTATCATTTTAGAATTAACGGATATAATAACGATTGTTTTCATACAAGCATTAACAGTTACACACTTTTATCAAAACTAATGTGTAAGTATCACTGATGATATTATCCAGATGTATCAATTTTAGATAGGTAACAATGAATTTGGAACTTTACTGAAGAGCATGACAAATGATCCTCTCTACAACCAGTAGTAATTGAATCGTAAACGTTCTTTGAAGTTAGTGCGGAGTTATGATTATAAGTCAACGAACAGATCAGCTAAGCATTGTCTACCTCATATTAATGTATGATGTAAAACAAAATATTTAGGCCGCGTTGAGCGCATGGGAGCAGACATGAAATACTATGTTTAACAACAAGACCAAGTTAAATCTACAAACGGTACTATGATTGCTCCCAGATCAACTAGACACACAGAAAGTTTCACTTAATCCAACAACAGGATAAATGTATTATTTAAAGCTTGTGGTATATCTTTCGTTTTTCTTGCTAATACAAAGACGTCCTTTTTTAATAAAAATAAAAGGAGGCTGGTAACATCAACATCCATTGGTTATACCAAAATTGAAAATCGTTAATTGTTAACCTATCAACTAAGTAATCATAATATGTTTTCATAAAATATAATAATGATACACTGAATTGTAATATAAGACACATTTCAAAGTGTACAAAATCAGAATAATCTCATAATATTATAACCAGATATATTTGTAGTTCGTTCTAAAAGCCGTGATCAATATTACAACAACAAAATTGACACATACTTGTCTCATAGATGAAACAACTCGACCATTTGAATAGTCTAATGATGTCTCAGATTGTTCTTTGTCTACGTTCACTGGTGTTGTTGTTGTAGTTATTGCAGGTTTGCTTTTGGATGCGATCATTTGCACAATTCGTACCAAACGATCGGCTGCATGTTTGACAGATCCACCAGCATTACGTAAGCCTAAACAACTTTGTGAATTCGGATCAGCTTTAGCTATACAAGCAATGACCAATTGAGCAGTATAACCAGCGGTTGTTTGCGCAGCCGATATTAAACTTTCTGGCTTTAAAGTTATATCACCTGCGTCGATTAATTGTGAAGAACCGCTAACGTGCATTGTGACAAATGCTTGAGCTGATTCAACTAAGTGATTCGCACCAACAGCCACATACCTTGCCTACATAAATTTTTAAAAAGAGAGAGACGAGACATACTGCATAACAATTCAAATATGTAACGGGTTTTTTAAAATTATTTTCACCTAATCATGGGTAGTCGGAAAAGACAGCTTATGCAACCACCAGTCAGAGATAATGTAGCTAAACAAACATTTTACCTGGTAATTGTTCTAGGTACTATTAAAACTCTCCACATTCTGTTTATGCTTTTAATAAATTGAAACGGGTTTGAAGCACTTGAAACAAAAAACATTGCAACACAACCAGGAAAATCAAAGATAAATGAACAGGTAGTTAGGTCAGTGTAAATGTTTAACACTATGACAGTGTGCACTGCTGAAAACAACATAACCCTATTAGTAGTCGGTCACTAAGTTGTCAAATAAAAGCAGTGCAGATGTAATATGTGTTCAATGAGGAAAAAACTAAGGAAAATAAAGTTAGCGATTAAGTTTAAATTAATAAATGCAATTTGAGAGGCACTATAAAACCCTAATATATCAGTGAATATCTGATGAACAGATAATAAATTCTTTGGTACTTTTAGTAATATTCAAAATCCAGTAATCTTGGTAATTGGCTTAAATAATATAATAAACAATAATTAAATCTGAAAATCACTCTTTAATTTCATCGGTTAGTGAATGATCTACAAAAACCTTATCTTACAATCAGTAAGAAATTTTAATCAACATTCTAAATGTGTTCATTTTTGTCTTTCAATATTCATTCTTGTCTTGGGTTTACTATTTGAAATTATTTTGTCAGTAAAAAACACAATATTTACATCAATTTAGGCATTTGATCATATGTTAAAAGAACTCATTTGTAACAATCTTAAAAAGAATATCTACTGATTTAGAACGTTTGATATGCGGCTGGAAGTGGGATCTAGAATGGACGCTTCAACTGACTTGAAACTCATCAGTTGAGTGTTCTTGAGACTTAATGTTGACGTCCACATTGAGACTCGAAAATAGTGTCTTTCGTCTAAAATGAACAACTCGTCATCTGTTGAGATACTGAATTCAGGTAATAACTAAATTGTTTAATGAATATGAAAATAGTAAGTGCGAGGATAGTCCACTGGTGAACCCAAGGAAGTTTAGAAAGAGATGAAGATATTCCATCCAATCATCTTCTGGAAGAATATTCCAGAATCACTGCGTGTAGCTTCGCTGTTGGACAACTGCTAATAATCCTCTGTATGCAGATTGGTGGACTATAACGATGATTTCGTTTTTACTACAAAACTATAAATACCTGACAGTTTTGTCCTATAATTGACATTGTTTGGAATATCATTCCTTTCACTTGTCCTCTTCCTTCCTAATTGGGACTTGAGAGGGTTTAGAGTTCGAGTGCTCAAGTTTATTGAGAATCTAAGCTCTACATATAACAGTAAGGATTTGTAATCTCAAGTTGTTGAAATTTCTTTTGAGCATAACAATTAAATTAATATAAAAATCATACACTTTATAATTTGTACATAGTTTTCATCGTACAATAAAATAGGTGAAGAGCTGTTAACAGCTATCGCCTTTGATCTATAATTGTTAAACAGTGAGCAATCACGAACACGTCAAGGATCAAGACGATGTCTGCTTATGACTCACAATGGGGCTGATAACATCGAGTCAGTAAATAACAATGCTAGCGTCTACATTTTATGTCTCATGAAGCTCGTGGTACACTAGTGTCATGAAAAACTGACTTCGGTGAGTAATTACCTCATTCTCATATCGTCAGATAGACAATTAGGATAATTACACTATTGACTAGCATTTATAACCCAATGATTTCTGAAATCTTTAGAAATGTTTTCATCCCAACCTCAAAAATGTTTCCATCCTGTTCCATTCAATGAAATGAATAGTTCTAAAAAGGAAATTATTTGTTATTTTTGAAGATTAATATAAAAGGGTATTATTCCTTTAGTATTCACCTCTACTCTAAACTCTGAACGTTAATAATTTTACTTAGCACTAGCTACGTGGTCTGCTAATCCTAATTGATGAATGTAGGTTGATCGATTTCATCAATAGGGGTCAAGAATTTCAACCACCGGAGGATAAATGTCATGAATGAAGTTAGTAATGAGAATATTGATTTTCTGACAAATATTTTACAGAGAAACGCATTTAAACAAGATTTTGCTATATATATTCAAAATATTTGAAGTAACTGCTTTCAACAACTATTATCTTAACAACTATACAAAAAATGAACTTCCCTGAAGTATACAAAACATATAAAAAATGTTAACTACTTACGGCTGATATTAAACCTTGTGCCCATTGTGATTCAGATTCTAGATCAGGAGTTTGTGGTATATCAATTGGTTTTAATCGACCTTGTTGAACAAGTTCACGTTGAGCAGCAGCAGCCCAATACATTAAACTTAAAGTAGCATGAACTAAATTTCGACAAGCTATTATAAGTGCATCCATACCATCTGATGATTCTAAATCTATATCTTCATTACTATTATTTATAGTTGTACGACTATCATTGTTAGAAATTTGATTGTTTGTCGTTGAAACAACAGTGATAGTTGTACATTTTGATGTTGAAGTCATCTAAATATAATATTTATTTAAAAGAAAAATAAACTCGATTACATTATGATTGTAAATTGAAAAAGTCATTTTTAATTATAAAAAAAAACATTTCGGGTATTTATCATCACAGAGATAAGTTATATTCATTTAAATATTTAACAAAACAAAACAGTTGTTTGCATAATGGGAAGAAAAGATAAAGTAATAAAATATGATGTTAAGAACATTATATCCTTAAGTATGGTACCTTTTTTTGTTGACAAAATGAAGTAAATATGAACAAGTATTACACAGATTTTAATAAGAAAATAAAATAATAAAAGTCAATTATTAGCGAAGATACACATATATGATATTGAAGAAAATGAAGGAAGTCTTAAAAAAATTAAGAGAATTCCCTTGCAAATCATTTCACTTACTACAACTGTACAATCTTATTTATAATTATATACAGTAGTCACAATGGCGTCGGTGTATACACCCTCTGTCTTCCCTTAAACTAAGAGACTAAAATCGCTTCATATCTTTCTTTCTACGAACTAATTCTTTCTTCCTGTACAATATCCTTATTAAATTTTTTAAAAATATATTACCACTATTGACCTAACCACTTCTATGAATCCGGTGTCCATCTTGTGTTAGTGAGGTGTGGCAACTTGGACCGATGCATATATGTGCCTGATTCCACGTTGTAGCTGACTGACTGACGATATACAGTAGTCTATATGTAAGACAGAAAATTGTTGTGCCACCAACAAATTCATCAAAAATTAATAAAAATTTCCATCGAATATAAGTTACTTTGTAGACGAAGGTTAATGAGAAAAAATAAGACGAGAATAAAACTTTGAAGAGAGATATAAAAAACATTGGTCCATTTGACAAATAGAAAGAGAATAAAAGCATTTAAAACAAGCTACACAATTAGAAAAGCGTTTAGGAGCATGGTCGAATAAGATAATGGACATACCGTTTCTGAAAAGAGACCAAGTATGAATAAATGACTTGTCAAAGCGTCTACAATGCACATATTTCTCAAGTAACCTCACGCTTAGAACCAGTTTGTTTGACTTCATGAATAATAATAAAAGAAAACTCTGATGAAGATGGATAGCTAGAATTGAACAGATGATTAACAATTGACTGATTTACATTCCCCTTTAGATAATCCTGGTGGTACAATCAAGTTCATAATTATGTCACACATCCATCTGTAATATGTCATTTTCATTTCAAGCAGAGATAGAAACAACGGTACTGACGTCGAGTCCCAGAATGAACATGAACTATGGGATGAAGGCACGTCAAGGTGACAAATTCCGAAAAAAACAAAACGCGCATCTTGGACTCCAGTGTTAACCACCATCCATCACTGCTGACAGTACTCGTGACCTAATAGCAATATTGAGGCAATCCGCACAGAATGCAAATATGCAAAAAAAGAGACTGACCAACTGAGGTCCTAAACATCAGTGGGAAGACTAAAACAACCAATACAAATGATTTATTTTCATTTTGTCAACAGCTCATTACGCTTCACTATAAAGTAACTTATATATATATATATATATATATATATATATATATATATATATATATATATATATATATATATATATATATATATATATATATATATATATATTGAAAGGAGATGAAAAGAAGGACAGAGATACCTACCGTCCCTAAGGCAGTATTGTTCATAAAATTACAATTCGTAAATGATTTTACTGAAGAAATTGTGACTTGGACACTAAGAAAAGCTGTAGAGAAAACACTTATTACAGCCAGACTAAATGCTATCATCCACAACCACCCCAAAATAAGAACGGCCAATAAAGACAGATTACCTGAATTCGCCAAATATATGTATATTTATCGATTCAACTGCTCCTGTGGAGCCAGTTATATAGGGCGTACAATTCAGCAAGTTCATCATCGTATAATAGAGCACTATGCATCGTGGTTAAGCAAAGGATTGATAAGAGTGATTAAAAGTTCTATTCTCGCTCACTTAGTTGACACAGGTTATAAAGTTGAACTGAATAAAGCTTTTAAGGTCATCTACCATATTCCATCAAATTTGCCAAATGGTTTACGAGTGCGCCTTTTGAACAATGAGGAAGCCATCGTAATTCATGTTTACAAACCTAACCTTTGTATTCAAAAGAAATTTGTACAACCACTTTCGCTAGTTTGGCCATCGGTATAAAAGTGCTTCCAGCAGAACTAATCTTCGTACTTCTTCCATTTAGTTTTTTTGTTATTTTTTAACTTTGTAACTTTCTCAACATTCATATTAGCGTTAGCTATAACATCACTATAATTCAGCCAATCCGCAAGGACGCAAGTTATACTACCGTTCAATCGTAGCATGCTACGTTGATATTTTAGAAAACTATCAGATTCTGATAAGGTGAATACACCCTGTCTTTTAGTACCTCTGAGGGCTCCATCATGCTCCTCGGAAGCCATCCAAACGATAACAGGCAATCATTTTCCGATGTAAGAAGATAAAGTGGATTTAAAATTAAGATCAAGATTACTGAGTCACACATACTGTTTAGAAAGTACCAGTTGAAAAACGTATGTTTACATACATAAAAAAGGCATTACAAAGTATACCAGCTTTTTTCTAAATTGAAAACAACAAATGTTGTAGAATGAAGTAAATTCATGTAAATTAGTAGACTATAAACGTCTAAAGTACATAAACATTTTACAGGTTAAATTTAATTTTCGAGAAACCATATACAAATACATTAATTCGTAACATTTTAAAAAAAAAGCACAAAAGTAAACGATCATTTGTAAACTATAAAAAGTACGATATATTTATTATCAGAAGGGGTTTGTGGAGATTTTAGAAATTTCACAGATTGAAATCATGAGTCAGTTGAAGCTAGACCACTCCTCGAAGAGTGAATGCGCACTGCCAAGGAGTCCCATACTAGGACGAAACGGCCGTTCAGTGCTTCCAGGTTTTCCATGGTGGTCTAGCTTCAATTGACTCATGATTTCAACTACTGAAATTACTAAAATTTCCACAAAAACCCTTCTGATATTACGGACAAGTTAATAATTCTTCTTATAGATTCCTAACCAATGATGCAATAACAAAACTTATTATTCAAGATTTCTTTAAAAAAGGTAATGTCTACTTAATCTTTGTATAAAAGAATACATTTTATCAATACAACAGATTGTATTCAATATTTAGCTTGAATAAACAACTTGCTAAATGAATTGGCGGTCAAGAGAAAAAAAACAAATAATGCAACTATAATACACTAGAACTATATTTAAAATATTAAATGGTTTATTTCATTCATAATTATCTTACCGTATCTTTAGACTGATCTAATTGTGAATGACTTGATTTTTGTGAATTTAATGAATTCTATAGAAAAAAGAGAAGACCAAAATACATAACAAATCATTAGAATATGGTTGATTATTTAATTCGACAAGTGAGTAATAGAACATATTAACATATTTTGTATAGTTTTAGTTGAAAGGGTTTTCTGGAGATTGATTTAATTGATGGGTGTTATTCAACGCAGATCGATTTCAAATGATGCATCATTTGAAACCAGAGAGCATTGGAGAGCTGTTTAGTCTTAGCATGCATGATCTTGACATGGGTCGGACTCATGACCTTCAGATTTCACGGTGAACCCTTAACTATTAGAATTACTAGGTCGGCATTCACTGGCACAATTTGAGTTCCGATCAATTTGGTACATATTACGATGATCATCTAATGGCATTTGTCATAACTGCTTTATATTAGACATGTTTGAACCCCGCCCTTTACAATGTCCTGATAAGACTAAAGGAATATTGCGAAACAGATTTTGATAAATTTTGTAAAGAACAATCGAATGAAATTGACTGATTGGTTTTATAATGAACTAATAATTCAACATCATATTTTGGACATCAATATTAAGTAAAGTTTCGGCAACATTATAAATTACAGAATTGTAAGTCATAAACCCTTAAAAAGATAGATGCGCCATTCTGTTAATCAATTGAATATCTAAATGTTTAGTGATTTTTATGAAATGAATAAACAAGGTAGTTTTTCCTAAGGTTAATTTTAATCTTAGAAACTTAATGTTTAGCGTTCACTGATCATGTACTGATTTCGCTACAAGGATTTCATCCTTAATTTAATTATTTTGATAGCTAGCGATACGAATCGGCTCAACAAAACAACATAGATGAAGCAATGGACCAAACCTGTTATCCATCAGTGTGTGTTAACTAAGAAAACACTACTTGCTGTCTAAGCCTATAACAGGGACAAATAGTATGCCGTTAAAATTACCAAATATTAGGAATTAATTCGATATTATAGAAGCTTAGATTTGTTAGAAGCTGAAATAAATTGGGAACAAATATCTATTTATTATATTGTTTCATTTAACTGGACTAATGTATCCGATTTTGAGCCACGTCACTCGTCATCTATTACTAGCAACCGAAGTTATGGAGTGAACTTCAGTCAGTCTGGAATTACCAACAGTCAATGATTACATGGAATAATGTAACGTCTTGGTTAGGTCGTCCTTAGCTTTTTTCTAACTTGCTGCTACTCCGTGCAACATTAGATGTCGATATGGATAGTGGTTGAACATACATAACACATGACGTAGACATCTTATTCAATAAAGAGTTAAAGCCTTATAAACAGATTTGCCACCTCTGTTTGGTACATTATGCTTGGCATTAACATTGCTTCATTTGGTTATTTGACAATGTGAGCAAGATACTTCTAACACACCTATGATCAAAATTATCCAGACTATTAAAGTTTTCTAATTCTATAGACTACATAGTTAAACTATGAACTTTAATGAGAAATGTACAAATACAAATCAAATTACAAGTATAATACCTTAAATGAATGTTTTGAATGCAATAAACCAATACGTTCAACACTTCGTTCAATTTCTCCAGCTAAATCTTGAAGTGCATTTTGTACACCAGATGTTGATGAAGATGATGATAATGTGGAATGGTCAATATCAACAGCTGTTGCATTTGCTTCAGCAATACTCTTTTCAATATCTATTGAACTGCCATAAATTGATTTCCGATCAAAAGGATTTTCATAAGAACTTGTAATTTTATTGTCAATTAATATTGGAATTGGTTTAGTAGAAACAGATGGTTTGAAATCTTAAGTAAATTTTTAAAGAAAATGAGAATGTCACTCAATACTTTAATATAATTATTCATTCTTATGATTAAAAGAAAATACAATGGTCAGTGGAATACTTTCTGTAAGCTGTGAAATCTCAAATATAAACATTTTTGATGATGTAACGTCTTGTGGATTGGATGATTTATTCATAAAGCTGTTATGAAAAACATCATCCACGCTAACTTCTATATTCATTTGAACTACAGATTATCTCGTTGAAATGATAAACCGATGTAAGTTAGACTAACACTGAAATTCTAAAAGCACAGGACAAGGGTTTCATCTTAGCACAAAACTCCTTAAAATTGAGCATCCACGGTCCCAAGCGCAAACACTTTATCTTAGTTGCCTACTGAAGAAAATAGAAGACGGTCGCGAAATGTCATGAACTGAGTGAAGTTAAACACATTAACACCGTTCGATGTCGGCTCAGTGGTCTACATTTTATCTGCCACACAAAAGCAATCTATTTCCATTTCCATACATTTTCTAATTACGTTTCATTTTTCAATTTACTATAATGTATAATTTCAATAAATCCACGACACTGCGTGACCATTTCCCATTGTCTTCCGAAAAAGAAACAATTCACAAAAGATCTGTACAGTAGTACAATTGACAGAAAAAGCTTTCTGACTGTTAGACTAAATAGCTAAATAGACCCTAATATAATGGTTAGCTAGCTCAAAATGGTAGTTTACAGGGGAATGGTTATTGTAGCATAGTGCTCTATGATTTGGAACGGTACTTCAGTTGATTTTATAGTTTGAGATTAAGACTGCCTATTTTTTTAATGAAAGAGATTATATATGCTATTAATTGAATCAATAAAATGTTAGCACTTTCTGGAAAAAATACTTGTGAAACTAATGTAAAAGTATGTGTTGTGCACATACTGAATCTATACATGACTGATTATACAACAAAAGGTAACTACACACCAGCAATATCGTCTTCGTTAGCACCAGGTAAGGACATTGAACAGTCAACAATTTCAAAAACTGTTTCTCGTAAACGTCTCATAGCCAGAGTGACTTGAACACTATCCGGACTTCCAGGACCAGAATCAAGTGCCTATAAACAAAAAAAGATGTATGAAAAGGCAGAAGAAGATAGAGTCAAGTAATAATGACAAAATAAGAGAAAACATAAAAGTGAGACACTACTATCTTTTCAGTAGTATTTATTCATAATGTATTCAAGATGGACAACCGGAATAAGACACCAAATATTACAATAGTTATTTTTACTGCACCAAAACTTCAAGCCATAATTAGTCATTTTGACTGAAGAAAAAGTAAACCAAATATAATCTATATGTGCAAATAGGTGGCTTAGACAAAAGATGAGCTACTCGATAAATGGTTCATAAATGCATGTAGGTCGACTTAACAGTTCTGTATGTGACTACGAAATGGGTATTCAGATGCAGGAACACACATTTTCATGACTAAGATAAGGCGTGACTACCACTATAGACAACATCCTTTTTCATCTGGTTCTAAGTGAACATTGTGTTGAGATAAATTAAACATTTTCAGTTTTGTATCATTTTGGAGGGAGTTTAACAAAACGTCCGTGATTATGACCTCTATGGATAGTGGAAACCATTAGGGCAGACTCGACATAAATGTCAATAACGTACATTCAACTATTTTATTTACTTTAGTCTACGAAGGAGTCAACTCATTCTTAATCATATTAGTTAGTTTAGTTTTTATGTTGTATATTCAGCTCTCTGACTTTCTATAAAATAGTGAGTTGATGTTACTTCTATTATTATTATACCTAAGTTGAAATTACTGGCTTTTTATCTTGTATTTTATTCCGTTTCATTATGTTGATTACATACAATTCATCACTTTATAACGTTTATAATTAAACAAAAAAATACTTGAATAAACTCACATTCAAAGCCAAAGTCAATACCCTATCAATCTTTGAAATTTCAGACTTGTCTAATTGAATTTATGTAGAACACTAATTAAATTAAGACATCTTTGTATGCTTTAAACCAGCTATTGTAAAACATTATTTATGGATTACCATTGGAGAGCAGTGTAGATCGTTGGGTTTCAGAGTTTACATCACCAGACTAATCTTAGTTACACAGACATTACATAACGAAAGCAATGGACAGCTGTTTTGTCCTAGTATGGGACTTTTAGGCAATACTAACTCGTAACTGTCTGCTTGGGATTCGAGCCTGAAACCTTAATAAGAGAGGTTACTTAAAACAACTGCCATGTAAAGCAGTTTGAGATCTTTCCTTTTTGAAAACATCGGCAGTTGAATAATCGTTATTTATGAAGTTTAGCACGGTATGGAAAATATTATATAACGCGAAAGTCAACTTCTCATTTCTGAAAACAAAATTATCTGCTTAATTATTAGTTAGCTGCAGCTGAAAAAAATAATCATTGGAAGGAAATGTTGAAGAGCTATAAATTTTAGTTTTAAAACAAAAACAAATCAAGCAGTAAAGCAGTGATGACATTAGATAAGAATCGCGTCATATTTAAACCCAGTTGATTGAAGTTCAAAAATATCACAACACACAGAGAACTAACAGCCCAAATACATAGTATGTAGATGTCCGTGTATGCCGTTGTTCAGGAGACTAACACTAGGACGAGATAGCTGCTTGGTGTTGATGTTAGTTCATGATGAAAATTGCTTGAGTAACCATACTAACAATAACAACAATGACAACAATGTCTAAACAATAATGAAAAATACAAACTAATAACTATAAATGAAACATAAGTATGGTTTACTTTATTCATATGTTCCACTAATTGTTTAAGCTCTGACATTGTACTAGCACTTCCATGAATTGCTCGTTGACATATTTTCTCTAAAGCAGGATAGCATATTGATTCACTACAATCATCTAATGTATTTCCACTTCCTAATTCACGAACAACACCATTTGATAAAACCTCTTGAGTATTAGAAGGATTGGTCGATTTGCGCCAAGAAGCATTATCTTTTGATACGGAGACAGATGACAATGAAGTTTGTAGGACGGAATGAAGACGTCTTACTAGTTCTTCCGCAGCTCGGCGTATCATATCACCAGCTAAACCAATTTCGGATGTTTTACCTGATCCAGTAGCATTATTTGCATTAGTAGCTGCTTGAGTGATAGCTCGAGCAGCACACACTAAATAAGATGGATTGATCACTTGACCTAGTGCTGTTTCCCTTTCGAATTCCATGTCATCATCAAAATCTGGAGGTTGTCATTTACAAATAAGAACATGGGCAGAGAAAACATAAATAGAATAGTGGTTTGATAAATAATATACAGTGGATAGAATTGAGTATTCTGACTAATTATATAGTACGATAATAGTAATTACGGTCACTAACATTATCAGTCATAATCATAATTAAAACACGCATTTAGATTATTATGATGATTTGCGATCATTTAAATAGTCTTGATAGCCAAAACAGAAGCTTACTATTATTAACTCATCAGCGAGGTATAGACTCATATATTTGGCTTTGAGACATACTTTAAATGTGACGGCTATCGATGCTATCTATCTTTCCAAAACCAAAGTAATTAGAGCAGAGTAAAAACCTGAAAGGCATTGGCGGGGCGTCAGATGCCTTAACTACAGAGCCAGAGTTCCACAATTATATATTATTCAAATAACTGACAATCATATAATAAGCTGGTGCCAGTCAAACCTCTGCGTACAACGAGACTAAAATATTTAAATTACTGTTAAATAAACAACCACGTTATCGTTCTTCTTTATGTTTAAGATGATACCATGAACTCATTTGCTTCAAAAGCAACTCGACACGATCATTAGCTACAACTCTTCACTTAATAGGAAAACCGTTTTTATCGTTTCAATTAGTTATGCGTACAATGTATTCAGAAAGTCAACTGGCAGCTTATAAAATGTACATTTATCATGAAATAGGCTAAGTTTAGGTTCTTTGTCGATTCCGACACATTGAGTTTCGTTGGACGGAAACGCTGTGTTAAACTGAATCACGAAAATGAACAAAAATTTAGTTCTCACCATCATTTAAAGTGACTGTGATTATGCTTAGAGTCATAATTGATTAAAGGTCTAACCATTTAAACAATCGTTCAAATATAAAATAATTTTCGTGAGATAAGGAGGAGAATCATTGTGAGGACGGTACAATAGTTGGGAATTCATTTCCTGACCAAGAGAAAACAATCTATACAATACATTTTTCAGTTATGAAAAAAATATTTGAAAAAACGCAATCAAAGTCGTCTGTAGTGATTAGTATGTGATTTTCTTGGAAATGATCAATCATAAAATTCATTAGGAAAAAAAGACAAAAGATCTACACCTACCTGGTGTATGTAATAATCCATCCTTAACATCCCATTTATTTAATCGTTCATTTAAATTACTCAATATAGTTATAATTGATTCAAGACTGGTATGAACGTTAGATTTTGCATGGTCAGTTTTTTTATCCAAACTTGTGAATTTTTGTGCGGATAATTTCAGACTAACTTTTTTCAATGGGACTGCTGGAGGAATAGGTGAAATTGGTGGATTTTCATCTTTTACAGTAGGCGATTTAGCCACAATAAACATGTCACTAATAGAACGTAGAGCATTTGATAAGCTAGATATAGTTTCAATTACTTGAACAGCAGTATCATTTAAAGCTTTTTGCTTAGTTTTCATTAAACTATTTAATGTATCATCTGTTTGATCATTCCAAAATTCAATAGCATAACATACTGCAGAAATAGATTTACCATGATTAAGTAAACGTACTAAACCTGAGATAACATCACGTGTAGATGTTAACAATTGTACTTGTCCTTCAATAGATAAATCTGGATTAGATGATAATAATGATGCTGTACATGAAGCAGCATTTTTAGCTGACTCAGTTAATTCTGTAGCTCGAATAAAACAATTTTGTGCAGATACTGCTAAAGCATCTTGATCAGTTGATGTTGTTTTAATCTGAAAATCAAATAATAAAGAAAATAGAAATAGCTATCTGGTTTATGTAAGTATAAAAATGAAAATTCACGCTGTAAAAGATTGAATAAATGAAATCATTTCGTTCTGATTAGTTTAGAGATCTTATTATAATATTTCGTAAACGTAAACTATTTATTAAGTTATTCTTGACGAGATGTTTCAAAGAAAACCTAAATCCTTCAATACTAATGAGGAGGTTTATGAAATAACAGGTTGAATCAAGTTATTAATAAGGGTAATAACGTCATAGAAAGTTAATTTTTTAAAAACTATGGTCATTTGAAAAAAATAATAATCTCACTTCTTGAATAAGCTAGTATTAAAATTACTTATAGTTATTACATCACACTTACTTAACAAACTGTTACTATGGCTGATCTGTGGAGTGTAAAACATAATAATTATTATTCATTTAAGGAAAATAAAAATAGGTTTAAGGAATTTATTCAAAGAGACAAATGGAAAACGCCTTCATATAGCGAGACTAATTTAAAGACGAGTCAGTCAGAGGCATTTGAGGGATTTCAAGGTCATTGCACCAATTTCAGTACCTGACGCTCACGTACGATCGGTTTACAGCGGAGTTTAGAGAAGACGTGATTATTGAGCGGCTACAACAGAAGAGACTACTAAGAAGTTCGTTTAATTGTGACAGCGGTAATCAAATGACTGCTGTACCGTGTTCAGACTACCGTGATGAGATCGTCTTTCGACGTTATGTTAGAGGAAGAAGTCTGCTCGAACGGGAACTTTCTTCGCTCGATCACGATTGAGACTAAAACAAATCATGATAATTGTTGTAAATTAGATAATAAAAGCACCAGTAGTACTGGCTGCAGCATTTTCAGACGTTACTGAAACTTCGGCTGTTCAGTGGTATGAGTATCGTAGTGATATATGTGCAATGAAAATGACAAGTTTACACGAGTCGTTTGGAGGAGTTGGGAGAATCGTTGAAATAAACGAAACAGTAGTCCGGAAGCGGAGGACATAGTATGAAGGGAGACTGGGTAAGTATCACTTCTATAAATATACCTCATAGGTACTTGTAATTTACAACAGATAAACTCAAAAGTGACACTTCCAAAAGGTCAGAAACTGACAAGCAACGACAATAATACCGATTATATGGGAATACGTGCAGCCGAGTACCACAATATATACGGATGACTGGAGAGCCTACCGATGCCTGAAGAGACTTGGATATGTGCATCATGTCGTTATCCATAAGCGCCGTTCTGTTGACCCTACGACAGTAGTGCATACTAGAAATACTGAAGCTATGTGGTCGAGGCTAAAGGAGTTCTTACGACCCTACCATGGTTCGAGAGGTCGACTATTACGGAGCCATATGGATGAGTTCCTCTACCGTATGCTCTACGATTTCCGAACCTCTGGACCTCTTTCAAGCCTTGATAAGTTTTTGAACCATGTAAAAGAAGTTTATCCACTTTAATTCTTTGGTTTTTTTTATAATATATCTTTACTTTATACTAACTGCCATACGATTGACTAATATTTCTCAAGGTCATTTAAGGTCCGTTCAAAGGTCGTCAATAAATTAGTCTCACCTCTCCATACATTAAAAAAACTGCTGATCTCGATGATTAATGAACACACTAAGTTACCATCAACATAGATTAAAATATTGTACAACAAACTTTGCACAAAATTAAAAGTGATTAAGCATAGCTAATGAGAAGCAAGTTTATACTAAATTGAATTTCAGGTAGAATAACTTACTTACTCCAGTTACCCCTCGTGGAGGAGCATAAGATGCCAACCAGCATTCTCCATGCTGGGATAATCCTTTCCAGTTGCTATTCGTCCTTTTCATATCTGCTTTCAATTCCCGGCACAACGTATCCCTTGGTCTTCCTCTTTTCCGCTTTCTCTTTGGGATTCCAAGTAAGCGCTTGCCTCATGATGCAGTTTGATGATTTCCGTAATGTATCTTCTCTCCATCTCCAGCGTCCTTTCCTAATCCCATCCTCGGTCAGAAGCTGATTTGTTCTCTTCCACAGTGGGCTGTTGCTGATAGTATCTAGTCAACGCACATTTAGTATCTTGCGTAGACAATTGTTGATCAATACTTTGTTTATGATTGTAGTGGTTCTCCGAGTTTCGGTTCCGTACAGTAGAACCGTCTTGACGTTCGTGGTGAAGATTCTGAATTTGTTGATTGACAGTTACTTTAAGTTCCATATGTTCTTCAGTTGTAGGAGTGCTGTCCTTACTTACTTACGCCTGTTACTCCTCGTGAAGGAACATAGGCCGCTCACCAGCATTCGCCATCCAACCCTGTCCTGGGTAATCTTTTCCAGCTCCTTCCAGTTGTTATTCATCCTTTCCATATCTGCTTTTATTTCCAGACGTAATGTGTTCTTAGGCCTTCCTTCAGGATTCCAAGTTAGGGCTTGTCTCGTGATGCAGTTTGACAATTTGCGTAGTGTCCTATCCATTTCCATCGTCTTTTCCTAATTTCCTCTTCAGCTGGAAGTTGGTTTGTTCTCTCCCACAGAAGGCTATTGCTGATGGTATCATTAGGAAGTTCTGTCCTTCCTTTGCCAAAACTCGATTTTACGTCTTCATTGGATCCTTCTTGTTCATTGATGATGCTGTTCAGGTACGTGATCAGGTTAAATAACGGTTCATTTTTATTTCTATGCTAAGCGGTTAACTGATTACCTGACCAGCAGTTATTGAAGATATTTATTAACTAATTTTACAAGAAAGACGGTCACTATAGAGTATGTCTGTTATGAAAAATCATTACCAAAATATGTCAAACCCAACATACTCAAATAGTATTTGATCAAGAAAAATGGAACGTGAATTCGGTACAAAAAAGTATCTAGTAACACTGAACTATCCACCCAGTGAATGACCTTCTGTAGGACTGAGAGACACACCGATATCATCTTGTCTAAACTTTAGTTCAGAAAAAATTAAATTGACCAAGTTAAAATATGATTACTGACTTACGCAACTTAACATCTTGTGAACCATACTTTGATTTTAAGTGGTTAGAGGAAATAGATGCGCTTTGACTTTCGTGCTGGTTATTAGCAATTTATATTTAAATTTACGAGTATTTTTACATCATTATTAAAAAGGACAATCAGAACGTGTCACATACACAACCATTAAGCAATAATGAATTTTACAAAATATAAATAAAAAGCTTACCAGAGTTTGCATATCTTCAACAATGCCTTTTTCCGCTTGCATTACTGCTTCTTGAGCAGTTTGAAAAGCTCTTTGTTTAAATGTAACAGAACCTTTATCAGTAGGTGAAATGGGCGTCTTAAATGATTCTTGTAACGTACCAGCACGTGCAAACAATGCAGCTGTATCTAAATCAGCTACTAAACGATTTAAATTAGTTATTGCAGTTGTACAAGCATCAGCACCACGAGTACATGATTGAAGTACAGCTTTAAGATCATTCAATCTAGAGTTTAGATTATTTACTCTATCTGTATGTAATGGAGCACGGAGAAATTCGGAAGAAGCTGCACCAATAGCCTATTTGTAAATGTGAAGAGGAAAAAAGTAGAACATTTATATTCCATTTCTAAAGAGTATCAAGATAAAAAATTATGGGAGAGTGTGGAAAATACATAGCAAAAGATCATTTTTGAATAGCAAGTACTAATCACATGGTGAGTTTTGAGCGTTAATAATAATTTTTTTTATTCGTTGTTTTCGGTACTTGTTATTCGTATTAGTTTTGAATCTGACGATTGACCGGCCGCAGGTATTTCAGTAAAAGAATACCAGCAACACCTTAAATAATCGTTTACATGATTCGAGGAACTTGGTTTTGTTACAATGCTGCAGTATGTGAATGAACATGACAAATCTGTTTATTTGATATTTCATCAAAGTTTTAAACTGAGAAGTATTTTAAGCAAAATATGAATTTCAGTGGTAAGCACAAACGGGTAACTAGTTCACTGATTCACGATTGATTGATTCTTAGTAATATCTGATCTTTGGCACTAGCCGAAATGATATTGATCAAGTTAAAAGTGTCAATTCAAGTAACTCGACATCGAGTGCACTATATTGACATTTTAGATGATAAGAGGACGGCGACAAGGAACTCTAGTACCACAACTAATTATTCATCTAAGTAATAAATCGTCAAATGAAGAATGAATTTACTTGAGTAGCATGACAAAGCTTTTGAGCTAAAGTAGGTCCCGTGTCAATTTGTGGATGCATTTTCAATACAGAAGACATTTGCTGTACTGTCTCAGTCATTTGAAGAAATTGTTGAACAAAAGAAGATATGATTTCTGCACAATTTTCTCCTTGATTAGCGGCATAAACTTCTGTTACTCTAACCATAAGATCAGATAATTCACGTGATTGATGACCTAGACGCGCATGCAGTTGAACAAAGTTAGCTGGCAATGAAACAGCATTTTCATTTGAATCATTCTTTTGTGATCCATTTGATAAGGGTACTGTATCATCAAGCTAAATAAGTAAACAGAGAAACAGATTAGTAATACACGCATTAATGCAATATTTACTAAAAATATACTACTGATTATCACCAAGTAGTCAAGTCAGAAATAATTAAATTAGGACTCGATTTATTTTATAAATACCAACAGACACATTTCAGGAGTAGAAAATTGTTTGGTTTATACTGAACAAATAATGATTTGTAGGATTACGGAATATATCTCATAGTGATTCAAAATAACAGGGATGCAGTATATTTCTATTTCTTAGAGTATAGACTAGTCAGAGAAGAAAACAGGTAAACTAAAGACTCAAAAATAAGTTATTATGAATTTTTAATTAATTAATATAACATGTGATAGCAAATTTTCGTGAGCAAAAGTCATTAAAAAAGACTTTAATGAATACAAGTAGTGAACCAAAGGTCATCATTAAAAGATTTACGAAAAATGATGAAATTGTTGCAATACAATTGGATAAAGTTCCAGTTATAGTTATCAGGAATCGAAATTACCATGTAAAGTAAGTGGTTTAAGTCCTAAACTATGTATAGGGATTTAACGTTGATAGACCTAACAAGGATTCCATTGCAGCAACTGAATTCAGCATTAAGGAACAACTAAAAGAACTCCAAAAAATGCTCAATGATAGTCCAATTTAAAATGAGCTTAATGAACATAGATTTTCGTGTATTGTTTTCCAACATGATATAAATCAAATACATGCTTAAAAAACATAATGTCAATGATAAAATCACCATATCCCAGTTGGGCTTGGTGGTCTGTGAAATTATTGGAATCGATTCACGGAAGAAAGGTAATTCCTACCTTAAAGGATATATTCCAATTTTCAGTAGGAAAAGTCTAGGTGGATAAATTAGATAGAATTATGATGTTAATAGATGTTTTTCTATTATTTACAAATGTACCGAAGGAAGAAACCATAAGTCTAATATGCCATTAATTTGAATTACTTCCTGCGATGAGAAAATCACTACTACTATGTATAAAGGGGATTCAAGATAAATAACCAGTTGTACAGACGAATTAATGGACTGAATAAGATAAAATACACGGCCCATACATCCATTATTTGTAATAATATGAAACATGCTTTATAACTACCATATCAGTTTAACCAAGCAAGTAAAAACATTAAATATACTATGGAATACTTATTTCATAACCGAGAATTTAACCAGTGCACCACTGAGAAGTTCTATACTTATATCTATGACAGTTGTCTTGTTACTAATGATTATCAATAGTACTTCAACTGCACACTAATCTACATACAATGTACCAACTAGAATAAGCTTTAGAGAATTTATGTGTCAGAACTAATCAATTATTCGACAAACAATTTGATAATTCAATAGAATATATATGTCAGTTATTTCGGCTATTTCGTTAAACATTTTAACTTGTATATAAATGACTTTACTGCATTAAAATCTGTGCTCCATGCCTGTCAACTTTGATATTTTTTCGTTGTTGTTTACGTTTTCAGGTCATTTTATTTATATGCTTAACGGTGCATTTCTTTTCTTAGAAATTCGCATATATGCATCAACAGTTGACACTTCTCCATGAAAATCATACGAAAAGGGGATAAACATAAGCACACTAACATGAACATAAAACGAGAAGTTTGCCAGACCATCATCAAGTTACTATTACTGCACGAATTTGTAATAAAAAAATTATTCACACACATACACACATCGAGAAGCAGAAAATTCAGATGTAAACAAGATAAAAACACAGATATTAAAAAGTTAATGATGACTAACCTTTGAGCAAGCTGAAGTGATAGAGGCAATGTGCCAATTCAATCCACCTTGTTCCATAGCAATTGTATCGATCTGTTTAGATAATTCAACACAAGCTTGTTGTAATTGATTATTGTAATTGATCAGTGAATTGTGACAGTTGGACACTGGCAATGATTGTGACTATTGTATAAATGAAAAACAAGATCAACAAATAGATAACGGAAGAGATTTAAAACAAATTTAAGTTTTTTTAATTAACACTAATAGGGAATTTTAACTGGGGGGCTATGGAATAAAGTTTAATTGAATCAACAAGGCGTTCATTGATTTATACATTTTTATAGTGAACAAATTGACTGAATTCGATCATAGGAATCATCACTTGTCCACCCAGTTAGTGATGTTTTAATGATAAACTGCTAATAGTGAAATCTTTTATAATTCTTAGTTCTGATTCCTGATGATGAATCATGAATGCGGAGCTGTATACTACGGGTACAAAAACTTCTCACTGCTACACTAATTTCAATGATTGGTCTAGTTAAATTCAAATTGTGATTTAAAATTGATAATTCACATGAGAAACTGATTGTAGTTATACAGACACTAAAAACCAGAAGGCATTGAACTGCTGTTACGTCCTAGTATGAGACAACTTAACGATGCGCATCTATGTTCCCAACGATTATTGGACCTAAAACCATCAAATTTCAACGATAGTGATTTAATCTTTAAACAACGGAATTCAGTGGTTTACATGTCTATCTCCAACTAATCGAGAATATTGTGTAGTTATCTTTCAATCTGACTAGTGAGTGACTGCTTCACATCTAGCACAACTGAACTCCACCATTCATAGCTTTTCACCATAATTACATCTCGAAATAATCTAATAATGAGAACCTTATCAGTAATAGTGCTATAGGGGGTTTGTGATAAATGATGATTGATTTGTTGAAGAAGTTATCCGTTATTTATGTGAAAAATGCATTTAAAAAGACAATAAGATAATGGATAACAAAAAAACTACTTACTCGTCCTTTAAGAGTGATAGATACACAGTCAATTAACTGTTGCATAGCTTCTAGAACAGTACGTGTAAGACTATTCAAGTTTGTTTGATCGGACAGTCGCATCAAACTTCCGCATGTACGAATAGATTCCTATATCAAAGTAAGACAAAATTAGATGATGATGAAATGTTAATAATTCATAAGGTATTGAATGTACTTAGTTCAACTCTGACAGTGTATCAATTTTTATAGAAATGACAAAAATATTTGCTCTTTATTTAAATGCAAATAAATATAAACAACAAGGAAATGTTAGTGGATATTACTTAGAATAAGAATGACCGATAGTAATTTTGATTTCAATTATGAAGTAGTCAAATGAAACAAAACAAAGAACAATGTTATTCACTAGCTAACTGATTTTCAAGAAAAGTTTACGGTAATGAAGATATGTTTCTGAAACTAATACAGAACTCAAAGACGGATAAGTCTACATTGTAATTGAATGGGTTACAGAACTATACACGTTAAAATGTACTATATCTTAACAGTATGGAATGCGGAGATTTATAGAGCAGGTAGATGATTCTAGTGGTTTCTTTTTGTGAGTTGGATGATTTTCCATATCAAAAGTATAGCATGTATATATAGTCCTTTAAATTATGATGAGCATTTTATATTCGATCACTAAAATTAGTACAACAGAGTATTTTAGCCGACTTGCTTGAAGTTGGGAAATTCTTGTATCATGTGGAATGATCAACTATCACAGGAACCTAAATTAGACCAAAAATAGAGATCTAATGACGAAAGTATCAAGTTTTAAGTATAAGACAGCATAGAATTTAATTTACACTTGAATGTATATGCATCTCGATTAACCAGAAGGGAGGAAACAATTAATAACACTCATCTACTATTTAATCGATAATATGTCTCCATTTAAAATAGTTTCTGGTCTCTTGCAATCAATCTGAATAACTTCAAATCAGGTTTTCATACAGTATAATTATATTTCAAAACCAGTGGTTGTGTAGGTAAAACGCTATTCTTGATTTTTCTAAGCAAATTTAAAGTCATTAAAAATGTAATATTCTTTTTTCAACAATCTAATATTACATTATATCCCTCTTTGTAAATTGATCTTTTTGTAATCAACAAACTTTTTCTAAAATTAATCGTTGTAAATCAGTTGTTTCTAATCAGTTTACATTAAATACAGATTAACATGTACAGTTAGTTTTCTTCATACCTAAAAATGTGTATTTTGATTTTTTTTTATAGTTGAAGATTTCATGAATAAAGCATTGTTATTATAAGTAGTATGATATTCAAATATCTAACTTGATGATGTATAGAATTCCTAAGTTCTGTCCTATGTAATTTATGTAACCAGCTTAAACAATCAAATTAAACCGACTATAGAAAACTCCCACTTGTATAAAAGGTACGTAGATGATATTTATGACAACAAATATGATTTGAGTCATCTTCTAAATACGTTTATTAACTGTCATCCAGCAATAAATTTCACATTTGAAGTTGAAAACAAACAAAATATTCACTTTCTTGATGTGGGAATGACAAGAAAACAAGACGGAACTCTAAGCAAATCTATCTATAGGAAACTCATGTGGAATGGTCAACTATCAAGTTTCCACAGCTGGGTCTCCATTAGTCGAAAGAAAAACTTAATAATAACACTCGTTACGCGAATACAAAGAATTTGTAGCTATGAGGCCATAGATGACGAACTGCGTATCTTGAAGGAAATACATATCAAAAACGGGTATACTTCGATGTTCATTGATAAGAACATAAAACGGAAACCACCGAAAATAAACGACTTCAGTCGAAAAGAAAACATTATACATAAACATCGACTTTAAGGGTGATAGAGCCACATACATTTTAAAGCGGAGAATTACTGATTCGTTAAGAAGAGCGTTCTTCGCATCAACATTGGAAATATTATTTTCCAGCTGATCATTGTTCACCAATAATCTTAAGGATTAATTATCGCATCTGACCAACTCAATGTACATTTACCAATTTACCTGCTCATATGGAGCCAGGTACATGGGTCGTTAGATGCGTACTTTATCCAAAAGAATTCAAGAACATTATCTGGCGTGGCTAAAAAGAGGAGGAAACGGCTCAATAAGAAGCTCAACAATCAAACATCTTGTCAACATAGGTCACTCAATCAAGACCAACTCTGAGTTCAAAGTCGTCCACAAGGTAAATAGAATTTTCCCAAAGACAACTAAATTGCATCTTCTTAGAATTGACAAAGCAAAAGCCATACATCTGAGAAAGATAAAATTGTGTGTCCAAAAGAGATCAGTACAACCTCTTCATCTACTATGGTCGAGCGCAAATGCTTAACCTGTAGAATACTGAACCGGTATCTATTGATGTTAACGTCTAACTTCAACCAATCTACGATACTGCACGACCATCACACTCGATATGGTCGAAGTTCACTGGTAACAGCTTCTCACTAGAATTCAGAGAATCACCTCTTGAAGCCAGTCCCTAGTGAAACCTAAACTATTTCGTTATTGTCATACATAAATAAAAAGTCTAAAATAAAATACCATATAAAAGAGCAAAAGAAACACTAACTGACTTTAACGAAATTTGGTAAGTATGTACTAATTGAATACAAGTTATGCGCCATTATTTCCCAATTACCAAGTTGACAATTTTCGATTGTTTCTTTACTCAAATGTTCAATTTGTTCTATACTGGTACGAATAAGAGCTAATGAATTCTCTAAATTTTGTGCATTTGATGAATATGAATTAGTTCGTTTTGATTGATTAACATTGCTAACTGATACAATAGCATGATTTAAATCACTGAGTAAATTTTTAATAGTTTTCTGTATTTGATCACATGTAGATAAACCAGGAACATTTTGCCTGAGATAACAATAAGATTAAAGTGGGGAGAAAAAAAATAATGCGTTTTCAAAAATGATTTACATTTTCAATCTTAATCAATCAATAAGTCTTTGTTGTTGGTATCAAAACATCGCAAATGGTTACTAAGAAACGAACATAGCAAAATGACGTTATAAATAGGCAGATAAAGAATAATATATAGCATCGAAAAAGAGGATGCAATCTTAATCACAGCTGATAAGCATTCACAACTTTTCAACAACCGTTATATAATAATAATAATAATAACCTCATTAGTGTCTAACGACAAACTCCCTTGGATTACTAAAGGTGTGTAGGATCTACCATTTACATCGAGATTTTATCATACAGCTACCAATTTAATAATTCCTATCATACAAACTGCGTTAATTGACTTCAAGTAAGAAACAGTCATTACAATCAAGAAAGACTAAGAGTAGATGGTATTTGAAAATAAGATTAGACAGATGGTTCTTCGAAAATGTTTGAAGGATAACTTTAAATCTATAGTTCGCTTAAGCATAAAATGTAGAACGAACAAGAAAGATCTAAGTAGACTATGGAGATGTAATTGTTGACAGTGATTTATTGGCTTACATGTCAGAGACCCGAAGAGTTATCTGTTTAGCTGAATAGATATCCAAGAATAATTAATTGGGGGGTTAGTGACTTAGAAACATATCTCCTTCAACCCACTATTGTAATTTATCATGTTTATTTTCAGGTAATATTTTTTATATCAGTGTGTCATTTTACTACATGAAAAACCCATTAATCTGTAGGATAATATTGTCTTCAACTTCAAATAATTCGAGGCTTTGTCTCAATAACTCAGTCACATAAGCAAAGAGCACACGACCACAAGTTGGATCACTATTTATCATCTACTGAACAGAATTATTTTCAATTCGTTTTACACTTTCACTCATCAAATCATAAAACCCTACTTCCCAACACTGATTTAACATGGACGAACAAACGGATTCGTAATTATCAAAAAATCATGATATACATAAATCAATATTTTAAAGCATTTAATACTACTTAAGTAGCAAAATTGAAGCGAGATCTCTGAATTTCAATATTAGCTACAATCCAACTATTCTATAAAAAATCTTTGAAACCATTAAATAAAAATTCCTAAGTATCTGAAAAGGGATAATTTAGTACACCACTTCCAAAGTTACTTAAAAGTAGAAAAAGCTAAGAAATACCAACCGAGACTGACTAACTAATTTTATTATTATTAACTCATTCAGAAAATACAGAACTGTGTACTTGGAGACAAGCTCTAGGTGTGAGGTCAGTGACACTAACTGGTTGCTCATATCGCAGTAGGTGGAGTGGGTTTATGGCTTGAGACTGTAGCTAAAATTCAAATCTCTTAACTAGTGAGCCACTGAAATTAAACAATACTAACTGTTAAGTGCAGACTATGTTAAAAAGCAACTTAAATATGAGTCACTATGAAACCAGGTTTAAAAATTTATTTGAATATAAAAAACAAGATATACACTTATAATTAATTCAATGAACACAAGTTGAACATGTACGCATTTATGTTTACAACTTATTAACTGCAACTCGCCGAACAAACAGGTAACAACAAACAGATAAATACGAAGATAAGTTATTCAATTTACCCTATCTAATACAATCAAGCTACTTCATATTGAAAAAAAACTTATTTATCTACTTAAAATACGTTTGAATGTAATAATCATAATTGGAATGAATAAAATACACTAGATACTGAAAGTTAAGCACGAAAATTAAATTAAATTAAAATAACGATTGAAATACAGGGTTGTTTGTTTATTAGTAATAAATAAGAAGACGATAAATGGAAAAATTAATGACTATATATGAGGTAGTGACCATAAAACCAGATGTTGGTTGTATTTTCTGCGACAAGTTTAACAGTGACAATGACATCAATTTCTAGTGAAAATAACTTTTAATTGAACTGATTACCACTAAATCATCAATAAAAACGGTTAACATGAATTATCATCTATGTGCATATGTGTATTACTCAACATTTTTTCTTGTGTTTAAAGTAGGATTACAAGTGTAATCATTAGAGAAAGATATGTATGCATGTGTGGATACATGAACATTATTACTATTTTCTGTTTCTAACATTTACTGCTTTTTATAAAACTGGAATAAAAGTTAGTCGTCTTATTGAGAGATTTCGGAACTATAATTCCATAGTTATGAAACACACTGATAGATTTTATTTTGATAATTATAACATCAAATTTTTCAAAAAAAGAATGTAGTTGCTTGCATTAATTAATAAAGCTGTTATGGCTCCAAAAAGTAACTTTATCGAGAGGAATACTAAGTAACTAACTCCAAGTGTAAACTTGGACATTATTTATTTACACCTGTTACCCCTCATAGGGCGTATGCCACGTATCACAGATTTCTAACCAACTCTGTTCTGGATCAATTATTATTAATTATTTTGATGTCTGCCTCTGTAATATGTTCTTTGATGAGAATTCTAAGATAGGGCTTGTTTTGCGATATAGTTTAATGATTTCTATGATGGGTATCCTCCTCACCTACAGTGTTTTTTACTGACTTCCTCGTCAGCTAATATTTGTATTAGATCCTATTTGTTTATCGACGGTATTGCCCAGATTTGTAAAAGCTTCCACGTCTTCCAGACCTTCACCATCAGGTGAGGTTCGGTTTCTGCTCGCTGTGTTGTATTTCAAAATCTTGCCTTTTCCCTTATGAATGTTTAGGCTGACATCTATAGAGGTCACTGCTATATTGGCTGACTTGATCTGCATTTGTTGCTGAGTATCGGATAGAAGGGTTAAGTCATTTTTAAAGTTCAAATCGTCCAGCTGCGTCCAAGCTGTTCATTATGTCCTATGCACCTCATAAGATATGGAGGTTTTCATTAAGTCAGAATAACGAGATGGGAGTGTAAAAACAAATATCAGGGTAACAGACGAAGTCATAGTATCGGTGGTAGTTGAATAAATACCACTACATCCTAGTCATAAAGTCACGACATTTTGCGGACTGGTGGCACAACTTGGTATGGCTGCTCATGGTTTTCCTTCATATTACTCCCACATCAACAAACATTGTGCTTCGAGGTAAGAGAAAAATAACTGACTCAATCTGAAGATACGAACCAGTGAATTCCAACTTATTGGTTTGACAGTGCCATACTCGTTAAGAGACCTTGAAGATCCTCAGTATCATTTGTCGTAGGATCACATGTACACATTGCTACAGAGTCCTCAATTATAACAATCACAACTATTTAGTCCCGCATGGCTTATTTTGATTGTTCTTAGCATGTTGTCAGTCAGTTTTGGAAAACTTGTATAGAGTCCTAATTAAAAGTCAAAATAACCAATAAAATCTCAGTTTCCTTCGAACGAAGATAATATAAAACATACTGACTTTGTGAATAAACCTATTAAATCATGTCCCATGGAAGTTAACTACAACAACAATAACACAAAAAAAAATTTATCTAATATTTCACACTAGTGAATATCATTATCTAAACCTCTTCTGATAATACAGTACTCTACAACTAAAAAACTACTTACCGTAAAGTACTAAGTAGATTTAAACAAGATTCATGTAAATTATGTCGACCATCTTCAAAATTAGATAAACCAGTTCTATCATTATTGGCATTATTATTATCATTTAATTTTGTTTGTATATTCTGACAATGATTATCAATTATTTGACGACTAGAATCGATTAGATTTGCGATACATTTGGCAACAGTTTGTCCACATTTTAATACAGGTACTTGAAGCTAATATGTTGATCATATGTATATGAAGTTGAAAAGAAGTAATGAAAAAACAGTGAAGGATGTCTTGAACGCATGAATGGATATATATATCACATAAACAGGTAATAAACAAGAAATACATTTTAATTATTTATATGAACTATTAATTATGACTATCACATTATAGGATGATTATTACTAACACAATCTAAGATAGTTAACTAATTCACTCCGAAAAAGGGGTATGGAGATTTGAACCAGATACTTTTAAATGTTTAAAAACTCAATAAGTAAAATTATTAGGCATTCAATTTCAGATTCATTTTTGATAGTTTTTAAACAAGATCAAACACTTTTGTCACTCGCTTCGTTTAAATAGGATTGTAGATAATTATAAATAGATGTAGATATCATTTCCGGACGAGAATAAAGGAATGGCAACCGTTAGGAATTACTTAAGGTCAGTCAGATACAACGTAGGACCAAGCATATATATGCATCGGTCTAGAGTGCCACACCTCATTAGCACAACAAGATGAATACCAAATTCATAGAAGTAGTTACTACAATGATAGTAATATATAAAGAAAGGTTGAGTAGAAGGATATAATACAGGAAGAGGGAATTAGTTCGTAGAAAGAAAGGCGCAAAGTAATTATAACCTCACGGTTTACGGGAAGACAAAGAGTCTATACACCTACGCCATTGTGATCAATTCTGAGCAATGTCACCCAGAGTCTTCAACCCTTTGTTACGATAGTTACACGGACCCCAACCAAGTAGTTTGCATCTACCAAAACGGCTCAGATTAGAAGTTAGTGACTTCAATCACTGATGCCACGTTTTGCTTTGGCCACCTCTAACTTCCTTCCAAACGTCTTCAACATAAGTCAACATTGCGCGACGTGGTAATCGGTGTTCAGGCATACGTAACACATGGCCCAACCATCTCATTCAACGAAAATTCACAACCTCATCAACCGATCTACCATCATTCCCTAATACCCTGCATCTAACCTCACTATTACTTACCCGGTGATCCCAGTAGATGCGAGCAATATTTCTAAGACATCAGTCATCAAATTCTAGTAACTTACGAGTATCCTCTACTCTTAATGGCCAGGTTTCGCAGACGTAAATTAGAACAGAGTAAACTGTTGCATAGTATACTCGTCCCTTAATTTATAGATAGATGTCTCGCCTTCACCATAGGTGAAGTAAGTTGGCAAAAACCAAACGAGCATTCTAAACCCGTGTGGAAATTTCGTCGAACACCAACCCAAAAGGGGTGATTAGACTTCCAAGACAAGTCAGGTTGTCGACGCGTTCAACTACATCACTTCCTATCCAGTTCTGAAGCGACGATTTGAATTTACATGGGGAGAAACGCATCCCAAACATTCTAGGATTGTTTATTCAGTGCTATCATAATGGTCTGCGTTTTATGAGTGTCTTCACCAAACAGGACTATGTCATCTACGTGTTCTAAGTTAATGTGTGGACGACCTGGTAGGAGATCAATGTCCGGAAATTCAGTCGACGCGGACGTTATTTCCAGCAGTAGGTTTATGATGAAGTTGAACAAAAATGGAGATAGTGGACAACCTTGTCAGACATCACATGAGGCTGAAGAATCAAATGACAGTTTGCCATAAGCATTGACTCGATTGATAGTGTTTGGGTAAAGAGCTTTCGCAAGATCACGATTGTCGGACGACGATATGCATGCCTGTGTTCTAGAACCTGATGAATGGAAATTACTTATGAACTAAAATTATACGCGCATTCTTATTATATGACTATTAAGCGACTATATTGTATGTATATTCATATTCCTTTCATTATAAGCTTTTATTTGTCGTATTTAGTATCATCATACGATTTACTATGGGTTATTTTAATTATAGATTTACTATTCTTGAGATATTCCCAATTTATTAGTAACAAATTCTCACAATCACAGCCACTTTTGACTAGATCTTCTACAAACGTTATTTTCTATTTTACGGTGTGATTTGTTTGTATGTAAACTCAGTATGATTGAAATATATGATTTATATCTCGGGGGCTGAGGCGGGCGTTCTTGACTTGACAGGGAGGGCTAGAAGGAAAAAGGACCAATAGAGACTCAAGGTTGCTCGTACTGGTGTATGCGTCATTAGTTTGGTTGTATAATTCAGTGTATCTAAATTGGCAACCGTATTTCAAGATATCGTAAAGCATAAAAATATAGCAGTAGACAAGTTTCAATGTGATCATTGATACTAAAAGCTCTGATCTTCATTTTTACCTAGTGAAAAACTTAAAATTAAAGTGTGTAATATTGGAGTTTTATCATTGAAAGTCAACTTAAAGTGGCCCTAAAAGATAAGCGTCCATCGAGAAACATGAATGTCCTGGGTGCACAACGGTGAGGAGTCTCATACCAAGACAAACCAATTGTTCAGTGCTCTGAGATTAATCAGCTACGAATATAACGTAGAAAAGTACTTACTAGAGGTTATACATTCTTTCGTATTTCGAACAAACAAAGTTTAATAAAGTGTGTTGAGTAGTTATTTTATGGTGGATGTTTTTTTTTTGAAGAGCTTTGGATACTCAATATGTCGTTAACTTATAGAAATATTTAATGAAGTTCATTTAGAATACAAATTTGAACACAGCGTTATCTTAATAATTAATCGTAAACTATATAATGTTTTAACAGTGTAAGAATGAAGTAATATTTCAGAGCTCAAGAAGGCAAATAATAAGTACTTCGATTAAGATTTTTCACACAGATATATTCATTCATAACCGATTGAAAAAGTATGTTGCTAGGTCATTTAAATTTGAACGAGGCACACAAACATGTGACGTGTATTTCCAATCCGGTGAGTCATGCGATAAACAAACAAGCTGGATGCATCCACCCAATCATATATTCATACATCAATCAAGGGGTGAGTCATTAAAAAACAAAAGAACTAACGTCTATTGTTGATATACCAGATTTTTGTGTATGAATACAGCTTAGAGTAAAGATCAAACTCATTACCCGGGACGTATAGAGAACAAAAAACCATTTATGATCACTTAAATAAAACATTTTAAAAATCCTTAAGTATATAGTGTATTTTCTGTTCAGACATTCAATTTAATATAAACTCAGTATAAGGAACCAAACATTTTACTAAGCCTTACTGAAACATTAGTTACAAACCGTAGCAAGTATAGGGCTAAAATAAAACTTTACCAAAAGACTAATGTCTACAAACAGAAGATATATTTGTCAAAGATAACAATTTCTTTCATTATCCAACATTATTTCAAAGATCAAATCAGATAATAAAAACACAGTGTAGACAACAGTTGATAAATTCGGAAATAAAATTATTACGGATTACTATCAAATAATAGTCATCTTACACGCATACAACCAACACGACGCAATGAAATATTATTATTAATGTTGAAGACATACCTCATAAGTTTCTTCAGCTAAATGAGCAGGCGAACCGGCAGCATCACGAAGTAATAAATCAATGTATTGATCAACAGCAACTTCTAGTACAGATGATGCTGAGCATAGTTTTTGAATTATATCGGTCGTACCAGATGTTGGATTTGTGCTACGTGAAGTTTTAATTATATTAAATACAGAAGCAGCTGATCGTGCAACATGTTCTAATGACTGTAAATAAATATATAAAATGAATAATAAACCATTAAACACTATTATATTAGTAGTAAACGACGAGGCGAATAGTCACATAATTAATTGAAGTGCGAATGTCACATGAAATTGATTTTATTTCTAGTCGTGTGTTATGTATTGATATGTTAAGAAGGATTATAGATACTTGATTGTATAATATTGTAAATATGTATCCACACAGTAAGGTAATGAATTATTATTGTTATATCCAACTTAATTCAATTTAGACAAATCTGACTGTTAATCTAACTGTAAATAAATCATAGAAAATGTGAAGTATTCTTAAATCACTTTGATTTGTTTTGGGAGTCAAATAAATCTATATCACCAGACTTCGCAACTTTTTCGACGGCCTTCAAGTTGCTCTGTAGATTCAGTTCAAAGATATTAGAATCGACCAGAAAATCAAATCGAGCGTTCATTAATAAGATTTTTCAGTAAGCGAATAATTGGTTGAAGTTAGACATTAACACCGGTGGATGCCGACTCAGTGGTCCAGAGTTTAAGTGTTCACGCGCGAGACCGATAGGTTTTGCGTTCGGACCTTGCGGGGCGGGATCGTGGGTGCGCACTGCTCAGGAGTCCCATATTAGGACGGAACGGCCGTCCAATACTCCCAAGTTTTCCGTGGTAGTGTAGCTGCAATCGACTCATGAATTCAACTACTGAATATTTATTTAACAACAACTTTATAAAATTAGCTGACTTTCATATGTTAAGTCGAAGTCTGTATGGACTAAGTACAGTACATCAGATATTTATTCATAAATACGAAGACCATTCGTCTTAATGAATTAAACGTTTATGATTCTATCTAGAACAACAATGAGTGACCAAGTTGGGTCATCCCATACAGACAAGAGAAAATATAACCAAAAGTGAAATAAATTACTTGCAAAAAAGGTTCATATATTATCTGTTCCTTCAGGATCCCGTAGCCTATGTGCACCATAAGTTCGTAATCAAAATTTTCCAATTCCTCTCAACTTCGTAGAATACCACCCTAACAGCGAGAAGGCAGTGAACAAAACTTCCCTGACAGCGGCTATATACTCGTGGTCACATGAACATATCTCGAAAGGGAGATTTCTCTTATCCCACCATTAGCAGTACCAAGGCATTTGATTTTATATGACATACGATACAATAATTGTGAGTGATAACTCAGTAGTTTATCAAAACTAATTTAAAGTACAGTGAGTAAAGTCCTTTGTTAGGTATTAGACAAGCTTGTGAGATAAATGACTCTGCAATCTAAACTTCTTCAGAATCCTTGCATGTTATATTAACATTAAAATTGTCCTTGATATTTTGAGAGATCGCATAAAATGTTCGATACATGTATACACAGGAATCAAAAGATTCCATATGTAATTTCTTATTCTAAAGCATTTATTAACATATTAATAATACAAATTCATTACATAAAAAGTGCTTACATCAGCTAAACGTCTTTTTTCAGATAGATTTTTGATTTCAGACAAATAAGGTCGTGTTGTTTGACATAATTGTGTAGCTCTTTGTGCTAAATGATTAGCAGTAGCTAAAATCTACAAATCAATAAAAAAAGGCGATGATTATTAGAAAATGCGACAAACATTCAACAGTAATACAACTGTAGATCAAAAAATAGCAGAGTAAATAATTGTCACGCGATAATAAAACGATAAAATAGTACCATATTTCCGTAATGGCATTCTCTAATAAGTCAGCTTTACCAATTATTCCATTCACAATAAAATATATATTGTTAGTTTATCAATTCTATATTTCTTTTTTATTAAGACATATTCGGTACCTAACTACTGTTGTGTTATACATTACACGGCTATTGTGAGGCGGCACAAGTGAAAATGGATAAAAAAATACGATTAAATAGTTCGTTTAGTGAATAAAGCTAGAAAAACACACTACATTAATTTTTCTTACTTTGGTCAGGCATAGCAACGGTAGCTACTTAGTAATTGATAACATCAACACACATGGAACTCGATAAATGTTGTTTGGCTGAATTAAATCCTTTGAAAATTTAAAACTAACTTTGAAAGCAGACGGAATTATGTATTAATGTAGTATTGACAAGATTTTTTGAAAACTTAGAAAGAGTAAACATCAATTGTCAATTAACAAACTGAGCTAAATGATTCAACATTTTAAATTATTGGTGAAGTGATTAGCTGTTTGTTAAAAATGAACTATAACCCTGTAGCTATATAAATAAATAAATAGTATTTTTGCCAGTGAATGACACTTTTTTTATAATCGACAAGTGTATAATGTACAAAATATTCAAAAATCAATAGTCAAAACGTTTCTTCACCCTTTTAAAAGTAAACATACTTCTAAAGACGGAAGTCCTTTGGATGAAGCTTCATTTTGAGATTGGCATATTTCGCTAACACTTTTACGAATAGCAGCTACATGATCATGTATCGTATTTAATTGGTCAGATGACCTGAAACGAGTCACATGACCTGGTCGTGAAGCCGGATGTGCTGCAGCAATGAGATAAGCAGCTTGATAAGTAATTTGTACCAAATGGTTGGTGACTTGTGCTAAACCTTTGACAGATTGGATGAATAATCCAGCTTTATTATCAGTTATAGATGATGGTATTTCATTTAAATGTGTATTAAATTCCTTAAATCAATTAATTCAAAGATAAATAATACAAATGTTAAATTATATTCACTAATTAAAATTAATTGTTGATGAAGAACAAAGATAATATAGGGGGAAAAAACTTTGTTTCAACCTGATACATTCTGTCTGCATGAAAGCCAAACGAATCTGTACCAATGACACAACCGTTATTGAAGTTTATAGACAACATTAGATACTCGTCAACAATGGATATTCAGCTAGATTCATTGAAAAAATTCTGAAGCCAAAACAAAACGAGAAAGAGTGTCTATGACACTAAAGAGGACTCTCTTAATAGAAATTCCTTTCAAAGGAGATACTGCAGCAGGAAGTTTGGAAAACAGACCCTTGAGGTCTCTGAGGAAAAACATTCCATTGGGCTGAACTTCGTAGTCTTCTTTAACCGGACTTTGATTGTTAGTTGTATGAAGGACAAGCTCATACTTTGGGTTAAATCAGTGTGTATCTAAGACTTCGCTTGATCATGTACAACAGATTATAGTGACACCACAAAGCGAGTTCATTCGGAACGCGTCTTCGAACATTAACCTGATTGGCCATCTAAAGGACTGCAAAAGTCAATCAAAAGCTCAATTCTGAAACATCTAGTTGATTCTAGTCACTTTTCTTCACCTGAGTCCTTCTTAAAATTATTCACAGTCTGTAGAATCAGTTCTAAAATAATACAAATAAAAAACTTATGTAAACCAGAGAGCATAGCTACCCGTTGATTCAAGACTAACTTTTGCGTAAGAAAACAGTATCTTCAATCCTTCATTCTTCCATGGTCTTAATCTTTCTCTATATTTTCCATAATGTATGGGTTTTCTCCTACTCCTTCCTAATTATTTTCCACGACTATCAATTAACCTACATTAACACAAATTTTATTTATTCTGTTTTTAATAGCTATCATCAAGTGGTTAAATACCTTCATTATACGATGGAGAAGTACAACATAATTTCCCTCGATATCTCAAAATCGTGAATAATTGATGACGTGATACTGTAGTGGCTGGCCCTATGTTGAGCAACGTTTAATTTGAGTGAGTTGGCCACACGCCTTCTTCACTGCGTATCATTTCGCTTCGCTTCGTTTCTCCGATTGGTCACAGCATTGGTCACACTATTTTCCAACAAATAATAAGTTTACAGTCACTTCAATGCGCAATAGTCTAAGGCACGTACAGTTTAAAACATGTACTAACAGTCATTGAATGACGAATATTAATATAGAAAAGATCAATATCCTTCAAATAAATGAGATTAAGAAAGAAGCATTATATTTAACAAATACTCCATCTTACAATTTAGATTTGTTATTTTATTTAACAATAAAGTCTAGTAAACTACACATCTTACCTTATCAATATCGCATACTGCATCACAACATTGAGGATAATTCAAATCATTGATTGGTAAGAGTATAGGACAAAACGTGCTATTCCTATCTGCTGTTTCAAGAGAATTCCTTTTATCTTCATTGTACACATTTGGATGTATCAAGCTGTCTAATCGATGAAGTAATACATCACATTGATTACGCATATGCATAGATGTTTCAGTCAAATTAGCTTCATTTTCATTATTATTGTAATTGCTTATAGTTAGTTGACTGTTATCATCATCATCACCATCATTTTGTTGAACACCATCGTCCATACGAGATGAAAATGCTTGTTCTTTAAATGTCACAGCTTTTTGATCTAATTCTAAAGCCCAATCTCTTAATTTCCTATATAATAAATCAATTAATTTAGAAGTATACAATGAAGTGTCGACAATCTAATACAAAATCTTTGAGGCAGTATGAAACAATCGATTATAAACATGACAGTATGAATATAACAGCGACGGCAAAATCTTACACACAAAATGCTAGACAAATAACCATATACGACCAATGGTATTTCATACTTTAAATTTTAAAAGCAACAAATAGTAAGTTTTATTCAAGGTGCTCCTATTCAGCAAACAAAACTTAAGATGAACAGATTGTAGTCAAATTGACTTGATCTAAAAAGAAGAGCAACTAGTCGGGTAATTGGTTGTTCGTCAGTAAAATTATTTAGCTTGTTGTATCATTCTGAAATAGCTTTCAGGGAACTAAGCTGGCAGTAGAATTCAGAGCCGCGTCATTTATTATCATATTCAGAGAAGTTACGGTTCAGATCTTACCTGTTTTAGCCTATTACTCCTATTAGGAAATAGGTCCCCTAACAGAGATATTTATATCATAACTGACTTTATTCTCTAATTAAATAAACCATTTACTTCAGCACAAAGATTTGACAAAGAAATCAAATCACCAGTACGAATTTGAATGAATAACAATGAATAATCCAAGAATATAAAATATGAAAACAGAGTGTTGAAATACTCTCGCAAAATTTACAACTTCATTTCTTATTTACTGGTTAGATGAATTCACACTCAAAATACAAATCATTCATTAAAAGTTCACACTAGTTTGTTATCTCTTTTGAACTTGAAGACATGAATTAATTAAAAGCTTAAAAATAAGATACTTCTGTCTTACAGTGATAAATTTGAAGATAACATTTATATTTGAAAAACAAAATTAAAACTCAGTGCTTTTAAACAATGATATGCTTGCTGTGAAGCATAAAAATCTTCAATTCAATCTACAACAGGGTTCTTTATTAGCTGTGTAAGAATGTGGAGTTTCATAGTCAGAAAAAAGCAGATCTTCATTATTTTAATCGTTTAAAGATCCTCATCAAATTAGAAGACTAATATTTGAACAAAGAATATTCTTTTCGTTAAACTCTCTTCAGATTCCATTTTTTTAATCTTAAAAAATGAGGTAGCTTAAGTCATCTTATGACATACACTAGAAAAACAGGATTACCATTGATGAACATGTATGTGCATAAATTGAAATGAATAAATTTAATCTGTAAACCTAGAAAATTAGAACATTTAATAAAAATTACCTTGTTTAATTAGTTATTCATTATACTTTGTGATAATAATTACGTTTTAATTTTGCCGAACTGTTAATGAATTCAATGGTTTGAACGAAGCCTTAATATATATATATATATATATATATATATATATATATATATATATATATATATATATATATATATATATAATTGCACAATGAACTAAATCAATTTTGACCACACAATCATAAATGTGGATATCAAAGGTTTTTGAATCATAGATTATAAAAGTATATATATATATATAGACTGGAATTTAGACAAACTAGTTATAATGTATGCAAATAAATTTGTGAAATGTTTATATATGCTTAAAATGCTAAAGAAACAGATTAGATAGATAAAAAGGAATAAACAAAATCAGCTCGCCTATAATGAATCAGTTTCTCTTTCATTTGTTTTTGATCAAACCCAAAAAAAATTGAAATGATCATTTGTGTTAAAATCATCATTAATAAGACTGAGATGTATTGTTAAATGTCCTTTGTAAATTAAAGTTGATCGGAAGATTTGACGGCACAATTATCGGTCAACTGGTTTCAAAGTACTGGACGGCGTAATATCATGGACTGATTAAAGTAAGACGTTAACACCGTCCAACATTAGCTCATTGATTTAGACGTCCGCGTACTACCCAGGAGTCTCATACTAGAATAGAAAGACCGTCCAGTGTTTACACTTTTACGGATAATTTTAAAAAAGTAATAAATGAAACGTCGGCTAATATTATAAAATCGAAAAAAAATAATTTTAACTACAATAAAAATCAAGCTACTTACAATAATGACTTAGCAAGTGTTAAATTTGCTGACGGTATACCAGAATCATTCTGACTTGACTCTAAGGTACGCATTGCATATTGCAGTCCATAAGCAACAGGTTCAGCGGCTTGATTAAAATTATTTAATAAATGACCAATAGAACGAAGTTGTGCACTACGATAACCAGCAGCACGTACTACGTCAGCTACAGCACCAGTCAATCGATCAGCTATACAAGCTAATAAAATTAGATTACTCTGTGAACCAAATGATGATTCAATTTGTGATGGTTTCATTTTACCAGAAACTTCATAGCTAACACTTAAACAAGTCTAAAATGAAGTACGAAAAATAAAAAACCATATATAATTAATAAGAAATATGTATATAGTCATCGAAATCTTACAAAAACTATGAACGCATTGAATAACTTTGGAATACTATTAGTATATTCACTTTTTTACTATTATTTTCAGTAATATATCTACACTGTCATTTGCTTGTTTTAATGATCTGACAACTAATTTACATGGTTCGACATCATACAATAGAACAAATAATTGACTATAAGATATCACTATGTTAGTAAAGCAATGATAATTCACCTGCTGTCACCGTCTAAAAACACTACCTTCAGTGATTTTGATATGTTTCACGAATATGATACCATCAGCTTTCATACAACACATTATTTCAGGATACTGGGACTGAGAAGGGAAGATTAAGTAAAGTAGGCAGCTTTATTTTATTAAGAGAGTACTGACAATCAAGAGAAGAAAATAATACGATTCAACCGAAATATCAATTCGGTGAGGAAATTAGTTCTATACTGAAACTAAAAAAGTGCCCAACATTGAGTTGACTCGATAAAATTTGTTAGCCATGCAGTTACCACAGTATAAACATTTTCGCTAATTGCTGTAATAATTCAGTAATTTTGTCAATACATATCCATTCAATTGTACAAAACTTAAAGAAATTTATACGAAAGGAAATTTATTAAAAATCCAGTCAACAAAAGTTGCTTATCCTATATTTAATTGATGAGGCGAGAGAAATGCTGTATAATTAAAACTTCTTATCCAAACATATCAGTTACGCAAATAAATACTTAAAATCTCAAAGATGATTTACACTAAAGAGAAGTATTTAGATAAAACAGTTAATAAGTGTGATAGGAGAAGTGAACCGATTTTATTATTATAATAGGTAATGACTTGAACAATTACTTTCAACCATCTAATAGACAAACAAATAATGGTGATTCCTTTAAACTGGTGCCCTCATTTCATATTACTCGATACAATCCGAACAACCCCAAGTTCTATACAAACCAGATAATGATTAATACTTACTCATCAAGTAGTAAATGCATTTCAATCTTACAAGAAATCATTGGTAACTTCTATGACTGAAGCAATGAGTCTCGGTGATTTTGACTCCACGTGAACCATCAGTTTCTTTAGTATTGTCGATATGCAATGGTGACAAGTCCCAGTTAGAACTAAACCTAGGTGTAACATTTCCTGTCAACAGTCCTTCAACTACTTAATATTAATAAACGTCAATGACAGTTAAGTATTCAATCGAATAGAGCAAAATATATCTCACTTCCAAAAGAATAATTTTTGGTAAGTAAGTATTTTGATTACCAAACAGAAATAAAAGAACATTTACATTTCTAATATCAATCAAATAGTAAAATAAACAACAGTGTTTTTTTTTACTTTAAAATAAACTTATTTACATTGTCAATTCAGAAAGCTGAATATCTATACAGAACTGACAATTTTCATTTGTTTATTTTTCTCTTTATTCCTTTATAAATATTTATCTCATTAAAATTTAAAAAAAAACGAGATATAACTATTCATCTGTGAACTTAAGATATAAACATATTGAATTCTGATCTATTTATTATGCTAATAACAAAATATTGTAGAAAGTCAAGTGACAATAATTCTGATTAAACTTACACGAGCAAGTTGTTTAGCTGTTTCACTCATTTGTTCATAAATATCTACAAGTGGTAGATTTGATGAACGCATAAGTATGGCTGGAGGCGATAATTCATAGGAAGATAATTGGTTAGAATCAGATTTTTGGCTATTAGTTAATTCTGAGGTTTCGTTTGCTGACATTTCCACTATTCTAGAAGCATCTTGAAGTAGTGCAAATAAACGTCTTACAGTCACTTCACCAGGAATATAACCTAATACAGCATTAATTGATGTATTCAACTGTTTAAAGATTAAAAACAAGAAATACCATTAAAAGTAAGAGATAAATATAATAAAGAGTTCATAATTAAGCAATTTTATACAAACATACATTATACAAGAAATATGTTTATCAAAAGATATGTTTAAGTCATAAATAAATGCTTTACCATAGAAATCCAGTCAAGTGTCAAAAACGAAATGATTCCAGTCATTATTAATAATGATATAAACAACATCTCCGTTTGACAAATTAATACCTATCTGAACTGAATCGACTAGTGGATAATCCGCAGAGCATCTGCAGCAAAAATACAAGGTTTGAGTCCCGGTGGGAGATATTAACACCTAAATCCAAATGCATTCGGTCAAACTGCTCTAAATACAATGAAACACGCGTTTATGATTTTATCGCTAGTCGAAATCCATCTACTTTACAACAATATCATTATATTTGATAGTATCATTACATCACGAAGTCATGTTATCCATAAATGATTATCATTACCAATAATCTTAACTGTTAACATATACAAATCTGAACTGAGAAGTAGAAAAGAAGTACTTGAACACCATTAATTAAATTTCATTTAAACTGCACGATTATGTTCAGTAATTAGTACAGTATTGACAGAATATCAATTGCTCTAATTATCAGATAGTTCTGAGTTATAATGATTGAAAAATTAAATGGACGTTTGTCACAAAATGAGGACAAATGCAGAATTACAATTTTTTTAAAATAAACTAATATTTCAATGAGTTGATCAGAGACAATGAAACAAGGATGTCGAAATATTGTGCCTGTTACTCCTCGTACAAGAGCATAAGCCGTCCACTAGTACTCTCCATCCTACCCTGTCCTGGGAAATATTTTCCAGTTGTTATCCATCCTTTTCATATCCGATTCTATTTTTCGACGTTATATGTTCTTTTGCCTTCCTCTTTTCCGCTTCCTTTCAGGATTCGGAGTTAGGGCTTGTCTCGCGATGCGGTTTGGAGATTTCTTAAATCTGTCATCCACTTCCAACGTTTTTTTCTAATTTCCTCTTCAGCTGGAAGTTAGTTTGTTGTCTCCCACAGAAAGCTGTTGCTGATGGTATCTAGCCAATGGATGTTCAGTATCTTGCGTAGACAACTAATTATAAATACTTAAACCTTCTTGATGATGGTTGTAGTAGTTCTCCGCGTTTCAGCTCCTTACAGTAGGATTGTCTTGACGTCTGCAATGAAGATTCCGACTTTGACACTGGTTGGCAGAGGTTTAACAATGTTTGAACAAATATACAGACTGATTTTATATTCAGAGGTCATTACAAACTATTGGAAGCAAAGCCATGGAAAAAAATTCATCTGCTGAACCCATCATTTTATAATTCTTTCTATTTTTTATCACGAAAGTAAAACAAAGGAAGGAAATGATATACAAACCATTTCAATCATAAATAAAAATAATATATTTGTAATATCCCAATGAGTAGAAAATTGGATTTTCTGACGTTTCGTGACTTAGTGTAAGTCACTTCTTCAGAGAACAAATAACCAAATTAAAATTCATCCAAGTTTAAATAGTACAAATAGTACAAATAGTACACTAAGTCACGAAACGTCAGAAAATCCAATTTTCTACTCATTGGGATATTACAAATATATTATTTTTATTTATAACAATGAACCCAATGCTCAATTTATTCGAAATTATCAAATCAAACCTTGGTAATGACACCTACATTTCAATCATGTTTCAAATAGTGACATTATGCAATTACATTCATAAGGAAATCTATTTTTGTATTTTGATATGCATCTTTGTCAAACTGGCTGTGTAACTGATACTAAGGACTAGATGTTAGACTATAGGATGGACAAAATAAGGTGTTGATCAACAAATAATTGACATGTATTAATTTATCTCAATTTGTAAATCTCAGGCATTTAGAGAGATTAAAAGAAGCCACTGTTCATCAATGTTTACAAACGGAACATGAGTTTTTGCTGACTGATAAATTATATAGATAAGAAAAAATGAACCGAAGTAGCGGGATATAATATAAAAGAAGCAATTCAATATTAACAATAAAACAGTTTAGAAAATAAAATATGACCGGTAGTCAAAGCTGATTGATAGATAGAGGGAAAGTTAATTTCATAGTAAAATATTTCTGAGTTACACAAACACACTATTTAAATCGGGTAGTTATTTTACTATGAACACCCAAGTAGGTGTGAGGTATAGTGGTTGAAACATTTAGTCAGTTGTAACGTAGAAACTGGTACGCATTTACATAGATTCAAGTTGCCATAACCCATCTGCAGAATCAAATGTAATTGTCAGGTTAAATACCAGAATAGTTGAGGAAGTAACAGTATGAGTGGTGATTGAAAAGACTAGGGATCGAAGATACGACTCAAGAAAATATAAATAAGTGAAGCAAAAATAGTAAAAGGAGTCATTAGGAATTAAGAAGCTAATAATTTTTGAGAAAGACGGAGAATGAATACATTCAAATATCGCAGGTTTAAAACCTAGAACACCTATATTGATTTATGCAACCTAAGTAGCATTGGTACCACTCTGATGAATTAATACGTCAGTAATAAACAACATAATACTAGGCAAAAATGTGCATCAACATAAATTGTCACAATATAGAAGCACATAGAGACGAATTCAACACAAATAGTTTAGCATAAATTCGAGTGCAAATCGCATTATGAAAAGTTGATCATTTACAAGTAATAATAAATAATTAAAACAAAACAACAACAACCAGATACTCACCTGATCAGCAGTCACTCCAGCATCTTGCAGTTCATCATCGGGAATAGTTGTCTGTGAATTGTGTCTAAGTGCCCATGTAATAAGTTGACCACAGGCAACAAGACATGTTTCAGCTATTGACATTAAATTCTGATGCATAACATTTGCAGTAATTTGAGTTTGCTGTTCTGAATTTGTTAGACTTGAATTAGTATTATTTTGTTCTATCACGGTAGAACAAACAGATATACTGCTTTGACGTTTTGATGCAACACCGTGTGACACATTGATGACTCGAGCTAAATCTTATTTTTGAAGAAAAAAACGAACAAAACAAATACAATGAGAGAATATCGAAGGTATGCGCGAAATATCACATAAAAAAATGTCATCATATGAGAAAATTAAATATTTATCTAAATTACTAGAAACCGACCATTTCCAATGAATGTTTGAACAACCTTCCGCACAACTATCTGTTCACAGTAGTCCCCGTTAGATACGAGTGGTATTTGTACATCACATTGATCTACCACATTAAGGAAAGACACTTGTGTTGTTAATCACAACAAATTCTCAGTGAATACTTTTATCCTGGTAAATGATTTTCGTGAAGATAGTTACCTTAAAGAACAATATGTGTAGTTGCATTGTTTTAAATTAACGTATCTGACTGAATCAACAGTACACATTATTCGAGTAATAATTTGTAAATCTGTCTTCTTACTAAAAAACCTCTATTTATGATTGTTCCTTTCAAGTGACGTGAGGTTTGAAGATTGAGAATCTTGGGTTTTCTATGTGACCAGAAAGAAAAAACAATGATTTTAATGAATGATCCAAGAGAGTGAATATTTCCTACACCTGACATCTATTCATGCTAGTATCATATGTCAAGGGAGCTGAGGTATCGATAGCATTGATCTTGTTCGATCGTGTTAAAATTCCTTTTTTGGTAGAAAGCATCTTCATATTATGGCTCTGATTGCGGTGAGTATTGTGTCTAGGTATACAGCTTGTAGCTTGAACTCATAATCAGTGAGAGTATATAAAAAAAGTATACATGATGAATCTTTTTATAAGGATTATCTAGACAGCTGTGATTGATATTATGCCAATATTGTTCTAACAGTGAATGAACTTGCCGTAAACACTGAATAAACGCATTCTTGTATCACTATTCATTTACTAGTTCTGGATTGGTAATTGGGAATAGTTACTTACACTGTATTTCATTCTCGATAAGGACGTGGATACTCCGACTGTGACACCATATATTGACGTAGACAGTAACGGACTATGAATGTTCCTATATTATCCAGTCAGTTCATTCAACTGTTAATTAATTACGCCAAACAAAACATTGATAATACTTGTAAGTTATATGTTCATCTTATAAACACTACAATAAGTAGAAGTTTACTGGGCTGATCATATGATATGGTGAAAAAACTGTAGTAGCCTCATAGCCGACAAAGAATAATAATAATAATAAAACATGACGATCAGGAGAAAGTATAACTCTGTAGCAAAGTAATCGTTTTTTTTTCGAAACTTACTCGAATCAACTGTTGTTGACTGAGCCGCATTATGAAAATATCTAGCTAAACTACGTATACCGCGTAGTACGGGTCCAAGGTGATACAACAATTCTTGAACAATATTTAATCTGGATTGCATCATTTTTTTCATATTACCCTCACAATTATAACATGTATGCTTGATACGTTCAATTAACGGAGGAAATTTATGCCAAATTTGTTCTAATTGATTATTTGAATTCATATAATTATTATCATCCGGTAAAGTGAATACTTGATTATAATCCGTTATTGCAGACCATAATGAAACACAGATTGAATCAAGCTGATAATATGAACAAAAATAAGTTTGGAAGAGATAAAAAAATATAAAAGGAATGAACAAACTTTTTTTCACAACCACGAAAAGTAGGGATTAAAGAGAAAACAAAACATAATTCCTTTTTCTTTTAAGAATTAATTGTTTAACAATTACGAAGTCAATATTTCTAAATACCTAGTTCTACTGCTGCTTGGATAGGAGTTAAATTGATTAAAATTAAGAAATAGATGGGAGAGAAAGCAATAAGTAACACTAGAGAATCCCTTGATTACAATTAATACACGTATAGATACACATATAAAGTATAATTGCTGACTTTATTTACTTCTTTATTACATACACAAGTAGTAAAAGATTGTCAGCTCTAGTAGATGCATTACAAGTTGTTGAGCTAAGTAAATTAATTAGGAAGCTTTCATCGTTATTCTGAATAAAATCATCATGACCTACTTTACGTACAATTCAGCTTCTGATTTCTGACTATGCATCATTCAATCTTAAGAAACTCTTCAAAAATGTGAGAAATACATTTAATTGGTTAGCGTTCATAACGGAACTTATTAAATTACAGTAACTGGAGTAACTATTATTTACATGGCTTATCTATCAAACTCAGGAAACCAATAGTAATCATTGAACTTGATTAGTGCTCCATAATCGCATAGAGGTATAGAATCAAACAACGATCTCTGTATATGAAATTACCTAGAAGTAAGCCCTATGTCCTATAATACCTTGTTATTTGTTTAGTGACCAGGGCCCGCAGACTGCTAAGAATCTAGGAGATAGTATTGCAAGAATCCGATGGTCAGATGTACTTGCAATTTGCAGTTACTTTTTAAATTAATTAACAAGTGGGAATAAACACTGCAGAAAAAAATAATTGGAACAAGTAATAATATCAAATAGTTTGAAAACTTACTGTTTCATTTGGTAACAAATGATAAGATGGATCGAACAATTCTGTTCGTAACTGTTCAATAGCTGTTGATATTTTAGCTAATTCGCTCGCCTCCACATCACCAATATGATAATCTGATTCACTTAATCCATTCGACTGTGATGTCTTTTTTCCATTCATTAAATGATATAAATTTTCTGATAATTCAGGAGGTTCATTGCCAAGTACAGATTCAGAATTAGCAAAACATAAACGAAGATCAGTTAAACAAGCTTGAGTATTTCGTGTCACATCAGTTAATGCAGATTGGACACCAGAATCTTGAATGGTTGGTGCAACTGCATCAGCTGATCGTAATAAATCTTCTAAGCACTAGAATACGGTTAGAGAGAAAGAGTGTGAAGAAAAGAATTATAGATTGGCAAAGGAGAACAACAATGAAATAGTACTAAAAACAATAACAACAATGTGAAATATCAGGACTCAGTAGCTAAGTGGATAACGCGATGGCGTTTGAAGCGAACGGTACTGAGTTCGAGTCCCAGAGTGAACATCAACTCTGAGATGCAGGTACATCCAGCTGACGAGTCTCAAACAGGACGAAACGCGCGTCCTGGATTCCACTGCTAGCCACTATCCATCTCTGCTTATAATGCTTGTAAATTAAGGCAATATCGAGGCATACGCACAGTATGCACATATGCCAATAAGAAACTGATCAACTTCAGTCCTAAAACATCAATGGGAAATATCATTTATCTACACTTTCTTTTAAAATAAATAAACATTTAGGTAGAGCAGTTAGTTCATTGTTTATCAATTATATATTAAATCAATAGAAAAGTTATGTGCACATTAGTTGTGTTTTATATGGGAAAATAAGTCACGCTTGCAGAAAAAAATATACATCAATGAATAATTCTGTGTATAGTGTAGGAAATAAAAAACAGGTGTTGACCTTGAACTGTAAAATATTCAATGTTTCATGTAAAGGTGATCGAAATAAATACGATGTACTACATTGATATAAACAGAATATAAAATAAAAGTCAAATAATGAGTCATCATCTCTTATTCGATTATGGAATAAGTAAGAAGTTTTGGTAAACACTTGCTTTTATCTCACAGATTGTAATCATGAGACAATTGAAGCTAGACCACCATTGAAAACCTCAGCAGCTTCAACTGACTCATGATTACAATCTGTGAAATTTCCAAAAATCTCCACAAAACCCATTCTGATACTTTCTTTTATATTATGATCCTTTTGGCTTTAGATTACAATCGACAGAGAATATTAAATATTTTTCTCAGGAAAGTAAATTTGCTGGTTGAAGTTAGACATTAACACCGTTGGATGCCGGCTAAGTGGTCTAGTGGTTAAGTGCTCGCGCGCGAAGCCAGTAGGTCCTGGGTTCGAGCCCCGCGTGGTGCGGTATCGTGGATGCGCACTGCTGAGGAGTCCCATACTAGGACGAAACGGCTGCCAGTGCTTGCAGGTTTTCAATGGTGGTCTAGCTTCAACTGACTCATGATTTCAATCTGTGAAATTTCTAAAAACTATCCACAAAACCCATTCTGATAATATTATAACCTGGTAGCTGTGCAAATGATGAAATTGAAAATATTCCAGTTACTCATCAATACAGGTTTATTTACATTGAGAATTTAGAAAAAAAAGTAGTTCATTGAAAGAGAAGTATTACGAACAGTTTGCTTGGAATGAATATTGATATGTACGAATAGAGTTCATATAATTATTGTAAAGTGATGACCCAGTTATTAGGACATTTGACTTTTAATCACTGTTGCAGATACAACACATCCCTCAAGCTAATTTAGCTTCGGTAACCGAGTAGCACTATTGGTTATCGAAATTACAATGTGATCCAAATTTAAGTACACAATTCTGTTTGATAAGTGAATGAAATTAATTATATAAACATTACATAAAGTTGTTAATTTTGAGTATACAATAAATTGATATAACTGCAAATAACATTATAGTACAAATTCTCAATTTCAATTCGAAATCTTTTGAAAGTGAAGAACAATACAATAATAGGATAGAATTCGCAGATGAGCCGCAAAATAATCTAAGGATACTTTGTCTAACGCGAAATTATATAGCAGCGAAACAGTTATAACGACTACGTGTTTAGGTGTTTATTTTGGAAACACCTTCAAACAAAAATAAGACGACTGTAGAAAACTAGTTAATATCTCTTATTTTACATAGAGTTCTGGATATTAACGGATTTTTTTTTAGTTTTATGTTACGGACAGATAAGGTCACTGATGCGCATTGCTATATAGTCTGATATTAAGATGAAGTAGCTGTCCAGAGTCTCCTAGTTTTCAATGGTTGTACGAGTGAAATAAATCCTTGGTGTAAAGAATCTACCAAGTGGTTGAAATTTCTCATCGTTAAACTAACAAGTTACTGTTCTACTTATTATAATTAACAGTAAAATAGGAAATATGTAGATCGTTTAGTTATAATTATATATTTTGCCATTAAATACTAACAGAAATATATACTACTAGCTAAGAGACATAAAACTGATTAATACATCAAGCATAACATCAAAATATATTCTGGATATCTTAATAATCAACTCCAAGTATATTTAACCGACTTTCATGCAGATCTGAAGGCTAGTGCTTTAAACAAAGTACGTATTAGGATGAGGCATAAATATTTCATCTCTCCTTTTGACTACATAAATAAAAATACTATAAGAAAAGATGACGACAAAGGATGTTAAATTGTAATTTCTTTCCAATTTACATAATATACATTTAGATAAACTTAAGTAAATTTACTCATTAACAAACAAAAAGATTGCGAACAAAAGTTTTCATTTTTAGTACTACGTAATACTCATGAATCGTGAAATAGGACAAACTATCCATTTCTTAAATTCAACATTAATAATAATAATAATAATAATAATAATAATAATAATATACAAATCAGATTAACATACCTTCATTAAATTTTGTGATGCAGCAAGTAAATTAGCTTGATTTTTTACATCATACGGTTGAACACGAGCAATGTTACAAGATAAATTCACTTGAGGCATTACACGTTTTTGCAATTGTTCTAAATCGGAAGCCAACTAGAAATTATACATAGAAAATACCAATATATGTAGTTACATTAATAATCCATATTTTATATCAAAATCAGAATAAGAGTAATGCTAGTTTAATATGTATCAACACGAAGTTTTCATGCATATATATATATATATATATATATATATATATATATATATATATATATATGACATGAATAAACAGTAAATGAAATAAACAAATAATCTTTTAATACGAATGTATCTCCTCAATGTCAAATTACATTTTGTTATGCTATACCTGTTCAACTGTAAATGATGTGTGTACGCGTATATGAAGTACATAATTTAAAAAAAAAAGAAGATAAACAGAGTTTAAATGTATATTTCAAAACAAATAAAGAAATGCTTAGTGTAAGACAAAATTATGTCAAAGTATAAATCTTAAATATTGAGTAATAAACTTAACACATTTCAATCATAACATGTAATTCATTATAAGTAATAAAATAAATTTACAAAGTTTACACTAAAATGTTTATGCCTCACCTTGTATTTATTGATTTTGATTTCAAGAGAATACATACCTGACATGATTACTTTAAGTCTGTTTACTACTTGCTAATAATAATAATAATAATGAACTCATACAACTATTAAATGTTATTCATTTAATATGATAGCAGTATGAAGTACAAAAGTAGTTGTATACAGTAGTAAATATGCATATGTGTATAATCAAGAACGTTTAGCAATGAAATAGGAAAAATAATGTTTCTAGAGTTAACGTAGTATTTATACTTTAATGTATAGGGTATATAACGATAGCCTGATTTCAATATAATCTATAAATGGATTTTTTACTAAGAATAAAAACGACATTAGTAATCAAAGTGAAACATAAAACACATGCTATTTAAAAATATGAATACAAACAAATGTCAGTATAGGGTTGTGGAGATTGTTGAGTTTATTAATTGAGATTATGAACCGATCAATGTAAGACCACCATTGAAAGCAGGGAAGCACTGAACAGTTGTTCCGTATGGGACTTCATAGCAGTGTGCATCCACGAACGAAACTGCAGTCCGATACTTCCAGGCTTTCAATGGTGGTCTAAAATTGCATCGGTTCATGATCTCAATTAATATATAAAAATGTCATCATCCAAAATATTATATATGCACATATCTGTAACCAGGTTGCCAACAAAAAACACATTGTTTTATTTCCCTTCAAACTTGTAAAAACCAACAACCTAGTAGCTGATAACCTTTGCATATATTTTTTCAGACACCCTGTCATTCGCAGATGAATCAAAGACAAACTTTGTACTGAACTATATTATCATTTAATTGCTCATGTGGGCCACACAAACCAAGCACTAAATAAACACATCATTGAACATTATCATGGGTAGCTTTCATAGGTGAATACAAAATAATCGAAAGTTCAAAATTAGAACAAATTGTAAACACTTGTTTCGAGTTATTTGATGTTTTTTTACTACCAATGCTGCAGACTATTTTTCCACATTATATATATATATATATATATATATATATATATATATATATATATATATATATATATATATATATATATATATATATATATATATATATATCTGCAGTATTTTATTTAGTAACTCCGCCTGTAGCTCTTATAGGGTTACTGCCGGTCCCAAGCCCGGGTAAAGGAGGAAAGTTGGGCATGGGGTTAGCGTCCCCATCCCGTAGAAAACTAACTCGCTAAAAAACGCTTACCAGAAAAAAATAATCCAAACCATTTAAACTTTGCCCTAGGAGTTAGAAGGTCTTCAGTCAGAAGAATTATGACGCTTCATGGTGAAAGACAAGTTCCTTCGGAAGCCACGAGGCCGATGCCCCTTCGAACGACCAGAGCAAAAATTTTTAAAGGTACATGGAACGTTCGAACAATGTGGGAAACCGGGAAAACCAGTCAAATAGCAATGGAAATGAGGAGATACAACTTAGCAGTACTGGGAATCAGCGAAACCCACTGGACACAAGCTGGACAGAAAAGGCTAGCTACGGGAGAGATGCTGCTATACTCCGGTCACGAAGAGAAAAATGCTCCACACACTCAGGGAGTCGCTCTTATGCTGTCCAAAGTAGCACGAAATGCACTTGTAGGATGGGAATCTCACGGATCCAGAATCATCAAAGCATCATTCAAAACAAAGAAGGAGGTGATTTTAATGAATATCATCCAATGTTATGCACCCACAAATGATAGCAACGACGACATTAAAGATCAGTTCTACGAGCGGCTGCAGTCAGTCATTGAGAAATGCCCAAGAAAGGACCTAACTATTCTGATGGGAGATCTAAATGACAAAGTCGGAATAGATAACACTGGATATGAAGATATTATGGGACGACATGGACTGGGAGAGAGGAACAAAAATGAGGAAAGATTTGCAAATCTGTGTGCATTCAACAAATTGATCATAGGAGGCACAATATTTCCACACAAGCGTATACACAACGCTACATGGATCTTACCGGACCACACTACAGAGAACCAAATAGATCATATTTGCATCAACAAAAAATTCAGAAGGACAATGGAAGATGTGAGAACCAGGAGAGGTGCTGATGTAGCTTCAGATCACCACCTAGTTGTGGCCAATTTAAAACTGAAGCTAAAAAAGAACTGGACAAGTGGACAAACAGCAATACAAAGGTTCAATACAGCCTTCCTTCGAGATACTGACAAACTCAATGAATTCAAGATAGCTCTCAACAACAGGTTCCAAGCCTTAGAAGATCTACTGAAAGAAGAAACTAGTATGGAGGACAACTGGAAAGGCATCAAGGAAGCATTAACTTCAACGTGTCAAGAGGTTCTGGGTCTAAAGAAATACCATCATAAGGAATGGATCTCTACAGTAACACTGGACAAGATCAAAGAAAGGAAGAACAAGAAGGCAGCAATAAACAACAGCCGAACACGAGCAGAGAAAGTCCAAGCACAAGCTGAATACATAGAATCAAACAAGCAAGTGAAGAGGAGCATTAGAATCGACAAGAAGAAATACGTGGAAGAACTAGCAACGACGGCAGAAAAAGCTGCTAGAGAAGGAAATATGAAACAGCTTTACGATACAACGAAGAAACTAGCAGGGAAATACAGTAAACCAGAAAGACCGGTCAAAGACAAAGAAGGCAAGCCAATCACCGAAATTCAACAACAGCGGAACAGATGGGTAGAATACTTCGAGGAACTCCTGAATAGGCCGGCTCCAATGAATCCACCGGACATCGAAGCAGCACACATAGATCTTCCTATAGATGTCAACCCACCAACGACGGAGGAAATTAGAATGGCCGTCAGACAAATCAAGAACGGGAAAGCAGCAGGACCCGACAACATACCAGCTGACGCACTGAAATCAGACATCGAAGCAACTACAAACATGCTTCACCTTCTATTCAAAAAGATTTGGGAGGAGGAACAAGTGCCGATGGACTGGAAAGAAGGGCACCTCGTCAAGATTCCAAAGAAAGGAGATCTTAGCAAATGTGAAAACTACAGAGGCATTACACTGCTGTCAATACCAGGGAAAGTCTTCAACAGTGTTGCTGAACCGGATGAAGGATGCAGTAGACGCCCAACTTCGAGATCAACAAGCTGGATTCCGTAAGGAACGGTCGTGCACAGACCAAATTGCAACATTACGGATCATCGTCGAACAATCAGTTGAGTGGAACTCATCACTATACATCAACTTCATTGATTATGAAAAAGCATTCGACAGTGTAGATAGAAGGACATTATGGAAACTTCTTCGACACTACGGAGTTCCTGAGAAGATTGTCAACATTATCCGGAACTCATATGATGGACTACAGTGCAAAGTCGTGCATGGAGGACAGCTGACAGATGCATTTCAAGTAAAGACCGGAGTCAGACAAGGCTGTTTACTCTCTCCCTTCCTCTTTCTTCTGGTGGTCGACTGGATTATTAAGACATCGATATCTGAAGGAAAACACGGAATACAATGAACAGCTCGAAATCAATTAGACGATTTGGACTTCGCAGATGACCTAGCCCTCCTATCACGTACAGACGAACAGATGCAGATGAAGACAGCCAGTGTAGCAGCAGTCTCTACATCAGTAGGCCTCAGCATACACAAAGGGAAAACCAAAGTCCTCAAATTCAAAGCGGAAAACAACAATCCAATCACTTTTGATGGCGAAACTCTGGAAAATGTAGAGTCCTTCACATACCTAGGAAGCATCATCGATGAACAAGAAGGTTCAGATGCAGACGTAAAGGCAAGGATTGGCAAAGCAAGGACAGCATTCCTACAGTTAAAGAACATAGATCATAGAAGCAGATATGAAAACGATGAATTACAACTGGACGGAGCTAAAAAGGATTGCCCAGGACAGGGTTGGATGGAGAATGCTGGTGAGTGGCCTATGCTCCTTCACGAGGAGTAACAGGCGTAAGTAAGTAAGTTAGTATTTTATTTAGTCTATTAAATTTATTTACATTCTTGTCACACTATTCTAATGTGCGTTCAAAACGATTTCCAACTGAACTCATTCATGTAAGTAAATTCAACCCGTATAGTAATTATTTTTAAACATCACACGTTGTAATTAGCTGATAAGAACCCAAAGACATAAAATGCTACCTTGTTATTCTGCTCAAATCTTTGTTTTTGTTCTGTTTAATATACAGAGGACCTAGAGAGACATTGAAAAAGCCCTTGGCTATATCCCGAATTAGATGAATTATGCTGAACGTATAGTTCTCATTTCCGATATAATCCGCTACCGAAGTAACAACGCTTTCTCATAAATTGGCTTTAAACACACATCACACTCACTGGATAATTTAGAAACAGAGAAATGTCTCCATATTTTTAAGCGTCTTAAGAAATAAATATCAGTAAATTTTTCTAAGCCCTATATAAGGTTCGCGTTTTGCTTTCGCGCGACGATCTACAAGTAGACTTTCTGAATCCGGCTAGTTCGGTGCCACAGTACGTTTTAGCAAGTATAAATTATGGTGAATCACTTGCGAAAATTCCAAATAAATTCATCAGTACCAAACAATATTGACCACAGTCAATATATATTGACAAATATAATTGGATAAGTTTCCGAATTATCAGTACGAGGTTGTGGAGATTAATGAGTTCTCACAACTTTATACTGATAATTATCATGTGCTCACCAGTGACTAGTTTCGAGAAGTAATCCTTAGAGTCCTAGTAAAAAACCGTGATCAGTGCAATTCAACCTGTGTCATGTATGAGGCAGTTATCCATCGATGATAATGGAAAATGGTCACGCAACATTGTGGATTGATTGAAGTTAAACATTAACATCATTAGATGCCGAGTCAGTGGTCGAGAGGTTAACCTATCGCACGCGAAACAGAAGGATCATGGGTTCTGATTGTTACATTCAAAGCCAAGGATACACACCATTGAGTTATATATAGAATTTTTAAAATAGGAAGTCGATACTAGGAATAGATAAAGATAACTGACACAGTAATAATGAAGCAGAAATTTTATATTAAGTAGCCTCATTTCACTCAATTTAAATATTAAAATGAATAAAGTTTTACTACACATAATTATAATTCAACTACGGTTTACATAACATATCATATGTAACATAGCCTATTATAATTGGAAAAATGTAGAAGTCATTTTGAGGGATCCGAATAAATCCTATCGTTCTTACTTATTCTAATGATATGACATATCATTTTATAGAATAATGTATACGGTAATACAAACTAGGGAATGCTATAGATCATATCGACATTAACAAAAAATATATATTAACAACCTTTATATTGGTTAAGAAATAGCTGAACTTCAGAAGTTGAATAAACTATGGATTCGCTTGTAGATTCTTCCAGGTGACATGTTCATTACAGGTAATTGAAAAAAAAACACCAATCGATATAATATTATATATTTCATTGTGACGATTCAGTTATATCGATCATGTTTGAAATGTAATCGCTAGGTATAGCAGAATGAAACGCGTTATTTTAGTATTGAATTACAAGTAGCTTTATAGATTGTCTCTATCCATCCAAATAGGGTAAACGTCAGTGTTAAATTAAATTTCGATACTATATGATACATTGCTGTGTACCATTCAAATATGGTATTACCACAAAACTCAACATAAATGTGGTTGAAAAATCGAATAACCACAACTCGCATTACTGTTATGCTAGTTAGTTGAAAAAAATTTGTCATGCTTCACAGTAATATAAGAATCGAAACAATAACGCAGATAATGTTGTACTTGATATCAAACATTATCATGGGGATTTAGTGTAAAAACAAACAGCTGATAAACTATAGTGCAATCTGTACTACATGAAGATCTTTTGAACTAGAACACTTCAAACAATCGAATATCACATATCTGTCTTCTGCATTTAACATTATTATCTATATCAAGCTGATAATGTCTGTAGAGTGGAATGAATTCTGTAATTATTATATTAGGAATATACTTTACTACTATTATTAGTAATAATAACACTATTAGTAGTAGTAGTAGTATTATAAACATTTGTATATAAACATGTTACATGAAATAATAAAATAATAAAATGCATTACCTGATATGTATCATTTTGACAAATACGTACAACTTCTCCACCGACTGTAGCTAATGGACCAACATTATCTGCTGTAAGTCGAGTAGCAAACTCTAATCCTTTTGTAAGACGTGATCGAATAATTGGTGCAGCTGTTGCATGAGCTGTATTCACTAAATTTTCAGCTGCTATAATTACACTTTGTTGATGCTCCAATGATTGAGCATTACCATCGGTACATTCCTATGAGTGATTAATTGAACCAATAAAGGATTATATGGCAACAGAAATCACTAGAAAAATACTTGGAATACAAATCAAGAGTTATACTTAAAAGACTCTACTCATGTTCAACTGAAAGTACATGATGTTAACAGATACAAACATAACATGTTCAGATTAAAACTGATAGGGATTTGTTGTTTTGAGAGGGAATTGAACAGTGAGTTAAGATCGATATTAATTCTGGTTTTATAAGAAAACACTTACTTTACTGTAGTCTAAATTGAAAATGCACGTTGTTACAAAAATCTAAGCTTTTATATATGTAAGACAGACATTAGTAACATAAAAAATCATTCAAATAATACGCGAAAGAATCAAAATACAACATTTTGTAACAACATATATGATGTCAACCGCCCTAAATTAGCCATTACTTAGAGAAAAATGCGAATACATGTGTAAAGAATTAGATCCACTGAGAATTAAGAAATGTAACCAGCTCCTTCCTTTAGTTTGAGAATACAAATCTTACAATCTAATATTTGATCATACATTATATTGATCAAACGGCTTAAACAGTATAAAAATATAACCTGTTTACAAATTAATGAAGCTGTATCTTAGTGATCTAGGCACTCGACTTTGAAACAGTAGGTCTCCGGTTTGAAGACACCTTCGTTGACTTATTTTAGTTTCGAAGACGGGTGGAACGGTTATCCCTCACAAAAATTGTGACTCAAACTGCAGTGTAAAAACTTTTATTTTTTAAAATATGGTACACTAAAGTAAAAGGTTCGGTTATGTGGGTTTCATTTACGTTATCAAACACCTTTTGATAGACACATACCTAACCACGTGAACCATAGAACAGATGAACAACACTTTTTATACCTAATAACTACTTTTTGGACTACTAACTATGAATCATATTGTTTGATATCTTCCTTTTCTGAATTACTGGTTCAAAATACGTTCTAATTACCAAACAAATATTTACAAGATCTTGATTCAAATGTTAAAAAAGGAATAGTTTATTTTGATTTTTTAAGTATCATTGACATACCTGGGCAACTGATAACAAATGATAAATTTCTTTCTCTAATATGTCAGCACGTTTAGCTATTTCATTGGATGGTATTCCCAACGTTGAATCCTGTTTCATTGCTTCCGAGCGTAAATCTGCCACTAAACATTCTACTGCAGAGGCTAATGCATTAGCTTTACGTACAAGTAGAAGACCATCGCCAACACTACCAGGTAATTGATGACTAACCGAAAGCAAATTCATAATTACAGGATCCTGGTGAGCCTAAAATTATTATTAATATTATTATTGATAATAAAGAAAATATGCTGAAAATTAATGATTCCATGAAAAATAATAGTATTTAAATTAACTGAAATCCCAAACAGGTAATTACAATGTTCTAAGCACTAAATTTAATAATCTGTGAGTTAATATTTAAAATAATTATCGTCTGGGAAAATACCGAACGAGCAGTGTCAGCTAATGAAATCAACTGATGTCTGCATAATTCATAGGGAATGCTTATAATCAATGTTAATTATAAAATCTTTTTAAAAAGAGATTTCAAGAGATAAAGCGATCGTAGTTACTATAACAAGATAAGCTTTTAGTGTAACAGAAAGACAGACATAACAAATACTAGTAGTAACACCAAATCGCACCTGTTTAGCACCTTTAATAGAAAGTGTAGATGAAATTAAAAAGAATCTTAACTTCAGAAAGCATAGGTTTATATCGTTTCGTAAACATAGATTATTTTTCTTTTGTACTAAAAATAGTTTATCATACAGAAAAAACCATGAATTGGTGCCAGCCTATATGTAAAATCAGATAGATAGAAAATGTAAGTACTCGTCCTGAATTCATCGAGTAACAGTAGCTATAAAAAAAAGATAAAGTAAAGTTGATATTTGATTCCAATCACATAACAGTAGTTCAGAAATATTTACTGGTATGATTTGCAATAAACAAATAGGAGTTTTGTATTACTCTGAAAAGTTTTTTTCATACACTGGATAGTATATCAAGTATTGTTCACCATACAGACGCCTTTTTTCTACAGAAACACATCTATCTACTCCAATTCGAATGAGATAATTTAGATATTACCTATTACTAAGGTGATTAGAATGCAACTAAACTATTTACCTAATCAGTCTTCCAATGAAAACTATATTAGTCAGAAAACTGTACCATATTCATGATAAACATGAATTTTGAAGATTAATACTATTTATGTTAGAACTTTAGATGCCTAATATATGATTTTATCAGTTTCTAACTTATGCAAATTGGTACATTTTTGGGAGGGTGATACAGTCAACCTACTGAACTTCATTTCTTATCGCTTAGTCAAGTAGATATTTTTGTTAAACAGTAATCCGGTATGATTACTTAATATACAGTATGTTGCAAATAGATCAAACAAATGTTAACTCTTATTGAAGATTCACAAAATACTTTATAACTCTCGGCATCAGAATAAACGTCAGAGACCAAAATGAATCTAAGCATTAGCATGAACATGTTTAAACTAGTGAAATCTGGGGATAAAATGTGAGAATAAAAAGAAAACCTACTTGTATCGAAGTTCCTATTAGACAATCAAGTAAATTGTCTAATTCATTATGTACAGAGTAAACACCTTCTTCTAAATCATTAACTAGTTTACAATGTACATTAAACATTTCATGATCATTTGTTAAGAATGTGGCAGCTGCGCCAGATGATGATGAATCTAATAAAGCTCTAGCTGGTAATGGTACAGAGTCTGCAGCTAATGCAACCTGTAGATAAAAAAAAACAAAAAAAAAATATGAACTTCATTGAGTAAAAAATATTAAACTAGCACAAATAGAAATTTTCACTATGAAAGATATCGACTGAAGAAATGGTCGTCTTACCTAATAAGATAATGAAATATTCAAACTGTTTATCAAGAAACTTTGATTCCAGTTTCATGAATGTTTGAAATATAATAAGTTGCTCGTGATGATGAACATAAAACAAAGTAAACTCAGTATAAGTCTGTGCAAATAATGCCATACATTAAAAAATTCACTTTATAAATAGTTAAAATCCGAACAGATTAACACACAACATTTCATTGTGAACTGATACAAAGTTTGTAAACTAAAATAGAACCCTGATCTACATAAAAACAAAATGGGTAGGTAAGACGAACATCGGTTGACTTTCTCCATGTGAAATGGTAACTAAGTTCTAGTGTATATCCTCGTATATGAATCAAACTTTATATGCGTAAACCAGTGATGATGACCATATCGAAGCAAAGAAGTCGGATTCCGAGTATGCAAAACTAAGATTCGAGTGGTTGATTGATCAATTGAACGCTCTAACTAACATAATGAAAGGTATTCATTTAGAGTCTTACAATTGACAGGAATTAGTCAACTCAACATGAAAACAAAAATCTCTAATAATACACTTCACATCGTTTGGAAGAAAGCATTTGTAACTTATCAGATATTTTAACGCCATCAGAAACTGAAGACTGAATTCAACAGCAACCACGCATATAACTCAGCAACGAGGTATGAAGATTGATTATTGCTTAAAATTAATCAAATAAGACAATTTAACAACGTCAGGAGATGCATATCTTTGGCAGTAGATAACAAAGGTAGGTTTGTATATTATTAGTTTCTTCAGTAAACTGAAGCTGATACTCACCACTAGGTTGAAACCAAGGTTTTATGAAAATTTTAGTTAAGCAGTCCATATTTATTCCGACGGTTCAACGCTTGAATGCTAGCTTTAGCTCAGTCACTGATGCTGAAAGAAGCTACATCATAACAGTAGTACGTTGGACTGCCTTGGAAATGTCAAGAAATATACAGCCCTCAAAACAACATTAATAATATCAAGACTTTATTCATTATAATATTAAGAGAGAATTTACATTAAAAAAATAAATACCTCTTTTATGGTATGCATTAATTGTTGTTGTGACTCCGGTTGTTCCATTGTACACGCAACTACTTTAGCGCAAGTAACTAATTGGCTTGCAGTTTTACCAGCTCGTGTTGCTGACTGCACTAAATTCGATTGAGCATTACGTAATATTTGTACTTCAATATCATTTGGATTTGATTTGTTCTCTACTAAGTATTGATTTACTTCTTCATCAAGAACTAATGCACCCGTTTTAGCCTTTTTCACTAATCCCGTCATTGCATTAGCAACACTCTAAGAATATAACAATAATAACTATGAAAATACTTGGAAATAGACAAAAATAAAATTACATAGTCACTCAAAGTAAATACTTAAAATATATACGAGGATGTTAGTATCCATGTAAACATTTATTTGAATAACAAGATTACTATGATCAGACTGGACTGCAGTTGTTATATATCAGGATGTTATATCAAATCGATAAGAAATGATGGAACTACTACCCAGTTTTATGTTACCCATAACTTTACTGAGTAGTAACTATGATTTCCTATTTTCGATGTGTCATAACTTGGTAATAAGTGTCCATAATCACGTGTGTCTGAGCTATAATAATATAAATATTCTGTAGATTGTTGTGTTTAACATCTGAAGATAGCTATTATGTTCGAAAAACCAAAAAGAATAATAGCTTTTGGGATTGACGTTTATAGTCATTTACTATAGGTCTAATCGTGGCATTTGTCAGTTGAAATTTAGTAGTCTTATTGAAAATGAAGCGTATACATCATTAGGGAACTCCGCTATAAAATGGTTGGATTAAAAGTGACGGATAATGATAAGATTTCTGAAGACAGAAAACACATTATTCGTTCTTTCATTGGAAACTGTATTTAGTTGCACCTAAAGGCTAGAGCTAAAATTGTAATTAAGAATAAATTATCGAAAAATCGGTCAACTATGACTAGTTTAATATGTCCATAAAAGTTATTTTTTTAATATTGTGATGAATTGTAACAAACGAAAATAGATGACGCTTCACAAGAAATTTTACAGAACATAACAAGATATTGAATGGTGAACTGTCAAAGAGAAATGGGATTTTATAAACAAAAAATGACATAAATTTTCGCAATGATTTGTGAGGATTGTGTAAAGATATACGATAATTAGTATAGATAATAGTTACAAAGAAGTGAGCCGCTCAATTATTAGTTCTTGCACTATTTCAAACGATGAATGGAACTAAATGTATGTAAAACAACAGAGACTAATGAGGAATAATTGAATACATCATATTTTTCCTTACTTTACAATAAAATTATGAACTAAAACACAGTACTTATAAACTTAGTATTTCATCGAAGATTGAAAGAAATGTATAATGTATATGTGAATGTTGTAAATAAGCAGGTAGAAAATGTTTTATACTCTTAACAGACTACTTGTTAGTAGTCTCATTAAAGTCTATGTTATAGAGTTTCATAATTAGGCAGAAATTATTTACTTGTTTAAAGATGGATTTCAATCAGAGCAGATAGCTAAAGGAACCTCGTTATATAACAAGAATGCTTATGAGTAACAATTAAGCTCCAGTCAATAAGGTAGGAGAAATGCATTGCATCCACTAAATTAACTTACGATGTCTAAACACATACTGTATGCAGTCAATTAGAAATGATTCACATAAATAACTCACCTTAGTTAATGTAAGTAAACGATCTCTAGCTTCCCAATCAACTATTGATGCACAATTAACATGATTATTCTCTTTATATACAGTATCATTTTCATTTGTTGATGCACAAAACTCAGGTATTGTTGGCGGTGAAATTAATTGCAACAGTTGACGACTTGCATCACCCACGCGACTAGCAGCTTCTAGTAGAGCTGCACGATCAGTACTACTCTTGGAATCAAATAATGAACTTGTTGAACGTGTTAATGTAGAAGCCTTGAATAAAAGAAAGAAAAGAGATAGAAAGAAACTAAGTATTACAGACAAGAAGCCTAACCAATAATTCTTTCATACGAATATTCATCAATCTCAGAACGAATACTTTGACAGAAATTGGGCGTAGAATATAGAGAAGACACCATATGTGAAAATTATCTTTGAAATAATCTCGGAGATAAAAATTTTAATAAACGTTCTTTCATTTTACAAAAAGAAATAGTATGGGTGATTAAGAGGAGTTAAATATTCAATTTCATTACCATAGTTATGTGCATAAATCATTGAAGTTCCTTTTTTTATTCATAAAGAAATGTATTGTTGACATAAAAGTAACGAATAAGACACAGCTCAGATTGTCTAACTAATTTAACGGACAGTGTTGTTAGGACAGTAACAATTCGTCTTTCTTTGTACTATTATAAACACTATCTTGCCGGTATAAACGTGCATGCTTGATCACGTGACGGCCTACGCACATCTCTGTAGCTTAAATGTTAATCGCTTAAATAGCGCTCTATGAATCATCCTCTTCCTCATGTATATAAGTACACGAATCCTATTAATTGCATTTACCTTGCCTAGCTGCGCCTTATTCAATTCGATTATAAATTCGCCTCCATATTTGCCCACACACATATATTCGCCTGTCTGCACCGAATTCGCTCGATGTGTGTATAGCTTTGTTATCTGTGCTATCCGCTAATAAATTGTATTCGCCGCTTCTTATTGCCCTCTGAATACAAACATCGTTGGGATCTATATATTAAAGGTTATCAAGGTGATTAATTGACGAAGTTAAACCAATACAAACAGTACGCTTTTAAACAAGGTTTTAATAAAAGCTTTGTTGATAGTCATTTTGAGAAGAAGAGATGGATGATGGCTAGCAGTGAAATTTGAGACGAGCGTTTCGTCCTATTTGGAACTCATCAGCTGGGTGTACTTGTATCCACAATTGATGTTCATTCCCAGACTCGAACCCAGTACCATTCACTTCAATAAGCCATGGCATTATCCACTTAGCTATTGAGTCCAAATAGTCATTGTCTTGTGAAATGGGGCAAATTTTAATTCATATATATTGGCTTTTCTAGAAGATTTAAACAATCAATTGATATGAATTTATGTTCACTTTATGAAATTCTTGTCATCTGAAATTTAATCTTACATAACTGTTTTTTACATTATAATAGCTATAAATAAATTCCATACTGAATAATTCAAAACTGTTCATATATTTTATTTATCCTCGTTAAAATTGTAAAACATCAAAGCACGAGTGGGTGTGTTTACTTACAATGTCAATAAATTAACAATTATGACAACAACAAAATGTACATCCGAAGTGACCGACTTACTTTATCTGATGAATTATCCATTGATACAGATGAAAAAGTAGTACGCATTAAGTCGAGAAATGCATCAGATAAAGCTTGTGCAGCTTGCTTTAAACTTGTTTTATCTACAACTGATCCATTATTGTTATTAACAGTATCAAGCTGATCATATAAACGTACACAATGCATAAGACCTTTTACATTCATTCCAATTGATGTCATAGAAGCATCCATACTAGCATAATCTATTTCAGCATGATTATTCATATCTAAAACAATGAATTCAAAGATGGAAAAAACAGATAACTTGACCAAAACATATTACTGGAAACAATAACAATATATATATATTTTTTCTGTTGCTTTGAAAAAGATATTTATTCAGCATAATAGATAGAAAAACATCCGTAACATACTTTGGAAAAAGTAAAGTGTATTGATCCACAATCATACTTTCATCAGTGTCTTATTTATTTCCAAGAAATTTATTATTATTCTTTTCTGAAAATGTTCGAAGTATATCTCAGTGACATGTTTTTCTTTTGTTAAAATAATAAGACTAACAAGTGGCGTCAATCGACGAATTTAATGCAACATGACAAGACATTAATCGAATCGCGTTTAGTTTGTTGTAAATGATTTGGATATCGGTTCATTACAAACAATGACAGTTATCAGTGTTTATATTAACAATCATTAAATAAAGTGATTTATACATAAACTACCACCCACCTTTTTCATAAATCATAAATGTGGTTATTTCATTTTTAAGTAAGGATTATTTACATACATCTCTGTGATCCCACGAAGCTATTGTTATTGACATTCGCTTTATTTACACATAATTTCTGAAGTTTATAATCATGACACACTTATTGGTTTGTTAAACAACACTAACGAGTAAAATAATTATCCTATGCGATCTAGTCTCAAAATTCATTCACTCATTGAAAATAGTTATTTTTGACTTCGGATTATTGTTGGCTGACACATCATCACTTGATGAGGATTGATATTATTACTACTGTAATATGTATACAGAGTAGATAATCTGATTGAGGTCAGTGTGGTTATAGTAACCAGTGGTTGGAAACTTTAGTTAACACGGCTCATAATAGTTCGCAGTGGCACACGTTGATTGACTCTTTATCTTCTCTAAGAATCTGAGGCTCGAAATTTCCTTGTCTTTTTTTCCTTTTCATACACCAAATCTTTTTAACAACCACAGATACCGTTAGCACCTTTACCACTCGGGGATTCGACTTGAAAAATTTATTTCGCAGAGCTAATGTGATATGGCACATTGAGATAATGTACTTCTGTGTCAGGTTCTATAGTGTATTTCATTAGATGAATAAATTAATCCACAGTCGTACTGAAAACCTAACCGAAAGATTTTTCCAAATAAAAATTAGCATGGAATGCTCTCACTATTTATGGGGAAGAAAATCTTTAATATAGTGTTGATGATGTGAATCTTCTAAATTCAGAGAATCATTTGTTCAACAAATGAAGAACATCTTGAAAAAACAGAATCGAATCGAAAATCAAATAATCCGGAAAAATAATTGTTTTCACACAAATTATAAACAAAAGACAAAGAACTAAGTGTAAAAACTGTCAGATAATATAAGAATTATAAATATCAAAGACATAATAGATTTAATTATTAACTGATTTGAGATTTTAAGTACAATATAATAACTGCACCCAAGGTAATTGTAACTTTTCTGTAGGCATAACTATATTTCAGCTATCGCATAGCTCTTTCTAAACTTAGAAATCTTTTTATTTACAACTTAGTAACCAAGTATACATTTGTATATTTAAACTATGAAATTACAGGTTTTGTAGGTGACAACTAAAGATACTATCTAGTTATCCAAAATAAGGTAGGTGTAGCATAGCTGGAATCTATATGTTACTAAGCAATGATTTCTTAACTATGTACGTAAATAAATGGCAAATGTGAAAAGTTCTTTACCTTCCCTATGTACAAACATATATAACTTAACTCGTTTGATACATTCAAATGTTACACATATATAAAAAAAATGATTCTATTATTTGGCTAGTAATAAATTCCATTCTTTCATGAGACTATTTTTACATTTACGTCAACTGTGTTTTGAAAAATAGAAATCTATAGAAAAATAAAACAAAAACAAAAATGCTCTATCTATTCATCACATTCAGACTATAAATTATTTTCAACAGTTACAATCAATTCTACTGAAAATTCATTATATACATTTGATATTCAATTGATAATAGATTTCTAAGACTATCAACTTTCATTGTTACTAAATATTCATAGGTTCTTATTGCTTAACAAACTGTTACCATTCCATATATATATATAAGCACACATGGAAACTATGAGTTGTTTCTTTTCTTTCTTTTTTAATGTCTATAAGTTACACTAAATTAATCGATATAAATATAATACTTGTATTAAGAAAACAGTATATGCTTAAACATATTATGAAGAAGGTACTTTATAGATATACTATTGAATCACATCATGCTAATCTATAAATATACAAGAGAAGATTCTGAAAAAACAACACCGAAGAAAAAAACAACGTGAATAAATGTATTTATCACATCATGTCACTTCACAAAGAAGAAAAAAAAATGTTGGAAAATTTATTTATTTATTTTTCTAATAAAGATGATGTATTCTTGTTTTTTTTGTTTTGATAGTTTGTTTTATTTTTGTCACATGTCTAAATAAAGTTTCAGACAAAGAAAACAGTAATAACTTATTTCTAATAAACAAATAAGTAATATATATTTAATTAGTTAAGTAGTAATTAATATTGAGTCAAACAGCTTACACCTGTTACCACTCGTGAAGGAATATAGACCTTTCTTTTGTACAAATTACAAAAGAGTCCAATAAGAGATAATGTGGTTGCTGGCAATATACATCAGAAAGAATGAATATTATTTAAATGTTGATTCCTGAACTGTTAAAATCTAACTGGTGATCAATCGATATTTATTGTCAGGATCGATCAAAAGTAGGAAACGGAAACTTGTTGAGATATTTGTGTTGAGAAGTTTATATTGTACCAAAAATATGATATTGAATAAAGCTTATCATGATAATAATGACAATAATAAAAAACTATGAGTAGTGTATTCAGTGGTACGTAGCCTACTGGAAGAAATTCCGTATGGTTACTGAGATTTACTCAAAATTACTTTAGCATCCCTACGCGTAGAGAAGATAGTATCAAGCTGTTTTATACCAAAATATAGTGGATTCGAATATATAAGACGATAAATCATAAGTATGCAAAAGAAATTAGAAATGTTCCTTTCGATGTTAGTCAATCTAAAAACGAACAAACGAAATTACATTATTCCTATGTAAAGTTATAACGGACTAACTTATACTAAAACAGTAATGACTCACTGAGTCTAAACTAAACAACATACTACTAGTTACTAGTAAAGTTGGTCACAGTTTATCTGAACGTCAGTAAGCCAATGAATGTAAGATCTAACACAAATGGATGTCGGTTAAAGCCACGACATCACAAGATGAAATTTAGAAGGATAAACAACACAGCATCAATGATAACATAAGTGACAATCAGAGTGAAAATGCTAGACATTGAGAATATAATTCGAAAAGTCAGAATAAAAAGGTATTTTTCAAAAAATACCTGAACTCAAAACCCAAAGGAAGATAAAGAGTAAATAGATCTGCGCCATTCTCATTAATTGTGTATTATATCATGCTATTCCTCCAGCTACTGATTGCGGTTGTTGAGCGAACCTCAACCAGAAAATCACATTTATCAAAATAGTTCAGATCAACAACAAATGTTCAGTTGAAACATCAGTTACTTATAATGGACCATGTTACCAAATAAGTAATACTAAACTATACCATAACATCTAAGATAAGTTTGGAAAATTACTCATAAAGCTGTAGCATCTTAAAGAATGAACTATTTTGTACAAAAGTGACTAGTCATTATTTACTTTATAAGTTGACATATAGCAATGAAACTTAAGTATAAACATCGATGATGTAAAACATCAACTTGTTTGTATCGTTTAAACTGCCCTTAAATGCATTTTTCATCTGTTATTCTCAGTGAATTATTAAGATCAACTACACACACATTTAGATGGTGGTTGGAGGTAGTCAACAGGAAACCCTGGACCCGGATTTCGTGCTATTTGGCACTCGTCAGCAAGGTGTACCTGTAATCTTGAGGGAACTGGTTCTCCCTAGCGGATTCGATCTCGTGTCACCCAGCTTCACAGTCAGAGACGTTACTACTGAGCTATCCGAGCCGTGACTAACCTCCTGTAGGACTGAGATGTAATTACAATTGATTGATCACTGGGTGGTGATCAATGTTTTGCTTGTCTAGTGCTTATTAGTGCAGATCGAATGCTATCGATCATGTTGCAATGTGGCCACCAGTCTAGGTGACTCGACACTGCTGACGAGTGCCAAATAGCACGAAACCCGGGTCCAGGGTTTCCTGTTGACTACCTCCAACCACCATCTAGATCTCAAGACATAGTGCCCGCAGTGTCGAGTCACCTAGACTGGTGGCCACATTGCAACATGATCGATAGCATTCGATCTGCACTCATAAGGACTAGACAAGCAAGACATTGATCACCACCCAGTGATCAATCAATTGTAACTACACACACATATTAACCATTATTTCTTGATCTTATCTTTAAATATAATCTATAATTGTGATAATAATAACTGAATAAATACACAACTTTTAAGTTCTATATTAATCTAACTAGTAAATTAGGTTAAACTTCATATAAAAATAAACTGGCAAAAAAGACACACACACACACACAAAGCTTCTAACAGTTCATATTTATTTAATCTATAACCTAAAAATCACATGAAATATGAGTAATCAAGTAAACAGAAAAGTAACTGAATCACATGTTTACACTTTGCACGTAGGACATAAATAATAACAAGTGAACAAATATGTAATAAAAAGATGAATAAAGTAGCAAATGACGTAAACAACTAGAATATATTATAACATCATATTATTATACTATACTACTACTTGACTATATTATATCATACGAATAGTTTAAACATGATTTCTTTTCTAACTAATAATATAGGTAAACATTATAGATCAGAGAAGTCATATTTAGAAAATTTAATAGCGAAAGACAGTTTTCCTCTATGACCATTTGCAATGAATTACATGTACTACTATTGAAATTACTAAAGTTCAATCCAGTGATGATAATAATGAATGCACTCAATGTAAAATATACAATCGTTAACGTAAAAACTTTTCAATTTCGTTCTAGAAAAGTAATATTCATCAAAGCATTACTTACTACATAAACAGCTGTCATTCACGATAAGAGTAAGTAACTAATTCATTAGTCACTTGTTGATTATCGGTAGCATTTTAGAAATCAACAGTTTTTAATCAAAAAGATAAATACTCCTGTAAATTCGTCATTTTGTGTATGATAACAAGTTAGTCATATATAGATTGAAAACATGATCTATTCTAACAACAACAATAATAAGTTTCCATATATGATTCTTATCATTTCCAGAAGAAATAATAGATGAGTTGATTTTTAGCTACATATCTCTCCCTCTCACCCACTTACATATTACATGGACACTTTATTGAACAGACATGGTAGGAAGAAGAACAAATTACGATCGAAATACAATAAGCGAATAGGTAAATAGATAAAAGTAATGCAGTGGTAGTAATAGTGGTGTTATTTATTTGTTGAAAAATTGGGAGAAATATTCCAATACTTTGATAATGTTTAATGGACAGGTGTGAAATTATTTCACTATTGTACTGCATTGTGTTCTGCATTCATCCATGAATATATATATATATATATATATATATATATATATATATATATATATATATATATATATATATATATATTTGTAACACTTTTCTTAATACACAAGATGAACACATACTGAAATATCAATCACTGGCTATGAAACGGCTATTATAGCTATATCGTTTCTCGAAAAAGTAAATGATACGGTCATACATCGATGAGAATACCAGCACTTATCCAGACTGTGATAAATATAATTGAAAAATCTTTAGAAGGGAAATCAACCGAATGTTATAGAATCTAACAAAAACTAAGAAATCAAGACGTTTCTGATTAGTAGACATAAAATTTACACAAAATTATTTGAAGATAAACATGAACATATAGCTGATTTTTAAAATGAAACAAAAAGTATATTTTAATTCATTTGGTATTGTTTATTTGAATCTTCCTATTGATGCTTAGGACTGCAATTGATTAGTCTCTTATTGGCATGCGTGCATCCTGTGCGGATTGCCTCAATATTGCAATGAGTCACAAGCATTATAAGATGGATGGTGGCTAGCGGTGGAATTCAGAACGCGCATTTCGTCCCACTCGGGGAACGTCAGCTGGATGATATACATTTTACGCTATGTAATGAAACTAATCTTATTATTACTTAGAATATAAGCGCATAGTAGTTTAATTGGTCCTATGCCATTTTTATGAATTTTTAGATTAATCAAAGGTTAGTGAGACTTAAAACTAAAACAAAACGTTATAAAAACGTATTAATCTAGTTGACAAACAATTCTTTCACAGGACTGTTTATATTACTTGAACATTGACTTCACCTACAAATTTCAATCCCAAAGCCTAATTGTAAAACATTAATTCTAAAGTCAAACTCTCATTCCAATCTTTACGCTTAATCTTAATTCTAATTAATTGCTACTTTGCAGCGAGACTACATAAAATAGTATTTCAAAACAGCTTTTCCTTTTCATATCAATAAGTTATAATATTTTCATAAAATTTAGCAATCTGTCATACGATAACCATTATGTTGACGTGAACTAGACACCATAACATAGAAACTGCGCTCTAAGACTTTACTGACTTATCCTTATACTTAAATCTTGACGAATGAAATCTAATGCGATTTTCTAAATCCTTAATAGATTACCATCGCAACGACTTAAGTAATGAGCTCATTACAAGTTATAGGTTAATAAAATTATTTTAAGTAAATTAAACGTTTGTTCACTAAAAAACTAATTTTCTATCTCAGATTATTCTCCAGTTGAATTTATTATCATTTTGAAATCAAATTCATGAATTCAATAACTAAATAAAACAATCATTTCATAAATGTACGAGTATCTTTCAATTGACAAAAATAAAAAAAATAACAAAACAATCACATACAACTGCTACCAGCCAATCTATAAATCATTTTCAACTTGGTTTCTTTTCAGTATTTTTTTGGCATGTATACTTTGATTTTTCACATGTATTTACGCACATGCATATGTCGTCTGTACTACTACTACCACTACTATGTACAGTGAATTTTACGTATGTACTACATTGTATTGTGATCTGTTCAAACAGCAGAGAATCAATTCGATTTTGTTGGTCACAAATTGTCGTTTGTTTAATAAAAACAATTCTATTCTGTTTATATTTATATAGTTAACTTATACTGTATTAAATTAATGATCAGGGTACTTTTCTATCATCTTATCACATGTAAAATCATGTTTTGTTAAAGTAGTACTTAAAAAAAAATAAAATAGAAAGCTTAAATTTCTATGATAGATTTATGGATAAAAACTTGCATGGTTTCTATTTTTTGTATTGATCTGAAATGCTTTAAAATCATGGCTAAGTTTAAATGACCACAAATAAATGATATATTGGGCAAATTGAAAATCAATCGATTGATTATGATCCTTAACTAAGTTTTAGGGAAACATGATAATTAATTCTGCTACTATTATGGTGTATGTTACTTATGCTGACAGTTATAGGTAGCATGTAGCAGCTTTTTGAAGCGGGACACCTGACAGCAGAATATTGAATTTAAGAGAGAAAAAGACAGCAATTGGAATAATAATAGAATCGGAAGAATCATGAAGTATATAAAGGACAACTGAAGATATGCAGACAATGTATTCATAGCATGATTTTCATATTTTAAGAAAGCACTGTGTAGTTCTGCATAAAAAATTGGTTGATTTCCCCCAGGCTCAGTAGTCTAATGGTTAAGTGCTCGCGTGCGAGACCGATAAGTCCTGCGTCCGAATCTTGCGGGGGGAGCGGTATCGTGGGCGCATACTGCTGAGGAGTCCCATACTAGGACGAGACGGCCGTCCAGTGCTTCCAAGTTTTCCATAGTGATCTAGCTTCAATTGACTCATGATTTCAAATATTGCCCCCAAATGCTCTGGTACGGCCGAAAGTGGGGAGAGTCCGCTCACCCTCTAGAATTACTCTCACATGGCCACGCGTATATAGCTTCTGCCAGGAAAGTCCTACTCACTGCCTTCCCGTGGTGGCGGTATCATTTACGCAATTGTGAGGACGAAAAGCTCAGTAGTAATGTCGCTAAATGTCACACTAATTGACGACTATAATCGCATAAGAGACATACTGTTGAACACATCTTGCTGACGTGAGTCAACTAACATCAAGCCTAGTTTCCAGACTTTAACCGGCAAAGTCTATATACTAAATTAGGGATTGCGCAAATGGTTTTATTTAAATCTATATTTTAATCGCTTTGCTGATAAATCTTATTCATTTTGATGACAACCTTTGTTTAAGACTTACATTATTTGAAGAACTTGTGAAAACCAATGACTGAACAATTATTTAACCTAAGCTTGAACCTCTTTAAGAGTACAATTCCAGAATCGCACAATGAACCGAATCACACGATGTTTGTGTTCTGATAGCCATATAATTGTGTGGGTTCACAGTTGTTTACACTTCCGACCTCATACTATACACGATTTTTTTTCTCAAACATAAGTAATTGTGACAATGATAAATACTCAAAAATACGTTTACATAAATAAAGAAAAGTAGTAAATAGTTGAAATGGCAATTAAAATTGTAATACTTACCGCCATTACGTCCCCGATTGTTTGATATTTCGATACCAGAGATTAGGCGACCCGTAGCCATTGTCATTGCACCTAAATGACTGAGTACACCAGCACGAGCTTGTTGTAACGTTTCTGAACGCCAACGTTTTGTATTCTGTAATTGAAATTTTTAATGTTACCAATAATCTACATAACAAATTTAATATTCGAAATATGATTTAGTTGATTAAAGGGAACATTTCACTAGCCTATAAGTCAAGGAAAAGAATATATATATATATTGTACACAACCCAAAAAATCATAATCATCGGTCTCTTCATGGATGGTCGATAAGAAATAAAACATTCTTTTAAAATAAATAACAAACAACGAATGGTGCATCTTGTAGATATACTTTTCATAAAGCATTTTCGACCAAATCTATGTACACGAAAAGAAACTTTCTTCGGGCTGCTAAAAATGACTATTTTAAAACAATTAAAACTTCTTTATTGAGTTTATTCTGTGTACAATGGAGATAGCTGGGAGGGAACCCCGACAATTACTTCACACCTTTTAGCTGAAATATTTTTTAACCACACTTACACAACACAGGAAAATTATAGCTTGGTATGTATACTATTTAGCATATTGAAACTATACGTCAAAAGCTTAGGTTATATGCTTCGCACTTGAAATGTATCGAAAAGGCTGAATTTTGAAGAAATGTTACTGACAGGCATATATAAATTATTGCACGAACTTGACTCAACTAATGATATCAAAATCCAAGTTGATCAGGTCAAATAGGCCATAATTATAAAAGTATGTATCTAAAATGTCAGAATACAAAAATAACCAGATTTATTCTAGTTGATTAATTCAATTCACATGCTAATTATGGTACAATGACCTCAATCCTTCGATAAATTTCTTATATGATTATTCATACTTACTGACTTCCCTTCTTAGAGATAATTATACTAAATTCATACACGTAACCGATACAGGTTACTTATTTTGAAGACATATTTTTCTGAAAACTGTTGTTGCTTTCTGTATGTTGAATAATTCATTCCAAGTATTTACTTGATAATACTATTAGCATCAATTTAATAAGAAGTGTCGAATGTTCAATATGTACAATAGTCTAGTAGGTAAAGTTTGTGCAGACGAAAACACTGAGCTACAAGTATAACCGAAAACTGAGTTGAATACCAACAATCAAACTAAAGAGATAGAATACATGGTCGTAAACCTGTAGCGCATCTTCTACTGAATATTCAATATGTAGGCGATATATATAGTAGCTTTTTGTCCATTTAGTGAGTGAATACTACATAAAAGGCCTAATTTACAGTGAATACTTCGTTTCAAGCCTTTATTTTCATATTGTCTACTTTTTCCATCTAGCAGGTTGGGATGCGGTGCAGGAGCGTATTCACAAAAGAAAAATGTAGATAGCTCTCATTGAGAGCTATCTACATTTAATTAAAATTGAGTCCCAAGTAAAAAAACTACACTCTTATGTGCACCATTAACACGATAAATGAACGAGATATATAATCAAAAATACTTAACATCTCATTTTTATTGAACATTGTGAACAAATGATTATCTTTATAAAAATTAAGCCCACTATTTTGAAACCAAATTTTTGTCCTTTGACATAATTTACAAGACTTATTCTAAGATGTTAGATTCACAACAAAGCATACATTCTATTGAAAACATTTTTCCCGTATTCATTCCGAACTTACAACCTGAATTCTATATGCAAAGACGATTTTTTAGATAGTTCACTTAACTATAATCCTTGTTTTATGGTGTTTTGCAAATATATTTATCTTTCTTCTTGTTATTTTTTTAACATCACTATTATTATTACAAAAAATGTAACTTTATAATTCTTGAATATTATCTATAATGTATCCCAGTTAACTCAACATTTTAGTCAATGAAATATGGTTATTTTTGTTTATCGGAATAAATGTACATATTATGTTACATCTCATTAACACTTCTCGTACAACAATTATATAATTAAGATTACTTAATTCGACGCACTACTTACTATATTATTACTTTACTAGACATATAATCTACTAATAAACTTTAAATGTAATAGACATGTAGTGAACGAAGACTTGGTAAGAATAATCAATTTATTGTTGAATGCAAAATTACAGTGTCTTTGTAAGATTTGGAAAGCAAAGATTAAATACTTTATTTGCATATTTACCAATTGTCACGTACAAACTTAATCGTTCCTTCATTCCTGTTGTTATAACAGCTGCTATTTATATTCCAGGTCTCTTTGATTCAATCTTCTCAACATACTGCTATTATGCATCCCACTTCTGATTGGTGTAACATACCATTTAAGTCTGTCAACATAAGCGGCAAACCTTATATATATATATATATATATATATATATATATATATATATATATATATATATATATATATATATATATATATATATATATATATATATATAAGGTTAATAACCTTTTTTGACGTATGACAAGGAAAAAATAATACAGTCTACTATGATGGTACATCTTGAGTATCTCAGTAACTAGATTCGAGATAAGTGTTACATATATTTCGTGGTGATTAAATACAAGTGGTCAATAAACACATCAAATTCATCAAAAAAAAATGAAAACAAGAAAATCTATGGTAATACATGATGACTATAAAGTTTGAACATACTCTCTGTAAATAGAAACAATCAAATAACTTTGAAAAGGATCATTTTAAAATGGATTTCTTTAATGGATTATTGTTTTATGAAATATTTTTACTTTGTTATACAAAATTACACTAGTGTTTATTTTTGTAGAACGGGATCATCATCGTAGCAAGTCAATTTTATTTAAATCTAGAGAAAATATGTTTAGTTCCATTTTAAGAAACAAATTAATAGATTTAAGATCTATACAAATAAAAGTATTAACACCTCGTATACCAATCTGATACAATTAGTTAACAACTTATTGAACTACTACATGAACAACTACTTCTAAAAACAATAAAAATAGTGTATAACACTTCAAAAACATACTATATCATCACCGTATAATGCTTCTTCATCTTCATAGATAGGTTTATCAATATCTTCACATGCTCCTTGAATTGTACGTACACCATAGTCTATACGAGAGAGTAAAGCACGTTTCGGTTGTCCAAGATCAATCATTTGGAACTGTAAACAAATATTCAATCAATAAGAAGAAAATGCTACAAATCAATTTCCATTAAACAAAAAATGTAAACAATTACTAATTGTATAGAAAGTAGTACAATTGGTTTTGAATTTCTGAAAAACGGTATTGTGTGAAAGGAAAATCAACAAGTGGTAATAATTTGAAAGGGTACGAACGTTATCAAACTCATTATTTAAATAAACACCTTAAGTCGGCAATGAAGTTCCGAAACGATAATATTGGGGATATGAAACTAGTGGAATGCCGGAAATTTGATGGGTAGGTACTGATCTTTAAACGGTTCTTGTAGAGAGATGTACCAGTGGTTAGAACATTCGACTTTCTATCACTAAGCAATAGGTTCGAACCCTGACAAAATGGTTTCAGTCTGATCATCTGGGTAATATTACTAACCTTAGTAAGTAGAGTGTGGCTCTTAACCAAGTACACAAATTTTTATCTTCTACGTGAACTAATAAAACAGTAAAACAATGTCCATGTTCGAAAGTCGAGACGAATGAGCATATAACTCATTTTTTCTGTTGGTTGTTTTAATCTTAAGATTGACGTTTAGGACTGCAATCGATCAGTCTCACATTGATAGATGCCAATCCTGTGCGAATTATTTTGATTTTTTCTTAATTTACAAGCATTATAAACAGAGAAATGGATGGTACTAGCCACATTCCAATATAAAAAGTTAACTAAACTTCACCCCATTTCACAAGGTGGTGGCCGATTCGAAAGAGAGGATCATTGAGGACCAAGAGATGCCAAGCCCAAGCAACTATCTCTTATCTTAAACATTTTGTCGTAAAAATACTACTTCATTTTTTAAGGACTCAATGTTAGAAGATAATCCCTAACATGGAACTTGACGTGATAGCATCCATGTGGCATATCCAAGTCACCAAATCTGATGTTCAATAACAATATCAAAGTTTAGATTCTCATTATCTCGTAACGCACATATCCTAACCCTCATATTAATTGCAAGATGTAACCCGTCGAAAATAAGTGGCAGATTGATAATGATAGACCATATTGAATTGATAAACACTAACGAACGTTCAAACTGTATAAGTTTAGGAAAAAAACTACTCGATTTGTGCTCATTATATAAAATTTATTTTGCAATGATGTCTAGGTACTTAAATGTATGATACTCGTTTTTTAGAGTCCATTATCACCTTTTAGAGTAACTAAATTCCTTTTCTAAAACTTTGATAATAGGTTGAAATCAATAGAAAACAACAAACAATTACATAGTGTATAGACAATCACTTTATAAAAATCTAAAAGCATCTGATTATTATTCTATTCAAACAAATAACATAATAGAAACTATTCAAATTCATTATAAAGTAGGAAAATTGCCGAACAAATATCTAATATAATGAGCACACAATATACATTCATAATGATATTCATAATCATTTATTACAGTTGTCACACGAACTGACTATTAATCTAGATAATTATGTTATGCAACAACAGGTTATGAATTATTTACTAAAAATATGATGACTAGACAATTCAAGTATTATATATATATAACTAAATCGTATATAAATATCAAGTTTCCCACTGTCTAGATTAGTAGAATGTCATATGTGATAGTTTACATGTACACTAAATTACATGGTAATGAAAATGATGAAAAAACCAACACACACATTTCACTGATTTATTCTAACTTATATAAACTAATTAACACTTTGGCAAGTGTCCAATAACAACCTCCAAATCAATAATATATATGTATATAATGTGATAGATATGAAAAGTAACATGATAATATAGTCATGATTTAAAAAAAACTTTATCGATAAAACCATTTCCTAGATAGATAGAATGATGTACGACACATTTATGGTGAGAAACTTAATAATTTAGCGGTAAAACCCCTGTCCTTTCACTAAATGAATTGTATATTAGAAATGCATTTTATCAATATTGATTTAGAAAGTATAGGTAAGATTACTAATTTGATACAGAATCCATACGGATCAAAAGTAGTAGCACAATTCTGGAGTTGTTCAAAAGATAGACGGTATGAACTTAACTTGTAAAGGACTAATCGACTGAAAAAACACTAAAATAATTGTAGTGGCTGGATTTGTGTTTTGGTTATGGGTTCGATATCATCAAATATCAATCGAAAAGTTAACACAGAAGTCAGAAAAACTGACCTACTGATTAAGAAAAGATTTCTTAACTTAATAATTAAACATACAAAAGTGGATGCCTCAAATGTTTAAACATCTATCTAATTGAATATAATAAAATAAGACGTCAAGAAATGCACGGAACTACACATGCTTGAACGACACAACTGTTTAGAGCTTCCTAATTTTCAACAATTATTCAACAAAGATCAGTTTTTGACGTTAACTTTAAAATGCAACGATCTCAACAAACTTCCTTCTATGATAAAATAACCACTGATGACTAGTTTTGACAAGTGATCCTTAATGTTCTAGTTAAGGCCCTAACCAATGAGTCAGTTAACCACTAACAGCATTAGAAGACGATTGTGCAGTATTGATGATTGATAGGAGTTAAACATGAGAACTATTGTATGCCAGTTCAGTGGTCAAAATGTTAAGTGCTAGACGTAAAACCTGGAGATCTTGGGTTTGATGAAAAAGGGGTCGTGAACACACACTACTGAGGCAACACATACTAGTATGTGTCTGTCAAGCGCTTTATGGGTCGCTTAACCATAATTTGTAGCTCCTAATCGAGATAAAATACAAAGAAATTACATCAATGGCTGTGAAAGTGAAAATATTAACAAATATAGTTCGAAAAAAAATGAAATTAGGGGTTTGAATTAATATTAAAACTGAAGTTTTGGAGAGGGATGAATGATGAGTAAGATATCGTTACCATTGTAACCGATTTTTTCATGTTAAGACATCTATAGTCTCTCGGTTACTAATTTTGAAATTCTATCACGTAAATGAAAATTCATCTTCCAATCAAAAAGTATACATAATACTACCAAGTAAGCATCCAGAACTACTAAAAGTCTAAATATCATAGGTAGTATTGTAATTTTCCAATACGTTTTTTTATTGGACCTGTTAGTTGAGTAAAGCATAGTTTGTTCTGAGAAAAAAGGTTAAAAAAAGAATCTGGTCAAAATTTAATGGATGTGCAAACTTCAAAATGTTATTTTTGGAACTCGTTCAAATTGAGATTCCATGATTAGAACAAAGATATTCTTAGAGAACCAAAAATTATTCGATGAATGATTTTTATCCTTTTGACAATACATGACTAAAAATGACTAACTAATGAAATAAAATCTCAAAAAATATCAATATTGCCTCGTGGAGAAATACTATCTAGTAGATAATAAACCATAGTTAATAAATATTGAAGGTCACATTTTACCACAAGTTTATTAAATATGAGAAAAAATAAAACCTATGGTTGTAGACTCAACAGCCCATGTTGGTTTGTCATTACTCGATATCCTAATTAATTCTTCGTCTTAGTTGATTTCCAGAGACTTTCAAGCATGTATCAATTTTTGATATACACATGTCATTTACAAATTAAAACTAATGGTATCATTTACAATACCTGTCAACATACACTACTTCACTGGGATTTCATTTATATCCTTTACTTCATCTCAGTCAGACTATGTGATAGTGGCGGAGACTTATAGCTCAAGTGGATGACTGGTGAAGTTTGGTTCTTTGAGCGAGATCGTCTGATCTCCAATCCTTTTTGGAGGAGGCGCTCTTCTTTCTTCTTCTTCTTCTTCTTTATAAGTTTATATAATTTGACTATAGAATCGAAATACAGATTAAGAAACTCTTTTCCATTTCAGTCTGGATGTACTGAGAAAACCGATATTAAAATCCCCGTTATACAAGTCTCAACCAATTTCACAATAAAGGAAACATAACTCAGAATTAAGCAAATATTCAAAACTAGTAATCTACCCGAAAAACGAACTAAACTCAGATACAAAAACGTTCAGTCAAGTATATATGCTGTCCAATTAGGTCAAAAACTTAGGCTGTATTAAGATGTTGAATCTTAGTAAAAACGTTGTTTACTTCAACTAATAGACACCAGTGAATTAAGTTTAATGGATAACCATCATTTGTACGTTAATTCGTGATACACAAAATCTGAGTAACGCTAGGAGAGTTCAAACGGTTATCATAAATCCACATTGTAAAAAACTATGTATCGTATTCACAAAGTAAGAAAAAAACATTAAAAGTAATAATGCATATTTACGTTTTTATTATTGTATGTTTTTCTTACAAAAGTAGAAAAAAATCAATGAGTAAACAGTGAAGAAAATAATGAAATAGTTTCATTTAATAACCCTCAACTTTAATATTATTGGGTTGGAGGAATCAATATACCATTTATAATGTGAAAGAAATTCATAAAAGTATTCATAAAATGATACTACTTTGAATCTAATCAATAAGATGAAGATACGAAGGTCATTTTACTAGGTCACTTTTCAGTTTACCACCAGCGCCTATGGTTTCATTCTCTATAGTTAATATGACAACTATTTTATTTTTAATATTAAAATATTTAATTTAATTTAATAGCCAAGCTCAGGTTCATACAGTCTGATCGATGATTTTTGTTATACGGAAGATAGTGATATTATCCAAATGCCTAGAAGTAGGTGGAATAAAGTTCGAATCCACGAACCAATCACTAAACGTCGATTATTTCTATAACAATGACTAAATTGGCTAATCAATAAAATAGTCTTTCCATTTCTTTTACACGGTGAAGATCTATAGTTTGAATTTTTCAGATAGATGTGTATTTTATAGTGTACATCATGCGCAGATTGATTACAGTTGGACAACCATTGAAAACCTTGAAGCACTGAACATTTATTTCATCTTAATAGGGGAATCCTCGTCATTGAGAATCAACAAACCAACCCAGGACCTATGGGTATTACGAAGAGCATTTAAACTTTAAATCATCGAACTGGTATCCATTGGTTTACATGCCACAAGTGTTTCAATGGGAAAGCTGAAAATTGGTGTATATCAGCCAAACTATAATCCTTTTTTTAGATTCAATAAATAGATAGATGTATAAATGTCTTCAACAGGGTATTGTTAAACAGGATGAAGGACTGAGTAGACGCCCAACCTCGAGACCAACAGACAGGATTCCGTAAGGATAGATCGTGTACAGACCAAATCGTAACTCTACGGATCATTGTGGAACAATCAATTGAATGGAATTCATCACTCCACATCAACTTCATTGACTACGAAAAAGCATTTGACAGCATGGACAGGACAACACTATGGAAAATTCTTCGACACTACGGCGTGCCTCAGAAGATAGTTCATCATATGAACTCTGTATGATATTGACTATCTTCTGAGGCACGCAGTGGTGTCGAAGAAGTTTCCATAGTGTTGTTCTGTCCACGCTATTAAATGCGTTTTCGTAGTCAATGACGTTGATGTAGAGTGATGAGTCCATTCAATTGATTGTTCCAAAATGGTCCGTAGAGTTGCGATTTGGTCTGTACACGATCTATCCTTACGGAATCCTGTCTGTTGGTCTCGAAGTTGGGCGTCTACGGAGTCCTTCATTCTGTTTAATACGAGTAACTTCTGAGACAAATTAATTGACTAATATTATCTATACATTCTTATGGTATATCTATTCAATAATTAGATTAGGTATATTTATATTCCTCTCATTATAAGCTTTATTTTGACCGATAATTTATTATTGTACGATTTACTGTTCTTAAGCTATGCTCAGTTTATTGACTACTGCCTCCCACCTTCACAGTCACTTTTCGGCTTTATTGTGTACAAATGTTATTTCCTATTCTATGGTGCGTTGCGGTCTGTTTGTTTGGTACATAAACTCAGTATGTCTGAAATAAATGATTCGGTTCGATTCGTATCGCATATTGGAAGATAGTATTTGGTGTTCTGGACTCAAGTGGACGGGCTAGGCGGACCAATAAAAACGCTAGACTGCCCATACCGGTCGAAGGTCATTGGTTTTGGCACAGTGAGAAGATTGTATAAGTCGTATTTGATTGGTGGATAAATCACGTGATAAAAGCCGGACATAAAGCAATAACACTTTCCAATGGTATATATTTTAAAATTGAAACATAAGTTTCAGTACAATGCCAATCATTTTTACTCATATTAGATTGGTGTACATGCTGACACCAATTATCGAACTAAAGAAAACAACTCGATGGATTAAGGCAAGATAGTAATGAAATGAAACGTAACAAAAAAAAACTAAGAGAAATAATAACTCACTCCACGTTTTCCGCTAGGTGTTACATCTCCGTTAGAATTGACAATAAGTCCAGAGCCAATATTATTATTGCCACTTAAATTGTGACGTGATATAGTATGACTTTCAATAGCCAAATGACCTTCATTAAAGTCTTCCCTTTGACTTGCAGTACGTAATAAACCACTATGAGATAAATTCGCCTCTTGAGCACGATGTCCACGAGGTAGTGTCGCACTCATATTGGCGATTACATTAGCCCTACAAATCGAAACAATTATTAAATAATTGGTATTCCATGAATACAGATGATTAGATATATATGTGTGTGAAAACCTCAGTTTATCCAACTACAAATATATAAACATTCCTAGTGATCATTATTTGAAAGGATCTGAATCTTTTCGTTGTTGTTGTTAAGGCCTGTAATTGGTGAGTCTATTTTGACTTATATGTATCCTGAGTTGATAGCTTCGATAATAATATCATATAAACACGAGTGTTGACTCAGTAGCTCAGTGGATAACGTATTGAGAGCTTGATGCGAAGAGTACTGGGTTGAAAAACCGATACTGGAATCCAGGTCAATTCAGCTGACGAGTTTCAAATAGGACAAAACGAGCATCCCGGATAACACTGATAGCTATTATCTAACAATACTAAAAACTGCTGGATATCTCCCATAATTTCTAAACAAAACTGACTATTATAGGAAATGTATTGTTGTGCCTAAATTTTTTTAAACATCTTAAATGGCTTTCAACAAAAATCATCTCTAATAATTAGTATTTTTATGATGACATTCAGACACTAGTCATAGTAAAATTACTATGAATGCAGTTAAGCAATATCTCGTTTGAATGGTATTTTTTATCCTGGGAATATAGTTTTTAACAATTCAACCAACACCTATTCACTCATTACACCAGAAATTACGTATCGAAGTCTAGAGCAATCGGTAATTAATACCGTAATTAATAACATAGGAGTAGCTGGTTTAAAATACGAGACAAAATAATACAATAATTTGCTGCATATTTGCTAAGAGATCTAACCTTGATTATTTCATAACATTCATTGTTGTTGATATAATAATAATAATAATAATAATAATAATAATAATAATTTATTATTAAAGTTCTAGTAAATAATCCGAATAGAGAAAAGTTTTCTATACTGTAAACCATTTTTATCAACGTTATTACAAAATTGATAATACTGAAGATGATAAATTTTAAAGAGAAATCAATGTAATATGGCAAAATTTCAAGTACTATTTGTTTAAGTTTGTACTATGTGGAAACTTCATGAAAAAAACAAACTCAATAGTGTAAAACGATATGAATGATTTTCATTGATATTCTACACGTCGATAGTTATACTAACTATCAAGAACAATGAAGTCTACGCTAGTTGTTTATTTTTTAATTTCTGATCTGAGTCCTCCAACATTTCCATCTTCTTCCTTCTATTAATTATTGCAGTATGAGTTCTTGCTTTAATTACCTTCGTAAAGTACCACCTTTATTACGTAACAGTGTTATCTGTGATTAAGTAATTGAGGCATTTGTCAGTTGAAGATTAGATAAAATGTTGAAGGTCCACTTCAATATCTTCTGTTCGAATAGCCTTATGATAGTAACGTTCATACTCAAAAACAGTGAAACAAAGTTGATGATATGAATCTGTTATTCAATACGTAATTCACGTACGTTAGTATAATGTCTTGATATTTAATTGTATTAAATCAGTTTATATTTAAACAGAACTAATAATAAACGGAACAAAATTATCTAACAATCTATATCACACAGGATAAAAACGCATGAACTTTGTATTGAATTACAATCTTAGGATGAATATAGAATAAAGAAAAATTGCTCGACTATTTGAGTGAAATGCTGGTTTCGATATAAAGGGGTTCAGTTAGCATAAAATGTGACAAGAAAAACATACACATCATATATATATATATATATATATATATATATATATATATATATATATATATATATATATTCGATTTGGTCAATGTTCAATAACCAGAAAAAACATACTGACTCTTCGATAAGAAATCAAGAGAAAACTTGATAAAATACAAACAGGTAGATATTTGGAAACATTCGATTAAATGAATGTAAAAAAATTAGTAAAAGAAAGCAAAACTTACTTTGATGGAGCAATATTCTCTTCAATGATTGTATTCTCTTCATCACCTTCTGTTTGACCACTATCACGACTACGTTGTCTACGTAAAATAATATCCACATAACCAGATATAAGCTGTGCAATTTGTTCGCCTTCAGTTGTTTGCATAATATAATTCCCATCTGGACTATACTGACCGAAATCCTTAAGGAAAAAAAACGTTCGTATAAATAAGTTAACAGACTGATTTGGATAGTAGATCAAGAAATAAATCACAGTGAAGTTTTACCAGGAACCGAGAGGATATAAATGTTGGTAGGAGTAAACAGTCAGAACACCTCTTAAAACTGAAGTTTGTGAATATTGTCACTTATCCATCTCTGTTTATAATCCTCTAGAAGGTTTATTTCTCTAAAAATGTCAAGCTCAGTAGTTATTAAAACAAGCGTACATGTTAATTCAAGGATTTTAAAGACATAGAGCGTACGTACAGCAATAACAGTGATAAGATGAACCTTATCTACAAATAGATATATAAGCTTTTTCTAAATCTAATTATCAATTTGTATATGGACTGGAAAATAAAGATGTGAGTAGATTCAAGGGTCAATATTTCGATCATTGGCTTCACTTCACTTTAAATGAACATAGCATCTAAAATCATAAAACTTAAAAAACGTGACCAGTCAAGAAAATCAAATTGGAAATGAAGTTATTCAATGGATCGCGCTATAGTTTCAAGTGACCGAAATTAAAAAGATAGCCCGTTAAATTTTTGGTTACTGGTCTGCCAATAGTATCTTGTTCGCTATGAAAATCAGAGATCAAATGTTCGATGCCATGTAAATAAATAAGGTTGTGGATCACTATCACTTCCGAGATGCATAATCTTATGACGACAACGCGCTTCTTTACTTTCTGATCTCCAATAATTCCATTACTTTCATCAGTTTATACTGGGAAATAACCGACAAACTTTTATTGATTAATCATAAGCTACCACACTGTAATCTAACAACTGGCATTAGAACTTTTAAATAGCTTAAAACAAGCTAAATTAATACATTTTTTCAAGAAAGTAACCTAGATTGTCTGAAAAGGTTGGAAATTTAATTTTATCCTCATTGAGATATTACTAATGTATCATTATTTTTATTATAAATCGGTATTGGATTGTATTAGGCGACCATAATGTTTTAATAAAATCAACAACTATGCTCGTTTATTAATCAGTAATATTAATCATGCCCATAGAAGTAATATGCATGTGTATTCAATGACGCACACATTTAGACATGTCACTAAAATCTGAACAATATCGACTGCATATGAATATGTACTATTTACTAGTAAAATTCATGCGAGTAAAAAATTTCACTAGAATAACAAGTGAATATTAGTAAGTAAACACATAGGTTAATAAAAATATTACCAATAATAAAAGCAACAAAAAATGTACAGACAAAATATACAACAGCGGATTTGTATAGATTATAATAACATTTAGTTGATATACAAAATAATCGTTATAACAAATCGAAACCAATAACAACAATTATTCATGTTACAGAAACAAAACAAAACAAAAAACAACGGCTAATCTCATTTAAACACACATTCTTATACTTTTGAAATATTTTACTCACAAATAAACAGTTACGTCACTATTAAACAAAATCTAGAGGTTAAGAACTCGCTGCGAGACCTAAAGGTTTTCGGTTTGATTCTTGATAAGAGTGTAGGTTCGCGTTACTATAATAGGATGAGACTGTTGTTCAATGCTTCCTGATTATCAGTGATATCCTAGCATAGGTGAGTTTGTGATCTCAATAACAGTCAATAATCTGCACAAACCATTTATACTGAGAATCATATTTGTCACTAAACTTTCACTTTCTTCCGAGGAACATTTGTCAGAAAATACTCCAAAAAGAAAATAACAACCACGACTAAACAATCTAGGACAGGGAGGAGGACACTACCATCATCGATACAAACACCAGAATTATAAACGTGTAACTTGTTAAGTAATAATTGGATGAACTCACTGTTCTTTAATGAAATGTAGACATATATAACGAAAGAAGTTACTCGTGTTAGGACAAAATATATGTCGTCGGGTGAGGATACCTACACTTACTACCATCTCAGATAGTCGAAGTTTAGGATTGACTATGACTCACTGACTGTCTGTTTGCGCTAGACAAACACAATCAAAACGTCACTATTTCGACTATGTCAAACGATCGAGACAATAGCCTTAATAATCAGCTTCGTGACCTACTTGTCTATAAACTATCATTATATTCATCATAGAATTATGGAGTACGTTAAGCAAATAATAAATTTTTAATAAGAAAAGAGATTCAGGAAAACATAAACAAATTAATGTTTGAAAAAGAACAAAAACAGATTAAAGGATTTATACTGTGTTACTGTATGCGCATATATATATATATATATATATATATATATATATATATATATATATATATATATATATATATATATATATATATGTTGCTAGTTGGAAAATAGAACAGTTTAGGCGATATGCGAGAAACAATAACCGGTAAATGACTTTTGAATAATATCAAGAATGATGAGTAATCAGTGTCTATAATATCAGTCAACAATTAATCTAACAAAATTTAGTAAATTTTCGAAAATATAGATTCGAGTAACGTTGTGTGTAGACGAATTTTCCAGAGTTTTTGTTCTGTGAAGAGACTGTAAGATAATGTGTTTATTTTCTAAGCTGTTTTTTTTTGTGTGCAATTTGTTATATCTACTTCTGGGTTGGTATTTTGATGTGTGTACTTGAGGATACTTTGCACGTTGTTGTCGATAATTTTTAGTCTGTCAGTTTAGATTTTACACATGTGAAGTGCTAAGATTCTAAAACTGACGAAGCAGAAATTGATGAATTTCTAGTTGACCGTAAATGTTTTCCAACCTATTCACACTAATTTCTTTACTGTTAATAGAAACGTAATCAATTGGTCACTATAGATAGACTTGATTGAATTGCAACAATATGTAGTGATTGGCATTACTGTATTGAAACTAAGAATAGGCAATAAACGATATCAGTATAAAATTACAGTCGAGAATTGTAGATTTTTATACTATGAAATAATACTCCCACTGTAGACATACCTTTTTAACCGTGTCTATCTATCTGAATGGTTTAAAACAATGTAAAAGTAATGTTACTTAATAAATGACCTTGGAGTATGTTGACGCCCAAGTTAAGAGAAATATATATAATAGCTTTTCACCATTTCATCAAAACGTTTCTTTTTTCACTTGGAAGTATGACCTCAGAGAAATACAAATATAATACTGATAGTACTGTGGTGAAGATTTCAATTAGAACTTCTATTTAATGTTATATGAATACATAAAGAAACAAAATCATACAGGAAGTACGCAAGTGATAATCTAGTTTTACACTTGCGATTATTTTTCACATTATCTATATGGAAATTTTAGCAATTCTCAAGTTATTCTAACATAAATTAGTATCATAGAAATATTTATCATCGATAAATAAATGTTAGACAGTTGTTTCTAGATGTCAGTTTAAGTACACAAAGAGTAAATCATTGTGATCACAACCTTGGCATTATATTGAGAGCATTTAGATTTTATGAAGAATTTATTCCAACAACCGAAATCTATTATCTCTGTTCTCATTATCAGAATTAATTATAGTGGTAATAACGATGTACGTAATTACACTTATATAGTGAATTATAATAATACATATGATCGCAAACTCATTAAGATACCTCTTAAAATAGCCTGAATATTATCTTATTTCCGCACTAAAATAAGCATAATTTTAATAGAATAGAACAACTACATACTAAATTAAGTACTATATTATAAACAATACATGTGTCAAAATTACAGATGATGCCTGGTTACTCTCAAAAACAAACAAGTAGATCATTACTAAAATACGAAACTTGATGACTGCAATTTCAGCCTTCCTATTTGCAGTCCATTGTTTCATTGTGATCAAATTCTCCCAGCATTGGAAAGTAAATAAATCTTCAAATATAAGTCAGAAATTTTTCCAAAGAAAACCAGTATCAAGTTAATATATGTATATATGGGAAACGACAGAAAACTCATTTGATAGAATTGTTTTTGGAAACTCAGAGCACCAAACCTTGCTGACGACAGAAATTTCTCAAATGGTTTACACTTACAAATTAATAGTGTTCCAATCTTGTATGATGGACTGAAACGTGGCTCTAGTCTATGAATTCCTCGATAATCGAACTAAGCCGTGCTAGTAGATTCAGACTACTAGGTTAAAGTAGGCGGGATTATCGTAACCAATGGTTTAAGACATTAAGTGACAGCTCGAAATCGGTCATAATAGCGTAAATGCACTCACACGTTGTACACTATTAGGTTTAGTTTTGAAATTATCTTAAGCTTCTCTCCATGAATTTATTCTTTATTCTCGAACCATATCGTCTGCGTCTAATGTTTTCTATTACAACCCAGATTTAGTACTTTTAATAATTTGATGTTTGTCTTAATAATCTCTTTTCATCGTGCTAGTGTTGTGTTACAAATTGAACCAATACGCATATAAGTCAAGTTCTATACTGCGCATGACTGAATGACTGACGTAATGAATATTCTATACACCGTATTCACTGATAACATATTCATTGGAAAAAAACTCAATGCGCTAATTAATCATGATAGATTGTTCTATAACTAACTATCATTAAAAATTGTACGGATAAATAAAAGGGGCAAGAAAAATAGAATTATTAATTAATATAAACAATCAGAATAGACACTTTGGAAGTATAAAATGTATTAAAGTTCTATAGACAAACGTATATGCAGGATATAATAAAATATAGTGCACTTAATAAAACCAACAAAATCCATGGAAAAAAGCCTTGAAACAATGCCTAAATATTCAATCAAATATAATTTGTCAGGAAATTGATGAAATGTTATTAGTAATGAAATGCTGAACGCACGTTTCGTTCTATTCTGAACTCATCAGCAGAATGAATCCAACAAAAGACTGATTAAAACTTAGTCAAGAACACCGAAAACGGGACAACGCAAACCATTACAAAACAAATCAATCTGTCCAAGAGTTCATAAAAAAGTAATCAATAGACTTAAGGGTAAACCAAAAACACTACAACAAAAAGAAAGGTACTCATCAATAATTACGTTTAGATATAAATAAAAGTATGCATACCAGAGTGAAAAGATTCGCAGTAGCAGCCCATCGACGTATACGGGTTAATGACCACGTTTCTATAATTTCTTTGGTTTTTTCATCTACACGCATGACACTTTCTTTACTTACTCCAAACAATCGTGGTACTAGTTTATTACGACCTTTCAGTTTTTCCTGAAAAAAATAGGAAAGCATGTAAACTTATAAACATGACGTTCAAATGAAAACATACAAACAAAACTTTTATGATCATTTTATGGTATATTCCATAAAATAATGCATTGATATGTTTAGAAATATTTCGACGAATGGTTTAGGCATTTAATTTTCGACCGTAAGTTTAAACTTCATGTCATGTACTTCAGGTTCAGCTAACCATATCATTTGAACTGCTTGCATACATCTATGACTCAAAGCCTAGAAAGTAAAACCTGTAATTAAGTAGTAGACTGATAAATATATGATTGAAAGAATTTTATTTTACAAATTACATCTGAATTATTTGACGCAGTTACCCACCAACTACACCTGTAGTTCTTCTAGAGTTAATACCGCTTCTAAGCCCATACAAAGGAGGAGGGTTGGGCATGGGGTCAGTAACCACTTCCCTTACAAAACAACCCTGTTAAAAAAAACGCTAACCAGAATAAGCAAAGTAAACCATTTAAACGCTGCCCTCCAAGTCGAAGGGTCTTCATTCAGAAGAATTATGACGCCTCGTGGTGAAAGCCAAGATTCTTTGGAACTCATTAGACCGATGCACCTTCTAACAACCAGAGCAACAATTTTTATAGTTACATGGAGTGTTCGGACAATGTGGGAGACCAAAAAAACGAGTCAAATAACTACGGAAATGAGGAGATACAACTCGATGGTGCTCGTAATCATTGAAACCTATTGGACCCAAGCTGGACAGAAAAAGATAGATTCGAGAGAGATGCTGCTGTACTCTGGTGACGAACAATAAAATGCTTCGCACAATCAGGGAGTTCCTCTGATGCTTTCCAAAGAAGCACGCAAAGCACTTACAAGTTGGAGGACAACTGAAAAGAGATCAAAGAAGTACTAACATCAACGTGTCAGGAGGCTCTGGGCTGCAAGAAACATCATCATAAGGAATGGATTGTCCAGCATAGGGTTGAATGGAGAACGCTGATGAGTAGCCCATGCTCCTCAACGAGGAGTAACAAGCGTAAATAGGTAAGTTACCCACCGATGAAGATGATCGCGCAATATCGTAAATTGGACAAAATTGTGCATATTACCTATTAGATTCCTGCTTAGTTATTTAGAAATTAAGGGTTTGCCATGAGACTTGAAGGTCCTGGTTTTGATCCCTAGTGGAGTCATGAATATGTACTGCTAATGAGTTCCATACTGGGGTTAAATAGCTGTTTAATACTTCCTGGTTGTCTAATCATGTTTCGTTCGTGATGTAAGCTATAAAATTCAACAAGTTTCATAAATCTCTTACGTTAAAATTAATGAACTGATATCAAAAAGTGGTATTCAATTAAAATATCAAAATTAGAGTACATCGGCTTGAATGAAGACTCAGGAGAAATAATGAAAAAAGAAATTGGTAAGAGTAAAATAATCTACGTTTTAAATGGGGACTAAAATCCTGTCTCAGTCGACAATTTATGTCTTATAAATATATCTACCAAAAAACATTTTCGGATATTTATTTCCCAACTAGTGTCCAACAGTCTTAATCAAAACAGATAACAAGGGGAAGGTGAAAAGATTTTATACGGTGGTAGATCATTTTTATGATTTACTAAAATTACAAAATAAACATGTCGAAAGAAAACAGTAATTTTCGTCATTATTATTGTTATTGTCATTACTATTATCAATAACACTAATTATTTACTTAGTGCTTTAAGGGACAAACAATTAAATTTTCAAAATCATTGTCATGGTTCGAGTCCAAGTTTACCTCAGTTTTTAAAATTCTCTTCGAATAAGCTTAGTGAAAAACTTTTAAATAAAAGCGTACGTACATATAGCAGATACTTCACCAGGCTAAAGGACCAAACAAAACTAAATATACTATACCAACTCACTAACTAATTAAAATATATAATTAGTCACAGTTTAATCAGTAGCAAAGTATACAAATAATATGATGTAATATGATACAACATATGTACATACCAGAATATAAATGACCACAATAGATAATTATATTACCAAATTGTTTTTAAGGATACAGATTAAAAAGAAATATTTACATTATTTCAGCAAGTTGTACAAGTAACATTGATTCCAGTAGGTAAATAAATAATTTTATAATTTAATTAAAATGTTATAGTTTGCGTATTTTTGATCATTGCCGCCTTTGATGTAAATTACTTAATAATGTAACCACATACGCTATTAAGTTAGTTGAAAAACACGTTCACATGTTTCCCAATATAATATGTATTTATTATGTCAGCTGATGTAAGAGGTAACGTGAAGGATATCTCATTGTTTAAATAATAAGCTTAGAGAGACCAAATATATCAGATTCAGATAAGAAATTTTGTTATACGAATTGAACCTCGATTTATGTTTAATATGAATAACACTACGAATTGATATAGTTAAATAAATCGATCACTCCACTTAACATGGGGCTTCATCAATCTGAATAGTTTAATATATATGACCAAAACCCATTCGACTTTGCAAAAATCACCACCTACAGCTTTTGTGTTTAACATTATGGAAATCCTTAAAACACTTAATATGCAATTATCAATCGCTTTTAGAGTTGTAATATTTTAAAAATAAAAATAAATTAGTTAGAATAGAAAAAGTAAGTAAAATTGATATTATAGGCAAGAGTTGTACAACTGATTTCGTCGTGCATTTCATTAATCAAATGCACACCAATATACTCGGCTTCGAGGCAAACCTGATTTGTGAAGACTAGTGGTATTATCAGGGCTAAGTGGAGAAAAGTGTAAATAGGGGTTGATTCTATATTTCCCACTTACAAGTATCATAATATAACTATTAAATAGGACGTTTATGATGAAACTGCACAAGTGTATTAAAAATAACGTAGTCGGAAAACAACTGAAATATTACAAGAGATGATGGGGCATGCAATGTGACTTGACTTCAGAAAACAAAAAAGAAAACAATTAATCCATGGTTTGTTACTGTTAGTTTTTGTGATTCTATTTTAGCATTACATTAGTGACAATATTCGAAACTTACTACTAACTATTACTATAAAGTTCAATTCCAGAAAAACTTTACTAGATAGCTGATGAATATAACCGAACTTGGGAATTTAGCGATCATATTCCAGTAAAAAAATTATGTGATAACACCTAAGCTAATAAATAAACAATCAGTTGTATAAGATAATAATGACAAGTAGTCATCAATTGTCAAGTAACTTGACGGATAATTTGCTAATCTATAAATTGCATCTCTAAATATTTTCACTTATTCTTGTACCTGATTTGTCTTTCCTTCTATGTAAAAGCTTTGTATCTTCGATATTTTGGAGTGCAAGACGATATGTAATGTAATTTGCTAATGAAATAAAACCATATTTATTGTAATTATGGGATTGTGGGGATTGTTGAGTTTCGTTGAAATCATGAATTGATCAATACTAGAACGCCATCGTGAACTCATAACAGTCAGACATTAACACCGTTTGATGCCGGCTCAGTGGTCGAGAGGTTAATCGTTCATGTGCAAGATCAAGGGTCCTGAGTCGGATTCCCGCGTATGGGGTCGTGGATGCACACTACTGAGGAGTGCCTATACTGACATGAAATTAACGTTCAGTGATTTCAGGTTTTCAGTGGTGGTCTAACATCGACCCACGATTTCCATAACAATCATTTTAAACAACAAAATGGATACTTTTTGTATTAGGATTAGAGATGTCATTCAGCTATCCAAAACGAAATATGCAAAGAGCGATTCTAATCTGTTCGTAATAATTAGTACAAAATATGAAATATTAGACATCAAGTATGAAATAATATTTGAAATTGTGCGGTAAAAAGTGAACAAAAAACAATCCTAATTATATTTTACAGATTGTGTGTACTAAAACTTGGGGCATATTTCTAAAGCTATAAGTCATATCCTACTGCTCAGACTGAAATAAATAAAGCACTGACCAAAAGTGAGATTCTATAATTTAAAAGTGAGCGTTTAAATCCTGTTGACATGCAATGTGACAATTATATCTTAGTATGGTACCAATGTTCAATCTTATCCAACAGAGTATAAAATGAATTAATTTAGATGGAATAATCATCCAAAGAACAACAATATTCTCTTACATCTTCATAGACATTTTCTATTTAATTATATGACAAATAACATTCAGCCATCATTACTTTAAATTTGGACAATAGAATTTTAGGAAACATAACCAGAAACATGTAAGAATGTGTGTTTAAGCCTTTGCTCAAAAAAAGAGAACTCTTATGTTGGTTTCAATATACTTATTCTTATAGCAACTCTCCTACAACCAATTTCGATTATGGCTAATTTTTGTTAAGGTCTTTTATCAACTTATTTAACAGACAATATTATTCGAACAGTAACAATTCGTCTATTTCTTTGTACTATGGTGAACACTATACTGGTATAAACGTGTGTGCTTGATCACATGACTGCCAATGCACATATCTCTCTAGCTTAAATGTTAATCGCTTAAATAGCGCTCTATGAATCATCCTCTTCCTCATGTATTTATGTACCCGGATCCTATTAATTACTTTTAACTTGCCTAGCTGCTCCTTGATTCGATTTGAATATAAATTCGCCTCTATATTTGCTCGCATACGCACATATTCGCATCTGCTCTAAATTCGCTCGATGTGTGTGTAGCTTTAACTCCGCCTGAAGTCCCTCCGGGGCTACTGCCGGTCCCAAGCCCGGATAAAGGAGGAGGGTTGGGCATGGGGTTAGCGTCCCCATCCCGTAGAAGACTAACTCGCTAAAAAAACGCAAACCAGAAAAAATAATTCAAACCTTTTAAACTCTGCACCGGGAGTCAGAAGGTCTCCATTTAGAAGAACTATGGCGCCTCATGATGAAAGCCGAATTCCTTCGGAAGTTACAAGGCCGATGCCCCTTCTGACAACCAGAGCGACTATTTATTTAGGTACATGGAATGTTCGTACAATGTGGGACACCGGGAGAGCCTTCCAAATTGCTGCAGAAATGAGTAGATACAACCTGGAGGTGTTGGGATAAGTGAAACACATTGGACGCAAGTTGGACAACAACGACTAGCTTCAGAGGAGCTTCTGTTATACTCCAGCCATGATGAAGAAAATGCCCCACATACACAAGCAGTTGCAATGATGCTGTCCAAACAATCACAAAATGCACTTATAGGATGGGAATCTCATGGACCGAGGATCATCAAAGCCTCCTTCAAAACAAAGAAAGAGGGCATTTCAATGAACATCATCCAATGCTATGCGCCTACCAACAACTACAATGAAGACGCTAAAGATCGATTCTACGATAGGCTGAAATCAATCACCTAGAAGTGCTCAACAAAAAACCTGACCATTCTGATGGGAGATTTAAATGCCAAGGTTGGAATGGACAACACCGGATATGAAGACATCATGGAACGACACGGACTGGGAGAAAGGAACGAAACTGGTGAGAGATTTGCAAACCTATGTGCCTTCAATAAACTGGTCATAGGCGGAAACATATTCCCACATAAACGCATACACAAAACTATATGGACTTCACCGGATCACACCACACAAAACCAAATCGACCATATTTGTATCAACAAAACGTTCAGGAGGGCTATAGAGGACGTGAGAACCAAGAGAGGAGCTGATATAGCATCAGATCATCACTTGCTGGTCGCCAAGATGAAATTGAAACTCAAGAAGCACTGGACAATGGGGCGGACAATATCACAAAAGTTCAATACGGCCTTTCTTCAGGATACTGGCAAACTCAACGAATTCAAGATAGCCCTCAGCAACAAGTTCCAGGCATTTCATAATCTACTCAATGGAGAAGGAACTACTGTGGAGAGCAACTGGAAGGGGATCAAAGAGGCAATCACTTCAACACGTCATGAGGTTCTAGGCCACAAGAAGCACCATCACAAGGAATGGATCACTGTGGATACACTGGATAAGATTGAAGAAAGGAGGAACAAGAAAGCAGCAATCAATACCAGCCGAACAAGAGCAGAAAAAGCCAAGGCACAACCTGAATACACAGAAGTAAACAAACAAGTGAAGAGGAGCATCAGAACCGACAAACGTAAATATGTGGAAGATTTAGCAACGACGGCGGAAAAGGCTGCAAGAGAATGAAACATGAGACAACTGTATGACACGACAAAGAAACTCTCTGAAAATCGCCGCAAACCAGAACGACCAGTGAAAAGTAATGAAGCCGAGGTAATCACTAACATTGAAGAGCAACGAAACAGGTGGGTAGAACACTTCAAAGAACTCTTGAGTCGACCAGTTCCGTTGAACCCACCCAACATCGAAGCAGCACCCACGGACCTCCCAATCAATGTTGGCCCACCAACAATTGAAGAAATCAGCATGGCCATCAGACAAATCAAGAGTGGCAAAGCAGCAGGACCAGACAACATTCCAGCGGAGGCACTAAAAGCAGACGTAGCGGCAACTGCAAGGATACTCCACATTCTCTTCAATAAGATTTGGGATGAGGAACAAGTACCAACAGACTGGAAAGAAGAACTCCTGATCAAAATACCGAAGAAAGGCGATCTCAGCAAGTGTGATAACTACAGGGGCATCACTCTTCTTTCAATACCGGGAAAAGTCTTCAACAAGCTATTGTTAAACAGGATGAAGGACTGCATAGACGCCAAACTTCGTGACCAACAGACAGGATTCCGTAAGGATAGATCGTGTACAGACCAAATCGTAACTCTACGGATCATTGTGAAACAATCAATTGAATGGAACTCATCAATCTACATCAACGTCATTGACTACGAAAAAGCATTTAGTAGCGTGGACAGAACAACACTATGGAAACTTCTTCGACACCACTGCGTGCCTCAGAAGATAGTCAATATCATACGGAATTCCTACGATGGATTAAACTGAAAAATTTTGAATGGAGGACAATTGACAGACTCGTTCGAAGTAAAGACCGGTGTCAGGCAAGGTTGCTTACTCTCACCATTTCTCTTTCTCCTGGTGATCGACTGGGTCATGAAGACGTCAACATCTGAATGGAAACACGGGATACAATGGACATCTAGGATGCAATTGGACGATCTAGACTTCGCAGATGATCTGGCCCTTCTATCCCAAACGCAACAACAAATGCAGGAGAAGACGACCAGTGTGGCAGCAGCCTCAGCAGCAGTAGGTCTCAATATACACAAAGGGAAGAGCAAGGTTCTCCGATACAACACAGCATGCACCGATCCAATCACAATTGACGGAGAAGATTTGGAAGATGTAAAAACCTTTACATATCTGGGCAGCATCATTGATGAACACGGTGGATCTGATGCAGATGTGAAAGCGCGGATCGATAAAGCAAGAGTAGCATATTTACAACTGAGGAACATCTGGAACTCAAAGCAACTGTCAACCAACACCAAGGTCAGGATTTTCAATACAAATGTCAAGACAGTTCTACTGTATGGGGCGGAAACCTGGAGAACTACGAAAGCCATCATCCAGAAGATACATGTGTTTATTATCAGTTGTCTACGCAAGATACTTCGGATCCGTTGGTCGGACACTATTAGCAACAACCTACTGTGAGAGAGAACAAACCAGATTGCAGTGGAGGAAGAAACGCTGGAAGTGGATAGGACACATATTGAGGAAAGCACCCAACTGCATCACAAGACAAGCCCTCAGATGGAATCCTGAGGGCCAAAGGATAAGAGGAAGACCAAAGAACACATTACGCCAGAAAATGGAGATAGACATGAGAAAAATGAACAAAAATTGGATGGAACTAGAAAAGAAGGCTCAGGACAGAGTGGGTTGAAGAATGCTGATCGGCGGCCTATGCTCCATTGGGACTAACAGGCGTAAGTAAAGTAAGTAAGTGTGTAGCTTTATCATATGTGCCAAGCGTTAATGAATTGTATTCACCGGTTCTTATTGCCTTCTGATTTCCAGCATCGTTGGAATTTATATAATAACGGTTATCAAGGGGATTGATTAACGAAGCTAAGCCACTACATCCTGCCGGAAATTTGAATCTAGATAACTAAAAAATCGTTCTTCTGAATAATAAATATAACATTAACAATTAAAATGTTCATCAATATATATACTCACTTTTATAAGAAAGAATGTTATTCCATAGGTTGGTAAAGATCTACACAATTGGACATAGCGTAATTTGGCTTCTTTTTCATCATAGTTGCCCAACTTTTGGTATTGCTGAATAACATTGAAATTTATTTTTTTAGAAAAATTTAACATTTTAAAAATGCGAAAGTTAAGATCGAAATTGAGCCAACGGTTGACTTTTTAATAAGAGATAACAACAATGGAGTAAACTATAACAAAAACTTTCAATATTTCGATGGTGTTTCTCCAGAGAAGATACTTGTATAACTTATAAAGACACCGAAAAAAAATAAACTTTTTGTAAATGTACAGCAATTTGTGCGGATTTTATTTTTCTTTGAAGGAACAGTTAAGTGACAAAGGGAAACAGAAAGTATTAGACTTTAAGAAGTTTAAGAACTAATAAATATATACTCTTGTCATTTAAAATATCAGCGAGAAAAATAAATGAATGGTAAGAATTGCAGTTCGTATACAATCGCATCATAGGATGCGAGCAATCGACCGACCAAACTGAGATACGTAATGATGGAATTGGCATCAGTTCACTTATAATATACATCATTAACGGATGAATAAAATACATGCGATTTTCAGACCCCTGTGATAACTACTAATTGAAACGAAGGAGCGGGCACGTTTAGTAAACATTATGTTGTTCGTTTGTGACTAAGACAGATAAATAAATGAGTGAGTAACACCATAAGTCACCCCTACCTAGATAGATAAAATGCAAACTAATTCAATAATCAACAGAGAATTATAATCATCGTGTTTTATGAAAGTATTATTGAATAGATGTTTTAACGATTGGTCTGATTTCTAGATGTTACTAGTCTTAAGTGAATTGGGCACTAAGAACTGGGGGACACAAGGTATTTTTTCTTAGTACGAGACTCTCCAACAGTATATACCCATGAGCCCTATAACAGATCGCGGTGACCAATCAATCATTAAATTAACCGTTTGGCGTCCAATGGTAAACATTTTCAACCTAATCGATTAGTGATATTGTCCAAAGATCAGATAATGTCATTATTGACTAACATTTCATCACAGAGATGCCTCCACTCCATCGGAAACAATTTCTGATTACGATTTCAGGAACTCATTTCAAGGTATCCCAAGTGATCCTAATCAATGACGAACACTACCACAATACTTTATTGTAATTTATTATTACAACGAAACACTATACGAACCGACTAAGAATCAGAAAAAAATAAATTAAAGATGAGTCGATTAAAGTGAAGAAATTCTCGTTGACATATTCGCACAAATGAACATTCAAAAACATTTTCTTACTTTTCCATGAAAGTAAACATTTTTGTTATTATAATTGACTAACGAGTGCCAACTAACACGAAACCTCAATCCACAATTTCCAAATGAATACCTCCAACTATCTAACACCTTGATATAGTGCGCGAGATATCGAGTTCTTAAACTAGTGGCTGTATTGTAACTTTGTTGACAAAGTTCAATCAGTGGTAAAGAACTTGAAAAACATGACATTCACCATCACTCAGCGATCAATCAATCAATCGTAAAATTAGTTTATTGGTTACATTAATTTTATTAAAGTTACTAAACCACCATGATTGTCTAGAAGTGAATATCTGTGTAATACAATAGTTTCTTACGTAAAATCTTCCTAAAGATAGTGTTGTTGGGTTTTTTTAAAAACAAAATTTCATGTTAAGCTGTGTATTATGAACTTTATACAGGCATCTAAATCAATATTTTTTAATTCAACTCAATTATCGATAATAAGAAATCTTCACATTTGTAATAAGTATATACCTTATACTTCAACCAAACCAATAATCTCACATAAAATATCTGTCCACAGGTATTTGAAGCACACAAATTATCATTGTTTAGATTGATTTACACAATGAGTAAATAGTGGGCATTGGAAATGGATATGATTCAATATGTTGATAAAAAACATAGTGAGTGTGTAAAATATCTGTTGTTTCTTTTTTTTTGTTTATTGCCTATTTAGTAAATTTATTCGATAATAATAATAATATTATTATGGATGATTAAGATAATTTAAAGAATAAACAGTTAGAATTTCAATTACTGGGTTATATGTTTCAATCTTAATTCATTCCTTTTGGTCTAAGTAGCCAAAATAAATGAACTATCAATTGGTTATTGGAAGAAATTAATTAGTTAAATTACTTTTGATAGTGAACAAGTGATAGGAAGGGAAATAGAACAAATGTACAAAAACAACCTACACAAATATGAATTAGTTTAATTCTATGCATGGATTTTTTCAGTATTACATCCTATCATATATATTCATCAAAAGGCTATCATAACAAAATAACAATAATTATACACTTGAATTATGAAGAAAGATATGCACTACAACTATGATTAATGCTATTCATTGTTATTAATACAATAATTAATTAGCATTGCTTTAAAAGAAGCTAATAGTTCTACAATCAGGATAAATGTAAAACTTTACAATGGAAAATAAACGATTATCTAGCTTATTATGAGTGGAACATTTCAATCTGACTAATCGCATCGGTAACTGTTTAGGTTTTTTTTTAATCAACTTATACACATATACACATCATAGAAAAAATGAATAAATACTGGTGGGCTGAATTATTTAAAGAAAGGTAGAATGTATAAATAGAAAAGATAAACAGGTAACTTTTGTGTGATAGGCTGAGACCAGATAATAACTGTTTCACGCCCTGTCTTCGACCGTTTAATAATGTGCAAAAATTAGATAGCACAAGAACTTTGATTCTGAATCATCAAAGTCCGAGTTAATTAACTTCCATCAACTTGTTCAATCCATTGATGATTATATGTAATTCAGAAAATAAATCTCATTGTGGTCACTCAGCATTAACTGAAAGATAAAATTTGTTTTATAAAAGCTCGTATTGGTAGTATTTATTTTTTTATAGCAAGCAAATTGTTAATTATTCTTGAAGTCATAATAATGTGGCATCAGTCGATCAAGTGAATGATCGTTAGTCGAAATCACATTTGCAGCAACGAACATTCTGGTTGCAATCGATAGGATAATCGAGATCAGTGGTTGTGAACCTTAGAAGACAGCTGAAAATCGGTTGAAGTGAAACATGTGGATTCATGCTTTATTTTTTTCCGACATCTTGAGTTTCAATATTATTTCATATCCATCTTACCTATTATTTCGTTCCATTTTTGCAATAAATTCTCTATATCTAGTCTTGTTATTGTTAATGTTACCACAGCTGTGTTGAATTGGTGCGACAAATCGACCCAATACAAATTCGTTCCAAATTCTACGTTGTTTATAGCTGAAAAACCAGATTGACATTGCATCACAGCATGGATTAGAGCTGGAAACATATCGGCCTAGTTTTTCAAGGCACGTTGAATTAAAATATTGAGACTTCTATGATTTTACATAGTTTATTAAAGCTTGAAATACCTCGATGAATCTATTCATATCAACACTTGATAAAACTACGTTGTGATCCATCATTACAACTCATAACTTACTTCCAATATTCTTTTCTCAATTCCCTTGGATTTAATATATTCTTTGGGCAACCGATCTTTTAGGCTGAAAAATAATCATATAAATGTATATTTTATAAAACTAGTCAATACAATTGCTTAAAATTAAAAAAATTAAAACTGAATTACGGATTAAAACGAAATGCCAACAAAACAAAGGGAAACTGTATGTAAAGGAAGTCAATTATTTTGGCCATGTTTTTAATAACAAAAAATGATCATTCTCAATGGCCCAGATGTAGTGCCTTTTTATCTTCCCTTAGAACCTGCATCCCGAAGTCTTCATATACGTTTCTCCTTTTTTTATACCTAATCTTTTTTATAACTATTGATACTGTTACTTATTCTACTAGTCTGGGATTTAGCATGATAATTTTATCTTGAAGAACTAATGTGGTATGGCAACTTGAACCAATCCACATATATGTCAGATTCTACTTCACATATGATTGCATAACCAAAAAGAATATTTTCACTGAAACGTTTAATTAACACTTTCTTCTCTGGGCTATTAAGTAATGCATCACATTAAATTCAATCTAGAAAGCTGGATAGAATATTCAGCTTTGAAATCATAAGATGAGTTCAAGTAAATGAGTTATCAGTTATTTTGTCCAGTAAATTTACAAGTATGTATTAAAATAATTAATAGTACATCAAGTTTACACAGAGAGTAAAGTAACTGAACAAAATGAATAAAATTTGAGTCAGATCATAGTAACAACCTTTATTCAACCGACAATTAAATATTAACTCGGAATCACATAAAACGTCATAAATAATCAAATATTTACAAGATCTATGGTCTGAAATGAGGTGAAAATTGATTAGGAAGCCTTACTGCCACTTAATATAGACACAAAAAATCGCAGACTACTAAGCATAACTTACACAGAATATGAGTTTACTGTTGAACAACAAATACCATTGAATTATAAATATTTGTAGAGTAGTTACCAAATATTAGTTAGACATAAGTTATTTACACATATTTATACACTAAACCGTCATTTTTTTTATTTACTGCTAAAATAAAGTCATCTACTTGAAGATTTTAATTTCGTATTATTGTTACATTGGATGTGTTGATCACAGACATTCAGACATAAAAAGAATTGATCAAACTTCTTTGATCAAGTTACCAAGCGGAGATTTTTTTAAATCCTAGTTAACTACTACTTTGACAAAGCTCTCATCATCAAATAGTGAAATGTGAGTAAAAACAAATTTATTTTGTATCATCACATAAAGTGATCTGAAATTTCAAATATCACTTTATGATGCAATCTCTTCTATCTTTCTACATTCATCAATTATGTTTTTCCTTTTCACTCACTAGAAAATACAGATTTCTAGTGATATCGATAATAATAATAATAATAATAATAATAATAATAATAATATCCGCCCAATGACCAATTCAAAATACCAACCAGCAAATTTGAACCTTGGACAATTATACACTGATTACGATTTACTGATCTCTAATTTTCCATACTAATGGATAAATGAACGATAAAATGCACATACATGTAAAATGAAATGAAAAGAAAAATACAATAAAAATTTGACAAATACTTGACACAAATATAAACAATTTAACGGTTAATTAATTCCCGAATCTGAATATTATTTTAATCAAATTTACTTTGAGAAGTAAAATTAAAGTAACGATAATAAGAACAAGGATAACAAATTATAATTATCTTACTCTATGGGATTTCGTTTAATTTTCTCTGGTACCATTGGGCCATATTCAACTTGACATTGTAAAGCAGCTAAATTGATAGCTTGATCTTGTGATATTGGGTGTGTACCATTCAATATGGCTTCCTTAAGCTGCAAATTAAATAGGAATAAATTATACTAATAATTTTCAGAATAGCTTCTATGACTAATTCGTTTGTCATGTGTTAAAGACATAAGAAAACGACTAAACAGCTATCTACTAGTGCGATCTTTAGTGTTTAACAACTGCCAATCCAATGTCAATCTGTAATGCAAACTGTGCTGATTTGTGTATATCTGAGAAGCAATAAAATAAAATTTATACGGAAAATAGACAAGATGACAAATTTTAATAGCTTTGCACGCATGAACAGAAAAATAAATCTGACCGATAGTCTTAGCTTACACATCTTAAAAATCGGTATAAACAGAGAAACTTCGATCCCTCGAGGCTATTGATTAAAGAAAAACCCTAATATTTATCAAAAGAAATACTAAGTAAATCAGTTCACTTGATGTAATCAATGTACCTAGGAATATAATATATTGATTTAAATTCCGAGGTGGCATTGTGGACAAAGTCTTGAACAGTCCTAAAAATTTGGTGCCCCATAAGTTCATCATCTTAAATGAATTGATATAAGCCTTCGTAGCAGCCAAATAAGATAAAGCTAAGTTCCAAACCAGTTGCCGGCACACAGAAAAGTATAGCTGAGCATTGAATATGTTTCCATGACATCGTGAAAATGGTAGGTCAGGTCTCACGTGGCTTCACGAAACGCCCCGCTTATAAGCACTTAACCACTGTAAGCCTTTTACAATTCATTGACGTACCCCAGTCTACTCTGTAAAACTGCAAGTTTGATAACAAATGTGGATCCTTATGAAAAGGAATTTCACAAAGTTTGCGTAAGGACACAGAAAACGTGTGATCGGAGCATGCTAATAAGTTGGAAACAGTAGCTGAATGTGATCACTACCGGAAACGTTTTCAGTTCATCGGAACCATTGGCAGAAAAAAGCCTGATATCAATAAAAAGACCTGTGAGGTTAGTCAGCAGCATCCGAAGGGGTCTTGGAAGATGAATAAAGTTTTCTGAGGAGGAGTTGGAAGGGTCTTTCACCCATACAACGTTGGTAAGACTGTTCCGCTTTGCTTGACCGGTGATTATCGACCCATTCAATGGAGCGGAAGCATACATGGGACTCCAGTTTTTGTAAATTCCCAAGTCATTAGGTCAGAACTACTTGCGCCTGGCTCTTTTTAAGGATGGTAATGAACATATGGTCAAATGACTAACTGGATTATTTGGAAAGCTCTGGTAGACAGTGTTTCAGTGCCATCATACTTATTGCAGGCCAATAATAACTGTTTCTTAATACTAGGGCCACCTTCGACTAGTTGAACAGGGCTGTACTTAGAGATTGTCTGTTGAAGGTTGTGTCTAAGAAGTTTAGTAACATCTTCAAGGCTTTTCAAAAAACCTCAGAGTGATGGTATACAACTACCTCCTAATTTTTAAAGTAGTGACGTTAGGTAGGGTTGCCCCGCCTCAACATTCCCCTTCGATTTTGACATCAATGATATTTTGGAAGCAGCTCTGGTGGAACTAAGTAGTGGTAGCGCGGATTCGTTACCTGGAAAACGACTTAGCGATATCAAGTATGAGGATATTGTTTTTCTGAGAGATGAAACACAAATTATCAAAACTGCATTTAATCAGTCGACAGTTATTGTCCATGAGTATGGTATATATTTTGCACCTTTCAAATGTGAAGTACCTCTGCAACACTGAGAAGCCGGTGTCTGCGATCAATCTTTGCAGTAATCAGTTGAAAATGGTTGCGTGTTGTTCGCTTGTAGTGGCGCGAGATATGAAATAAATCTATGTATAGTGAAATCCAGAGAGGATTATGACAATCTACGACAACTTTGGCATCGTTACTGTGCTAAACTAATCGTAGAATGTCGTGTATACAATGCTGAGGTGAGAGCAGTTATACTTTATGGTTTTTGGCATGAGCACCCAGAGCTGAGAGTGTTCAGAGACTTGGCGTTCCATTATACTTATCTTTGAACAATATTTTCAACTGAGTAGAACTAAACAGACATGGGATGGGAAAAATGCAGTATTCTTCCATGTCGATGTGTGTTATTTGTCATTAACTCGATTTTACAATTCGTCCTCAGCAGAAACAAACTGAAGACAAAGTGAAATTATATTAATTTACGATAACTATCTCAATTCTACGAGCAGAAAAATCAATAACTGAAGTAACATTCAGTTCAAAAAGGTATGGTAAATGTTCATGTATTCGACCTAATGAGCATTATGAGGGAGAGTTAGGCACACTTGCAATATTCTGTACTAAGGAATATCCGAAACATTTTCACACACTTAAAAGTAATCAAAAATTGTGATGAAGCTTAAATAGTTAATGCGGAGGCTTATTGTACACTCACTTGAACATAAAGAAGGTTTAGTTGAACAGGATCCCGAGTATCTATATTCTGGTCGGAGTAGAAATACTTCCTTCGGAGAAGCAGAATTTCCGACTCATCAACTCCATGTTGACGAAGCGTTTTGCCAGGTGCTAACCAATTAACTAAAAACAGAAACATATTTTAGATTTATGAAAACCGTCTCAAGTGAACATTTGTGTCAGTCAGTTATGTGCAAAGTAGATCCTAGCCCATATGTTCATCCGTTTAAGCTGCCAAACCACTTTGTCACAGACGGATGCCAGAGTGACGTAAGTAGCTAACAGAAGCAACCGTAGTAGAAGAGATTAAGCGCAGAAGACATGATTCGAGAAAATATAGAGTTGAGAAATAAATACATAAAGCATCCCCTTCATAAAATTTAAGTAATCTGAAGTCAAAACTGATATGCAGATGTTTTGTTCAACAGCTTATTACATGAAATAAGTAGCAGAAAACAGCACTAACTAACAACTTCTTGAACCATGCACAGATCATTCAAACACCTAGTGACGGGTTCATACGATCTAGATAAAGTGAGAAACCCACTGGTTTAAAGTACCAAGTGAAGTTAACTGAGATAAAAAATTAAAAACGAATTCCAGCTATATATATGAAAATACAAAGCAGCTAACTTAATCTACAATTACACAATTGATACCGGGTCAATTTTAACTTTTTATCGTTAGGAACCAGGTATTCCAGTTACTATTTAATCGCTCACAAAATGCAAACTACATTTACGCAAACAATTAAGTAGAATAAAGATGTCATTGTATAATTTACAGGTGAATCAAAATAATCATCGGGAATGCTTAAATTAGCAATGTGATTGATGACAGGAAGAAATAAATTTAAGATATAATGATGAAGTTGTTTAACGCCATTATAGCTGAGACTGCAAGAAATACAACTTACACTCATCGTCTGTATGCAATTTTTGTTTCATCTTCTCTAATTTCTCCAAGTTTCTGATGCTGCCTCTACTTTTCCTCAGTGTTAGCGTGCGCATCTTTTCATCGTCATCGGATGGTCTTATTAATGAGTACTCTTCATAGTTAGTGATACCTAAAAGCGACAAGCGAATGAAACAAAAAGAAAACGAGTTATATTACTCATAAAAATGCTATCTATTTTGAATAGTTAGAAACATTATTTCAGTTAAGTTCGGTTAGATGAATTGAAGGTTCAGAAAGACGTATGGCTACGTAACTTGGAAAACTAATCTGACAAGGTTATAGTGAAACAAGCTTTTATGAAGCTCACTAACAAATTACAGAATTTTGGGATAAACGACGAACCACATTTCTCTCATGGAGGAAATTCCAATTAAAACCCACTAACTGAAAGTCTAGTCTTTAAACCTATGATGGACAATTTCTCCAGAGTAAATAAATAACCACATTAAGTCAACACAAGTTTAAATATCAGCAAGAAAACAATGCAGAACATTTTAGCACAATCAGGAATAATAGGTCTGAATATATCAACGTCAAGTTATTCTTGGTCAAGTCACGGAGCATCAAAATGTTTTTCTACTCATTGGGACATTAAAAAATTATCATTAAATCTCTACCCAATGTTCAATTTATTTGAAACTACAAAGTCCATCCTCGGCATTCATACCTATGGTTTACAGTTCAATTTATACTAGTAAAAAATAAAGGCTAATCACATTCTCTAATTATACCAAAAAGTAATAATATAAAACCAAACGGGTAGACATTTTTGCAGCATAACATATTTTCAGCTGTTTGACAGGTCTTAGTACAGAAAATATCTTACTTTAAGTAGCAAGGCAATCCTGTAGATTGGTATCGTTTTATTGTAAAATTATTTTAAAGGTAGTGGTTATAAACGATTACTGTCTAGTAAGTACAGGAGAAGAGCAATGTGATAGGCATTATAAGTCTGTTTCAGATGAATTCTGCACTTGTAACGTTTGACATTTTTACTAACTAGAACATGAAACTGGCTTTCAATGCCATGGATACTCCTACCATTTGAATGTAGATCCCGTAAGTCAATTTACATCGCCGATCTATCACAGACAAATGAGACTCCAGTACTAAGTGGTGGATAAGCTGAGATTTATATTGGCCCTAAAATAGTTAAAAATAAGGAACTGAAGAGTAACCTTCCGGTTACCTGACAGGATTTCATTATCCTTAGTTATTAAGGACTTCGAGTCCTAATACTAATACAAATTACTTGACGGCATGTTATTTTTTATGTATTTACTGAACGCGTGTGTTTTCAATATCTACAAAAGGGCAATACTATTGTTCAAACCAAGCTTTCAAAGCAATACCCACAACTTGATGAACCGGTTAGAAACCGTAGTCTTCCGTAAACATATGTTGCCTTACGTAACGTAAACTGTTATGGGATTGGTGATTTTAGCTTAGTGCCCAGTTGATGACAATAAATCAGTTTAGCTAATAATGAGACTGTGTTTCGTATTTGGAAAAGTCCAGAATACTTTTAGTATTTAAAAAATAATAAAGTAAATAAACTTGAGTAAGAAGTCAAGAACGAGAAACTCGATGCACGAATACTATGGTAAAGGAAACGAAATGTCCTCTAAGAAAAAAGCTAATATCAGCTTCTCGAAAACTGTATAGGAAGCTATAAACTTTATATACAGAGATTAGTGTTTGAAAATACTCGACAACTGAAACAAGAATACTTGAGATAACACGATTATTAAGTGAGATTACTCGGAACATCAGAGATGGTTCTTAAGACTGCTGAAATTTTCCTACTACTGTCGAGCATCTAGTGACTAAACAGCATTAAAAAGAGGCATATACGTTTTAAGACATCGATCTACATAAATAAAGGACTTGGATGTTACTTTCCGGTGACATGCCGTTACAGTTTACGACTGAAATTCGATGTAGTTTGCTATGAAAACGGTGACTGATTAAAAAAACGAAATTAAGTAAACCTAAAAAACGCGAACTGGTTCGATCGGCAAATTACTACATATTATTCAATGGATTAAATTACAATACAACTGATATAATTGAAGAAATAACTGTATATGAGGTTTAGCAAAGGACAGTGTATGAATTACTGTAGTTAACATTTAATTGTGAGTTGATCTAAAGAAGCTTTGCACACATTCACAAAAGCTTCCATTTTTGAAACTTCATAGTGGGTCCTTCATGAGACAATACAAATATTTTTTAACCAAGCACGATGTCGACGTAAAAGTAGGTAACAAATCGATACGGCTGAAAATTAGTTACAATTGCCATGCTAAAACGTGCAATTTACATCCATTTCAGTGGGGGAATATACACATTTTAATGTTAAAAAATAACCCGAAGTACGGTAACATACATTAAAGTGTAACGCACCTATTTTTGCACAAATTGTAAACATAAGTTCAGAAACAGTCTTGCTATCGTCCACCTGTAATGTTTTCCTTGTCTCATCCATCGTCTGTATAACAAGAAGACGAAGCTTGGAACGATATTGAACCTCAAACTGTAACGAATAAAAATAAGGAAGCGCATGTTACATTATCACAGAAATGGTAATATGAAAGCATTCTTGAATTATCCAACCAAAACGAGTGCTTGGGGTCTGGATCTGGCACAAAAATACCATACTCCGATGCTAAATGGAAGTTAGGGTCAGTGGCAAATAAACATACGATTTAGACAGGCTGCCTCTCTAATTTTCGATTGAACTTCATGACAGAGATCGTAAACGGTGATATCTTTAGTGAACTTCAGAGAATAACAATTTCCTGAGTTTGGAAATCTGATGAGGAGGTTGACAGCTAACATAGTATGGTTTTCAATTGATATAGTATAGTTAGGCTGAAAACCACAACATTCTACAGATGTTCGAATTGCCCCGCTTTACGACCTTCAGAATATAAGGTCTTCATCACATCAAATTAGACGAACTATTACTACTAACATAAATTACAAATTTTTCCAGACGAAAGCAGTGACTTCACCAATCTATACAACCTCTGTGAGAAATATATGTGTTGATTTTTAAACATTCAAAAGAATAAATTTTTGAACCATAAATTAGTGAGACGGGATATATAAAACATTAGGTTCACGAAAATGGTTTCAACAAATTTTCCCATCACTGGGCTCCTAAGTGAGTACTATGTAAATTTATAATTTAGATTAAAGGTTAAACAACAGACATTTGTGCAAATAATCAGTATGAGCAGTCGAACAAATCACATACGAACTGAAAGCAAGTATCGACGAACGTTCATACCATTATCAGAGAAATGGGTCGGCAGTAATATTCCTCTTAACCTAAACCAATTCTCTTCTTGATGATCACATGTACGGCACTCAATTTATCAAATTATGGGCATTCAAGTAAGTGAAAAGATCTTATAGTGCATAATCAATTATAGTAGTATAAAAAACCTGTCTTGATTTCAAAACTCAATTTTGGACGAATTGATTTGTAGATTCCGTATAAGTTGCTGCACACAGCCAAAGTCTATAGACAGTAATTTCTTACTATGTATCTATAGGTACTGATGTAGCGATAAATAAATATTTTCAGAACGTTCATGAGTTGGTTACTTGATAGTCCTGTGATACCGTTACGATGGAACGTATGTTATGACAAAGTCAGAGGGGGATCGATAAAAGCTAGTAAGGAATGGATTTTAGTAATGATCTGGCGGTAGCTCTCAAAAGAAAATTGTACTGTCTAAAGATGTTTGAGTAATTAGTCCGTTGAACTAGCAGACGATCATTCTTTCATGGGAATTTTGTGAAACGTCGAGAACAATTATTATGAAACATAGATATCATTAAGCAGTTCTGCGTTGACCGAGTTGAAAGCTTCAGAACTGTCCTGAGTTGTGCAAGAGGTAACAAGAGAACATCGAAGGCATTCAACCAAACTGCAAGTTAAAAGAGTAACTTATCAAAGACCTATTAATTGATATGTGCCTTACTCTCTCGCGAAATGTATGCCAAGAGTAACGATGCAACTACTAAGAGGTTAAAGGATTCCATACAGCTGACTGACATCAGGTATCATTTAACACTAAATCATAATAATTTATAAACTCTTCAACTTTATAGACATCAACTTCAGGAATGACTACACACAGAAGTTCATCAACTACATTGATGCACGTAATGATAACAATAGTAACAACAGTAATTTATCCATTACTGTTTCTTTGCATTATACAAATAGCATGATGGTAGTGTATCACAATTTATTGCTAAAGTCGTTCATTTAGGTAGTCTGTCGCATAGATCTCGTGGCCACAATAATCATTTTTCTAATTCGAAACTAACACAACCCATATTTCATTTGGTAAGTATTCAAAAACAACAAAACATCTATTTATTCATTTGCATATTTGTATTAGATATTTTGAACAAAATGTAGAGGAAGTTTCAGAATGATCCTGGTATATTCAAAATGTCCTCAAATCCATGCTAGCTTTTGTTGTTGGGGTGAAAAATGATCAGAGGCTCCCGATGAGAGAATTCATTAATAAAGAAAAATGATTTATCTTCATCTGCACTATCTAGCGTGTATGGGATAGACGTCCATATTGTCTAAATGCATGCAGGCTGCTCACTGTATACCGTGCTTCCCCTGCGATGTGGAGACCTTCATAATTCAATCAACCACTAGAAGAAAGAGAAAGTGGGAGAGTCGGTGGCCTTGACTGATACCGGTCCACACTTGGAAAGTATCTGTCAGCTGTCGTCCATACATGACTTTACAGTGTAGTCCGTCGTACGATATCCGTACGATGTTGAAAACCTTAGGCGCACCATATAGTCGGAGAATGTTAGGTAAGATTTCTTTACAAACTCTGTCAAACTATTTCATAGACGAAGATATTGATACATGGTGATGAAATTCATTCAGATGTCTGCTTAGAAATAGTCTCCAGTGTCGCGACTTGGCCGGTGCACAACTAAATCCTTCTGAATCCAGCTTGTTGATCTCGAAGTTAGGTATCTGCTGAATCTTTTATTCGGTCAAACAGAACACTGTTAAAAACTAGCCCTAGTATTGACAGTAGTATGACCTCTTTGTGACTTTCATACCTGGTGAGGATTTCATGTCGATAGATACCCTTCGTTTTATCTGTATAAGAAACAAGTTTGGTGGTTCAATAGATTTTTATTCACGTTATGGAACAGTCACAGTTGGAGCGCGAGTTTTGCTTTCTCAAACGCAAAGTTTTTAACATTTGATGTAAAGTAATGAAAAATATCAAAGTAAATAGATACTTGCAATCACTCAGAGGTTTTCAGCCAACTCTTAGCCAATTAAACTTAGTTATCAAATCGGTCTACTCCTTATTTCAATGGGAATTTAGGCTTCACCAATTTATCAAAGAAGGACACGTCAATGTGATATCCAAAGCTCAATGGATAATTACCAATTGGTTCGATCTTTGATCCTCAATCATTGACGAGCACCACTAAGTCAATATTCGAAGAGACACTCCAGAGACGTCACATATTTCACTTATAAATATTCTCGCCTCGACCTCCCAGCATGGATTTCTTAGGTCCAGATCACGCGATACATGCCTAGTTGACTACCTGAATGACATAATTCAGGGACTAGACAAAGTATTCCTTGTATCAGTCCTATTCTTAGGTTTTAAGAAAGCCTTTGATAAGGTCCCACACAAACGGCTTCTCGTCAAACTAATGTCCCTGGGAATAAACAACCCACTAAATATTATACGAATATTTGTCAAGATTAGAACGAATAGTTTGACAGTAATTGAGCGCCGAGTATAGAGAAGTCATTATATGTGAAAATTATATTTGAAATATTCTCAGCAATTGAAATTTAACTAATTCCAACGCTTCGTCCAGCTAACTTGTCTGGACTTCTTCAGGGTAATAATAAAAATCAAAATTATCAAAGAAATATATAGCTTTTAACCAATCAGGATTATGCTGTGTTAAACCAATCATATATGGATGTTGATTTTTTGTAAAATAGGATAGAATGAGTCATTTAACTACAAATCATGTAGAGAATTTAACTACACGGAAATACTTAACGGAGTAACAAATGGTTAATAATAACCAGAGCAGAAAAAGGTAATACTACAGTTATTATGGATAAAACAGAGTATGAGAAGAAAGCCAAGGAACATCTACGAGAGGGTCCATATGAACAAATCAAAGAAACAAAGATGTAGAATGACTCTTAATAAACTCAAAGCGGAAACTAGCAAACTCTTACAGTCATTAAAAGCTAAGCTAGGATCGTCTTTATGATTTATATTATATCCAAAGTGTTGTAATCTATGCAGATTTTATGGACTACCAAAGATCTACAAGAACAATACTCCACTTAGACCAGTGGTAGACTATAAAAATTCACCGACTTACAATCTAGCTAAATATTTAGCTAAGATTCTTAAACCATATGAAAAACGGATTAATCATGGAATTAAAAACTTTATGAAATTCAAGAATTTAATTGATGACATCGATATAGAAGAAGACGAAATAATGGCAAGTTTTGATGTATCTTCCTTATTCACTAATGTATCTATCAGTCGAGCTATAGATATTATCAATAATTATTTAGAATCTGATTTAGATTTGAATTAACCATGCCCATTAGATCCATCAGAGGTTATAAAATGCTTAGAATTATGTTTAAGATCTACCTCATTCATATTTCGAGGTCAACTTTACAGACAGAAAGAGGGTATAGCAATGGGCTCACCAGTTTCTCTGATTTTAGCGAATTTATTCATGCATTCCCTAGAAACTAGTGCAATCGCAAAACTTTATGTCCACCAAAGTTATGGTTAAGCTATGTAGGCGATATTTTTATTATCAATAAACGGGATGGTCTGGAAGAACTATTTAAGAATGTAAACAGCATTTCTGAAAACATTAAACTAACTAAGGAATTAGAATCAGTTGACCACAAACTAACATTTTTAGATTATTTGGTTGAACGTCGACACAATAATAATAAGTTAAAAATAAATGTTTACAGAAAATCGACACATTCCGAGAGATAATTGGATTTCAATTCAGCCCATTCACAGAGACCAAAAACTATTGTGGCAAAAAATCTAATGAACAGAAGTACTAAGATTTTTACAGACAAGGAAGACCAACGAACCGAATTAAATAAAGTATTTTCTACTCTTAGGGATAACAACTACCCAAAAAGGTTTTTAAAGCAGGTTATTAAAAATGAAAGAAAAACTAAACTAGAAAATACACGAAAAGAATGGAAGTACACCGTAGTCATACCTTACCGTAGTGAAACATCAGAAGAAATCAAACGGAGTGTATTTTAGAGCGAATAACACATTAAGATCGACATTAGTGAAAGTTAAGGACAAGTTGGCAAAGGAAGAACAATAAAACATTGTATATGAGATTTACTGTCATGACTGTAATGCTTCCTATGTTGGAGAAACATCCAGGCAATTGAATATAAGATTGAAGGAACACAAACAATACTTGAAAAATGTTCCAAAATCCTCGACTAATTTAAAGAAACTTGAAGATAAATCAGCGACAGCGTTACATGCGTTAGAAACAGAACAGAAGATTAATTTTGAAGGGACCAAAATACTTCAGAAAGGTTTTAACACCCATAAAGAAAGACTGACAGCATAAGGTCTGCATATATGGGCGAACAAGAACAGCCTGAACCGAAAAGATGGTATTCAACTGGCAACTACCTGGCAAATTTCGTTTGACAAGTAAAAAAATTTGGAACCTATCTCCTGTTTAGACCCAATTTTTAATATCACATGCATCGTTATTATTGTTTTTGAAAGAATTCAATGAGCTTTTTAAACAATACATTTTACGTTTTGACATGTACATCGATGTTTCATTATCAATTTGTCATCCTTGAACTTGAA